GAAACGCACATCTGGACTGAAAGGCTGCAATATCGGACCAATACAGAAGCATTCTTCCAGAATTGGAAACACACTGTGTTAATTTTGAGGGAGAACAGTATAATATTGTTTAGGTAATGATCTGTAAATTTTAATTAATAATAGAACCGTTTCTTACCCAGATAAATTGCTTTCTTTCTGGATCAACTGTGCAAGGCGCTTATCTAGACTTCTAGAACTGTTCTTCCGAATTCAGAAAGCAGTCGAAACTCTTTCACTTCTGGACAATATTTAAAGAAGAAGAATATTTTGCTTATTCCAGCCTTCAGCAATAATTCAAGAAGACAGAACCAGTGAATTCCAAATTCTGATTAATATTGGTAGGTTGGAGTTTAAAACCCTATGCAGTTTCATTAATTTGGAGTTTCTTTTTCCTCGATTTCAGGTATTACAATGAATTCTCGTAAGAATTCAAGCTCAAGTCTGGTTGGAAGACATGAAGACAAAGAGAACTACCAATCCTTTGTTATATCGCAAGTGACTTTTTCTTCCCTCAACTTAAATGGTTCACTCTCAGATAGGTAAGATCATAGTTTATTTGATCGTAAGCCGTTGTTAGAGGGCAAAAAAAGTTGTAATACGCTTCAGATGAAAATTAAATACTTTTAGGATGTCCGTGACATAGTATAAAAAGTAATTATAAATATGGCTTGTAATAAACAGCGTCTGTTTAAATTAAACTTGATGGATGAAAAATGTCTAGTGGTTGAAATGGATTCTATGTTCGTAAGGCACTAAAAGAATGGATTAAAAACTACGGTAAAATGTCAGATCTATTGAACTGTCTAGGTAAATAAATTTTCGCTTACATATAAGGCTTACTTCCAGACAGTTAAAAGAAAAGACCAAGTGAAAATGGTTTTACTTCGACTTACGTTTTCTTGAAAATACCGTACATTCTGATCGACAGCTAAGCCTTTTTAATGTGGGGACTGAGAATGCAGTAGCTAAGGAAACTGTTGATTTTTAATTATAGACTTCCAATACAACAGGTTAAGCACCATTAACCAGGCCTTGGAAACAGTATATCCATAGTCAGTATGAAATCTGCTCTTGACACAAGGGAAATCTTACCCAAACTCTTATCGCCAACCAACTGTGAGATGAGTTGCTCATATAGTCTAATCGTTTCGGAACACATTTGAAAGGAATCATCTATGCCAAGATTGCTGAATCTACAATAATTTTTCACTAGATATTTGTAAAACATACTGTTGAACATTTTACCCTCATCCGATAGAAGAATGCAAATTATTTCATTCTGGATGCACTTAAAACAGATTCACCTAATGAATATCCTTTCAAAAGCTACCACCTGAGACGTGAATCCCTCTGGAAAAGAGGGCATGGACTGGATATGATTTGTTATTTAGAGCAAATGCAATTAACCACTCCAGTTTCAATATCTTTCTTACCTAAGACTAGCATATTTACGACGTTCGTAGTAAAGTGGATATGATAAAAATAAGTGATCCAAAACAAAATTCAAGCATACTTCTTCCCATCAAAAATGCACTAGTATTCAGCAGGTTTCCTTTGGAAATAGGCAAGCCGGATGGATTTCGTACGCTTTTACGACTTCTTGATGAAGCTGTCGCCTTCAGTTGTTGCCTCCCGCATGCAAAATTATCGGGGTTTCAAATTCATACAAGAAGTTTGGTCTTCTCTCCCTCATTCTTCTTCCTTAACACCATCGAACTATCATATACTTTGGAGAGCAAAGATTACCGTTAACTTTTTTATGTGAATTTTATCGATTTACCACGGACTTTATCAACTTACCCATTGCTATATATAGAACTAACATATTTCCCTGTCTTTTCACTTACTTTGATAAATATTTGAATACTTCTGACTTCCTACATACATGTACTTCTCTTTAAAAACCATTTTTACGTTAGAGTAATCTACTGTACTGCACTGACAACAGACAACGGTTGTAACCCTCTGACAAGCCTCTGATGTCTCTTGTAACATGTTTGATATTTGAGAATAAATTATTATTATTATTGTGGAAATATTGCACGGCGACTGATTAACGACAATATTGAAATCATCAGTCAATCATAGTTAAACCACTTTTGGAAACCTGGAAACACTGAACAGCCGTTCCGTCCTGAGATCGGACACATCAGCAGTGCGTATCAACCGACAAGATTCGAAAGACGCTGATGTAACAGCCTTACTTAGGTAGTTACGAGCTAGCTGAAGTCATTAGTTGGTAATAAACTAATATATCCAGAGTGGATATTTACTTCCTTACCGTATGTGGCCGATATGATTTATATTATCGTTTTCTATTTGTTCTACTGCTCACCAGTCCATGCAGTAGAACAAAGCTCGATCAAATCCCTACTGTATTCTGTATGTACGGGTCATGAAGGGAAATCTCTTAGTTTTACGATACAAAGTATTTTATGCAGACGCGACATTTTTGAATCACTGTCTCATTAGGTTTATTTTTGTCACTTGTCGACTAAATGCAATTGCGCGGCGATTTATTCTCGTCTCCTCAGTGTGCTCAGCTAGTAGATTAAACTGAAACGTGTATGCTGATGGATGATCAATCACAACGGTTCACAGACTTTTCTAAATTCAAATTGATTTATTTGTATGATCGCCCGAAAAAATTAAAGATATTGTTTAGTTATCAATTGTTACTTAAGTTCATGGAGTGAATCACATTGCAATGCCTTCAATTAATCAGCGTTTTCGGATATGATACAGTTTCTCAATATAACAACTAAATGACAAACATCAATCTTCTGCCTGATAGCGATTTATCGGGAGATTTACGAACTCGTTATTTTGTTCTTGAAAAATTCACCGATTTCGAATTCAACAGAATCCTATACTGAGCGAATCGATAATCTGAAAATCTGGGCATACTTTAACTCAAATACTTACACAACGTTTAGGTTGTCACTATTATCTATATCTTCACTTTGAAGCATTTATTTTGCAATATCTACTCAACTAGTGCTTAAAAATATATTTTGCACCTGATTATACAACACACAGTTACAGTGACCATCATACAGATAAACAGTTAGGTTGGATAACGTGCTTGTACAAATATGGTTATTGAAATATCTGCTTAAAGAAAATTAGCTGGTTGATATCAACTGGCTTATTCAGGCAATTTCCTACTAAATTTTCTGGTTTTGTGGGAGAATCAGACTGCACTGGAATCTGGTTATTCCTGCACACTAAGATTAGTGCAAATGATTCTGTTTATTCAGAATTGGCAAGCTTATGTTCAAACAGACCAATGATCTACAAATCCGTCCACAACTGTGCGGAAATATCAAAAAACATTTGATAGCCTTTCGCTTTTCGCTATTCAAACTAATATCCAAAAATATTCTGGAATTTCCGCTCAATATCCAACATCTTTTTCACCAACTAGTATAAACCAAATGACTTGTTTGAGCTCGATCCTTATTCTTTCATAACGGTTCCAGGTGTTTGATGGTGTCCAATGAAGGAGGGTCTAGTCACTCAACTGCCTAATTCTAGTTAGTTGGCAGTGGTTTGTCAGTTTTTATGTCCCGTTATTTAAATGAATATGTTTGTTTCAGGGAAGTAGAGAATAATGATGAGAAAATTCTAACGCTAATATGAATAAGATTTTAGAACTGAGTAAATCAGTAGATAGTTTAGTTTATTTATTGGTAGTGAAGATTGTAAGAGAACACCGAAGTGTAAGGAAGGGAGAAGAAACAGAGATAATAGGCGAAATAGGTTAAGTCAGCGATCTGAAGAAATGACTCATAACAACCACCAGGTCTCAACGCATGCATCAGGCATATCTGGTTCACGAATGAGATGATACCTTGTACGTGAGTACATGCTCATTAAGTCTCTTCTTAAAGCTGTCCATTAAGGGGGCTGTGGGCACCTCAACTGGTAGAGCATTTCAAGTTGCAACGAATCGTAATGAGAAAATATTTACGTGAACCTGAGTGTTCGCCTATGAATTTGCAAATTTCCGGAATGACCTTGAGAGGAGTGGTGGTGATGTTTCTGTAGGATGCTTGGGATGGTTTGGTTTGCTTCTTATCTTGTACTCCATTTTTAGGTCATCTCTGATTCTCCTGTAACTCATGAAGAATAATCCCAAACGCTGGAGTCTATCCTCATAAGTTTTATTTGTAACCCTATCACTCATTTCGCTGCTCGTCTCTGCACCAGGCCCATGAGATCTATGTCTTTTTTTAAGGAGAGTTGGTTCGACGAGCCTCAAGGTGTGGGTGTGCATGTCTTAAGCAACGTTAAGATTACTTGTGGGGTGATAGCCTCAAGTTGTCTTCTTACGAGATGAATAGTTGCATTACCCTTCGCCACGTCCTGTAGGTATTTTATACTGGTGTTGAGGCTTCAAGTGGTTATTAAATCGAGCTCACGATCTGGAGAGACCTCAGGAGGCGGTTTTCCATTGAGAGTGTAAGTCATTCGTGTCACATGGGGTATCATGTATATGAGGTGACATTTCAGGTTGTTTAGTTTTAAAGCACTTTTCACTGCCCGTTCCTAAATAGATTTTGGTTCTTTTTGGAGCTAATTCGAATCTTGTTCGCTTCTAATAGACCTCCAGTTTTCTGCAAAGTCTGCGTGGGTCAATGCCTCCGAGCTTTGTCTAAGAGATAGTTAATGAATATCAGGAAAACGAGTGGTCCTAAGATAATATCCCGATTTCGAGACATACCAACTCGCGTGCTCTCTAGTTACCTTTGTGTGAAACATTCTAGTTTCAAGATAATTTCAAAGCCAAGATAATAGTGAGTCAATGAAGCCCATATCCTCAGGCCTCAGAATCCAGAATGCATAGAGTACTGTGTCTGACGCTTTTTAAATTTAGGAACTATTACTTGGCATCATATAGTGTTTAACTGACATGAAGAAATCCAGTTCATTTGGCACCCTACTGACCTTTTTTCTATCTAATTGATCACTTGTACGGATTGTATGGCGGAATTCTTGATGACCGTAAATCAGCGCGTTACATGAAGCTGGGCTTTATGAAGGTAAGGCCCAAGCGTCGGTAGGGGTTGTTGGTTCTGGTGGGGTTTTCTCTCTCATCACTAGTTTACTAGGGTTTTCTCCTCTCAGATAATTTAACGAGTTATTTACTACTGTAGGGTTTGATTTATATCATGTAATTTTATTAGGGCCATCCATATCACAAGTTGTTTCTTCATACAGTCATAATGGCGCCAGTTTTTCTGAGTAAAACTTTTGATTTAGTAATTTTCAGTTATGCAAAAGACACTACGTGGGCTTTGATTCCGTTATACGTGGTTTTCCTGAACTGGTTCACATCGCTTCCTTTTTATATATCAAGGTTGTATGCTTCAGAGACGATCATTTTGATAGCTGATAAAAATTGTTTTACAAGGTGATATCCTACTACCTATGTTGGATTAAACAATTATGTATATTGTGTTATCCAGTTCTTGATCTTTTTAATAAACTCAATAGTTTTTAGGCTTAAATTGTTTTCCTATCATCCATCAAACCTATAGGTCCCTTTCCCAAAGATCCTCATATCTCTCTATCTTGCACTGTTCGCCGAGCCTCAAGTTTAAATCCTCGTCCAAGAGATAGTTGGCAGCCCCTTAAAATGGGTGATGGGCAGCGAAAGTAATGGCAATAACTTTCAACTGATATATCCAGGTTCACTTTCAAGTCCCTCAAAAGCACTCCAAAAGCGAATACTCCGCACATTAATAGCCCAGTATGTATTGGAATTTCTAATTAAACCTCTCAAGGGACCCAGTGTTCCACTGCATAGACCACTTTTCAATACCTCTTCTAACTCGCAAGGATACAAAGATGATATTTCCACGAAAGTTTCAGCCAAGTTTCTTCCTACAGCTACAGTTACCCCACTTAGGTAAGCTTTTTTTATTCACATGCTTATTTCAGAAACAATGGTGTGGCAAGATCTCCATCTCCTGATCTTGAAGTTTCTGCCCATGAAGAATCATTAGGTAAATTTGTGAACGAAATATAAATGCTTTAGAAGTTCCATCTCCTTCCTGGTTTGACGAAGTTGAACCGATAGGAAATGCTAGTTCTACATCTGTGCAAGACCCACCACTCACTAGCCTACCGGATCAAGCATCACCAGTGCCTGTTATTCCCGAGACTTCTAGTTTAGTGTCTTTGACTTGTGTTAAAGGTGTATCTAAACCATGTGTTCAAGATGATTCTCTAACCGCCCAAACATTCTGCACCGAAAAAACAAATTTAGAATCTGCTGATGACTTTGTTCGAGTATCTAGATCATTTTACACTTCCATCTGTAAAGCGTGTGACTTATTGGAGAACTTACCCATGAACAAACTGATGTGTTGTTTTGGGGATGAATTATCCGTAATAACGAAATTACTGCATGAGAGGTTGGTCCACGTTAAGTTAATAATATTCTTCTTAGAAGTTCAAATCCAACCATTCTGAGCAGTTGTCAACCATCAAGAACGTTGAAAAAACCAGCTAGTTCAATTTCTCCTGCATTCACATCTGATCAGCGCACTTGGAGCGCGAATAATTCTGAAAAGACTATGGTCAGTAAAATTTGGTTGGCTCATTATATTAATTATTAAACCTCATTAAGACTACAACTACTACTTTGAAAGCCTACTTATATATAGTTAGCCTTTTATAAACAAGTCTCTCACTTAATTGCTGATCAACTCATTCATCTGCCATTTCATTTCCTGCCTAGATTGGTGTTACCCCACGTAAATTCGGGAATATCTTGTCCGATGATGACAGTTGGACCAACGTGAGTAGCGACTCACCACGAACTAGGGCTCTGTCGGATGTTCCTATAAAGTGTTCAAGTATAAAAAAGTCAGTCGTTGCACCTAAAGTTGCTGATGACTGCACTAGACGGAATTCGACTATGACTTTTGATTCTGGTGAAGGAAGTGTTTTTCTACCACTCCAAGCTCAATCTAAGTGGGGTAAGTATCAAAGTTTCTCGACATTTACTCTTTGACTTACAAAAGCATCCAAATGCGGTTAATAAGTTTATGTTTTAATAGCCAAAAAAATTAAGAGATGCCAGGAAAACGGACACAGTCCACCACGAATTTACTGTTCTAGTCGTTTGTGTGGTCACATGCTTTCGACCGTAATCTTTTTCAATTAGATATCCAGACCCACTGTGATGATCAGTATAATCAACCAGATGATGGCTCCACAGGAGAATTCGATGGAGAAGATCGATTTCCTCATTCTAAACGCATGATGGAAGCATTCTCAAAAATGTTTGGTCTACGATCCTTCAGGCGGAATCAACTTCAAGCAATTAATGCAGCTCTTCTTGGCCGTGATTGCTTTGTAATCATGCCCACCGGTAAGTTATTATTTCTTTGTTACTAGGATTTGTTTAGATACTGTTATGACGTTGGCTTTTTCCGCACCGATTTGATTTAATTTTGTCCTGTTCTAATCCCGACCTTAGCTGATTCCTTGACGTGGTGGTCGGGCTTGCCTATCATGATGACCCAGCCGAGCTATATTGGCTGGAACATATGTTCTTAAAGGTTCTACCATGCCAGGCTTACCCGTAACAGCACGCGAGACCAAGTTGGTCAAAATCAAATCCTTCCTACACCCCCTAACATCTCCCTTATATCCGCGACTAACTCTACTCACATTCCTTTATCACCCTGCACCGCTAATACAAACGATGCGAGTTCACGAAACGTCATTCCTGGTCTCTTGAAACCTCGTTCTAGTCTACATGTTGGGGCATTTAATGTACGGACATTGTGTCAAATAGGGCAACAGGCATCATTAGCTAGGACTTTAGAATCTCGTGCCATCGATGTATGCTGCGTCTCGGAAACGCGCATACATGATCCTAGTAAAATCATTAATTTGATTTCACCATGTCAAAATAAGGAGCCAGCTCGGTTTACTGTTCGTGTATCTGGAAGCCCTAATGCTGCTTCCCGGGTTCTCGCTGGTGTAGGTATAGCATTGAGTCGTAGGGCAGAACTAGCTCTCCTAGACTGAATCCCAGAAAATAGTCACTTGTGCGCTATCCGACTGAACGGAACAGTAAGGACTCGGAAAGTTAGGGACACTCGCCGTTGCATGTCTCTGCGTACACCCCCACTGACTGCAGTTCAGACGATGTGAAAGAAGAGTTCTACAAAAAGCTTTCGGACCTCCTCCAAGACGTTAAGCGTTCTGATATAGTTATAATGGCTGGAGACTAATGCACAAGTAGGTAAACTAAGTGAGCAGGAAAGGGACCTGGGTGAATCTTATGGTGTCGCGGCTCAGAAAACAGATAATGGCAACCGTCTGTTGCAAATGTGCTCAGATAACCGCCTATTCATAGCAAACAGTAACTTTAGGCATAAGGAAAAGCATCTGTTGACCTGGCGACCCCCAAAGTCGTCTCAACGTTGGACTAGATCAACTAGATCACATCGCCATCAGCCATCGATGGAGAGGTTCGATAGAGGACTGTCGTTCGTTCTGGGGCACATGTCTAGATTCAGATCATGCCCTAGTGCGAGTGCGTGTTTGTTTGAGGCTTACTAGAAGTGGGAAAGACACCACATGGAAACCTCTTAGGATTCTACCTAATGATAGCAGAGTTATGACAATACTTCAGGAACAAATAAAAAAGCCGTTGAGCAAACATGTAAGTGATTCCCATCCGGGGGCAGCTTGGAATGACATCAAAAAGGCCGTTGAAAGAGCAGTGATATCTGCTGGTAAATAAACCATATGGCTAGAAAGAAGCCGTGGATTTCAGTGGCATCCGCCAAAGTGATAGACGCTCGTAAACTCATCCCACCTGACTCTGAACATGACGAAGAGCGAAGTCAGCTTAACCGCAGGCTGATAAAAAGCCCACGCAACGATCTCAAACAGTAGTCGGTAGAGAAAACGAGAGAGATAGAAAAAGCAACGGTGATAGGCAACAGTAGACATTTGTTCCGACTTATCAAGGAAACCGGTATCAGAAATCCATCTGTTAGCAAAACTATCTCAGAAAACCATGGTTTTATTATTCACTCTCAACTCAGGAGATTGGATCGATGGGCAGAACACTCTAAGGATCAGTTCAACTGGCCTTCAGCCACACTTCAGTTACCCACGATCTCCAGTCATCCTGAATCCTTAATCGATATAAGTCCTCCTAGTCTTTATGAAGTTGAGAAAGCGATAGCAAATCTGAAGTGAGTGAGAGCAACGGGTCCTGATAGATTTGACCCCTAACATTTTGGCCGTGAAGAGCAGACTAGAGAAAACCAGGCTGGTTTCAGACCTGAATGTGGCTGTATAGACCATATCTTCACACTACGTCAGGTCCTGGAACACAGACACACATTTAGGCGTCCTACAGTAGTTGTGTTTCTGGGTCTTTTGTCTCAGTGGATCGTGAGGTTCTGTGGCTGTTTCTTATTAAAGGGTGTACCAAAGAAGTACATTAACCTTATACAAGCTCTCTACTCAAACACCACTGGTCAAGTGAGAGCCTCTGGCGAACTGTCATTGGAATTCTCTACTTCAAGTGGTGTCCGTCAGGGCTGTCCACTCTTTCCATTCCTGTTTAACTTTGTCGTAGATATGCTTTTAGAGTTAAAATTATCCTTGTCTGACTCTTCAGGAGTGGACATTTTACCAGGAGACACGCTTGTTGACTTGGAATATGCTGATGAAGACGCTGACAAAATGCGGAGTCTTCTGACTACCCTAAGCAACAGTGCAAGCCTTTTCGGGATGCGGTTTTCCCCACTCGAAGTGCTAAATGTTGTTTCAAGATTGGCTTGAGTCGGCACCTGAACTAGTGATAGGAAGTGAAGTAGTCGAACGTGTAGACCGCTTCACTTATCTGGGGAGTCTCATCAGTGCTGATGGCCTGGTGACTGACGAAATCTCAGCACGGATACAGAAGTCTATTGGCTTTTGCCAACTTGCGTCACCTATGACGCAGGTGAGACGTCCGTTAGCTAACGAAAAGACGAGTGTACTGTGCAGTAGTTCGCTCCATCTTACAACACGGATGAGAAACATGACAGGTGAGAGTAGAGGACATTCGTAGATTGCTTGTCTTCGATCATAGGTATCTCTGAAGCATTGCTCGTGTATCCTGGGACGACCGAGTAAGCAATGCTATTGTTAGGAAACGAGTTCTAGGTAAGGGTGGCAAATCAATAGATGAAGCATTGAAAATTCAACAGTTGAGGTGGTTGGGACATGTGTTACGAATGACCAATAACCGACTGCCTTGATGAGTGATGTTTTGTGGTTTAGGAGTAGGTTGGCAGAAAGCTAGCGGCGGCCAGAACAAAACATGTCACAAATCCATGAAGTCACTGACAAGTGGTAGGTGTAAACTACCTGGTTGGGGTCTGTAAGACGATAGTAACCGATTGTTAGAGACCTTGAATGACATGACTGAAAATCGTTTGCCATAGCGCAGGTGTATCCATTCTTTGTGTTTTTTCAAATCCTAATCTTCTGGATACGTCAACACCTCTATCTTTCTCTTCCTAAATTTATCGTACTGAATTATACTTCTTGAATAAAATCGTCGAACCCTAATCTTCTCTATTACCTCTAATACTCTACTATCTCTACCATTATGGGATTTGAACTGACAATTGCATCTGTGTGTTAATGTGGTACGGCAACCTGAACTTATGTACGTACGTACGAAGTCCTACTTTGTAACTAACTGACTAACTGAGTACACTAGACAGCGTCATTAGCGTTTGTTTACTTATCATAATCTAATCATTATCAAAGTAATTTATTGTGTCAATAAATAAAGAGAATTCTGTAAAATAAAGTTTCTTTTCGACGCAATTACTTATCCAAAATGTATATTCGTGTTGATAGTTATTCATTATGTGAATATAAAAGGGCGAAACAGATTACAGTATATAGCTATTCACATGTCATAAGAACACTGTGTAATGGCCTAGAGATTAGACAAGAATGCTATGAAATTAATTAATGGGTCATAAATATGATTTACAATCGTCCACATAATAGATATGAAAGAGAAATTAAAAACATGAAGGTCATAACCATAAAAATCAACAAAATTTTCTGGAGGATAATCATAACTTATTACGGTTTTAGAAGTACATAAAAATGAAAACCAAAACACATTGTAAAAAGGAATTAAGCTCATGGACGGAACAAAGGTTAAATGCATTGCTTTTACACGTAGAGTTCGGGCTTGGTTTGATGAATTACTAACACACTAAAAGTATATGTTTTTTACTCAACCTACCTCCGATCTAATGCTTTTAACTGGGTAGATTATTTTAGGGGGCGATCGAGTTATAGCGAATTGCCAAGGGTTGACCAGTGCTCCTATGTTGAGCTAGTGATAGATTTGAATTCCTCTTTTCTCCACCATGCTGGGTAATCTGTCAAGATACACTTAAAAAGTATTTGCTGTGTGGCCAACGTAACTTGCCCCGTGACAGCAAGTTAAGTTATAAATGCATATCCGCGAATGTTAAACTGGTTCAAAAATCACAAGTACAAAATCAGTTCATGGGTTTTGAAATTCGTGTATTCAAGATTTCTGCAGCTGCGTTTCCTTTAAATTCGGTATCCATTAAAAAGCTTTCTGATGGACGGTTGATAATCCTTCAGGATTTAGTCCTGGTGTTAGATTTCTATCTGTATACCTAGGTGGATAGCTATTCCTGATGAATATTTGTTGAAGTTAAAGTAGTTCGTTGTCTATTATGTCATGAGAACATGTTCTCCTTGTCCTCAAGGATAAAGAGTAAATTAGGTTGTCTTTCTACTCCATGGGATCTAACTATGGAAATTCATACCCTGACCATTCCACATAGGTTTTCTATCGATAGATCTTTGTAAGAAACCATCTAGTCTTTTCAACAGGATAAAAAAGAGACAGCGTTCATTTCTGTAAATTTTTGAACCACTGTATTATCTAATTTCTTCTCCTTCTACAAACACACATTTACCAAAACAGTAAAAACAAGTATACAGTTTGAAACAATTTAAAACGATTAGTCCCTTTTATAAATTTTGAGTAAACGATTTTGTCGAAAAGAAAATTTTCACTAAGTTTTCTGTATAATTACTATTCTTGAAATTATTTTAACGCGAAAATTATGTTTTACAACCTTTAATTATAGGTGGCGGAAAGAGCCTGTGTTATCAACTTCCAGCTGTTGTACAGTCTGGTTTAACAATAGTAATTTCTCCCTTGAAAGCACTAGTGTTGGATCAAGTTACAAAACTGCAGTCACTTGGTGTAAGTCTTATTTTTAAAATGTATTTTCAAGAAAGCTATTCAGAGTAGAATTGAAATTAAATAAAACGTTCGTAAATGAAAATAAAAGTTCCATTGTTCGGTATCAAACTAAACCCTCAGTAATTGTAACTTTACTCCCATATTTTGCTGATGTGAATTAAAATAATATCTTTTGGGTTTTAATCGATAGTAAGCTTAGAGTGGCAAATTTTTTCATTTTTTTTTCAATTTGTACAGGTTAGTCGTAGAATTTCGTTTTTACCCGCGTTGAATAATATTCAGATTTATGCGGGAATTTATATTGCCTTGTCTCAGGTTACTTGAAATTTACATTTGCTGTCAGTGAAAAATATCTTGTTACTACTGGTAATATAGCTTATTGTATTTTCTTATTCTTACGGTTATTTCTGTACTGTTTCTTTTATGTAGTCTGTAGTAATGTGTAATTTTTTTGAAACTTTCGGATGCAGTTTGTAAACTTCTAAGCACATGGCTTGCAACTAAAAATCATATTATTATTATTATTATTATTATTATTATTATTATTATTATTATTATTACAAATCAGACTTTTGATCTTCATCTTGATATCTCGCACTTACAGTGGGATATTTCGTTTTTTGCAGAGAACAGTTAATTTTAGTTAGTTTCAACTAAAAATTATTGCTAAAGTTGATTTGAAACGCTCATGGTTTTTGATGTTTATAATTAAATGAAAATATTCTATTGCTTCTAATTGATAGAGTACTGCAGTCATGTATTATGTGCATAAGCTATCATAACAACTGTTCCTCCAAACGACTGTTTTGTAGATCGACATGCCTTTTCTCTTGTTCTTGTAATTTCAATAATAACAATTTTTTGTTAAGACGAATGTTTTATTAAAAAGTATGTTGGAATTAAAAGTGTACTCACTTTTACTTGTTTCTAGGTCTCAGCGGCTCATTTGACAGGTGAGGCCACTCTGTCCGAAAGTGATCAAGTATATACTGCTTTGCATATGGCCAATCTCCGCTTAAAGCTTCTTTATGTTACCCCAGAGAAAGTAAGTTACTTCTGCAGTCCTCGGTATAGGTACATGTTATATCGTATTGACAGTATATTTTAACCGTCTTAAAATATTGTCTGATGCAGCTTGTACATCATATAATGACCATAAACGACTGTTGTTATTAAATTTTAGTTACGTAAAAATGAAATATAACTACTGGTGTCCTTGTGGTCAGGACTCATGGATTCCAACCTTTAAGTCTCATATTCGAATCCCATCTCACGTTTTTTATTTAGGAAATGTGGATGGCGTCCCTAACCTTCATACAAACGTTCTACTCAAAGCCAAGTATATCAAACTATTTGGTAAATAAGTTAAATTGTCTTAGCATTGAAGATGTTGCTATTCTGCGCTGCATCTATATTGTATGTTCCTCACAATACAAGACCGTTTTAGCTCCAACCTGATCTGTAGTGTTCATAGTGTTCATAATTGTCTTGAAAAAATTTTTAGTACTCTCAAAGGCGAAAGAAAACGAAGCTGAAGTAACAGTTGGTTTTATCAGCCGCAGCTACCATATAGTTTCTTAGACTTAAAAGAGTTGGCGTTTTTTGGATCATCTATCAGGTAAATATTATATCTGTAAACAACCTTCAAAGAATCCAGTTACATTTAATGAAATATTTTAAAAGTATTTCATCAAAATCTTCGTTAACAAGTGTTAGTCTCGGTAAATATTTTTTTGATTTCTGCTTAAAAATCCCAGCTGAAAGTACATCCTACTAGCTTCGTTACTTTTTATAGGTAATGGTGTGGTTTTTCTTCTTCTGTTTTCACGCCAGGTGCGTAACTTTTTTTACCACATAAACTATATTATGAAAATACATCAATAGTAACTTCTATGCTTTTTCATGATAAATTTCTAGATTGCTGCTTCGGATAAACTGAAAGGATGCCTAGAACAGTTGTACAAACGTAAACGCTTAGATCGTTTTGTAATCGATGAGGCGCACTGTGTTAGTCAGGTGAGTCTTATAGTAACAATACAATGCACAAAAGTAAAAATTACCTGGATATTTTTTCTTACAGGATCATCGTTATGATGTTTTTTTTATTTTGTGAATCATCCAAAGTTAGTGGGTATCGATAAACTAATATTGATTACTTTTAACCGTAGCAGTAATTTTTTCTACAATATAATTTCCCATATGATCACACTTATGTACACAATAATAGGAACAAAAGAATTATCTCATAGTGCTTATCTAAATAAATATACCGCCATGATGCCTAAAGGAGTTGATGTATGACAGTCACCATTGAACAATCAGTGATAAGATGCGATCTATTAGTTACCCGAAATTATCTTTAACCGCATTATCCGTATCGTTCTTTAAAACTGACTATATCTGTTTATTTTTTGTACCCTGGTAATTTTTTATTACTTACAGTGGGGTCACGATTTTAGACCGGATTATAGAAATTTAAACATTTTACGAACCAATTTTCCAGACGTACCGATGATGGCCATGACTGCTACAGCTACACCAAAAGTTCGTAGAGATATTCTCCTTCAGCTTAAGATGACAAATACTAAGTGGTAAGTTTTTTTCGTTCATGATTTTATTTCTGTAAACAGTACAACAAACTATAGTCGAGGAAAGTGTGGTGGATAACCGAGATGTATTATTATCAGCTGTTGTACTCTGTAACATTCGCCATCTGTATCCATATAACCCGAAACCCTTCATTGATTAAGCGAAATCCAGGTCGTACTGCTTATGATGTATGATTATTTAACATTTTGAGCAGTAAAATGGATTGGTAAAAGTCTATATTATTGTTGTTGTGTCCACTACTAAAATGACTAATACATATTTCGACCCTTGTCAGTATGACTAGTAGAATATCCCCTACGTCGCAAAACGAAAGCCGGAAGAGGTAGAAGAATTATTCAGGAAGTGTCAAAAATGTACAGAGAAACCGTATTTATAACCTTTCGTATGGAATGAAGGCAGCATATAAAATCATCCAATCCTCAATGAGCGACGCTACGTCACCATTCGATCACCCTATGCCACATCGACATTCCAGAAATTCTATCGGGCTCTGGTTAGATGGGAGCGCTCCGGCTTCTTGGGAGCCTTTAGAGGCTTCTGTGAGCTATCCCATCATCAGTGCTGATGGACTGGTGACTGAAAAAATCTCAGCATGGATACAGAAGGCTAGATTGGCTTTTGCCAACTTGCGTCACCTATGGCTCAGGCGAGATATCCATTAGCTAACGAAAAGACGAGTGTACTGCGCAGCAGTTCGCTCCATCCTAGAGGACATTCGTAGGTCGCTAGTGGCTGCCAAAACAAAACATGTCAGAAATTCATGAAATCACTAACCAGTGGACTGAGTCGTGTTGGTAGATGTAGGCTACCTGGTTGCGGTCCTCGAGATGTAAGTCACCAATGGTTATAGATCTTGAACGACACGGATGAAAATCGTTTGCAATGGCTCAGGTGCATCCACTGTCTGTGTTCTCCCAAATTCTAGCCTTCTGAATTCCTCATCATCTCTATCTTTCTGTTTCTAAATTTGTCTCACTGAATTATACACCTCGAATCATATCTTCGAACCCTAATCTTCTCCATTACCACTAATACTTCTACTATCGCTACCTCTATGTGATTTGAACTGACAGTTGTGTCTCTGTGCTCATGTGGTATGGTAACCTGAACTGATGTACGTACGTACGAAGTTCTGCATTGTATCTTCCTGTCTATCTGTGTTTCCGTCACATCTACAGTGTAAATCATTGTTTTTTTGTCTTGTGGGGTTGTTTTCCTTTGTATAATTGCTTGCACTAGTTTTGTATTCGATCAAATCCTAAGTTGTTAAATCCATTAATTTAAGAGAGTGGTTTCATCAGTTATTGTACTTTTTATCAGTTAGTATCTGACAATTTGTGAATCTATAGTTTTTGTCATGTTTACTGGTGTTCATGTATACTGTACTCTCATCATTCCATATCTATAACTCAATAATATAATATATTCCATTTTTCTTTCAAACTCACCATTGTTTGCTACCCGAGCAGCTAAATTTTAAGTATGGTAAATAAAGTTCACAGTTTCAAGTACAAACTGCTTCATAAACAACAGATTTTTACAGTTTTCAGTTTTCTACAACTTTACTTTTGTTACATAGGTTTATTCAAAGTTTCAACCGTGGTAACTTGAGATTCGAGGTCAGACCAAAAAAGCTTAAAAATTGTACAAAAGAAATTATTGATGTTATACGTAATGAGTTTCCTAAACGATCAGGAATCGTTTATTGTCTATCACGTCGTGAATGTGATGTCGTAGCTGAGGAGCTAAAAGCTGCTGGACTTCAAGCTTCTGCTTATCATGCTGGAATGACAGATGCTCAGAGGCGAAATGTTCAACAGGCATGGATACAAGAAGATAAATGTAAAGTGAGTTTTCTTTTAAGTCATATCACATAGCTTTTCTAAAAACAGTAAATTTAAAAAGCCTATATTTAATGTATTCTTGATTCACTTTGTGAACTAAATATTTTCAAATCCTGTTTAGGATGATTCTGAAGTAGCTTACTCGATAATTCTGGTTAAATGTTTAGGAATCTTTTTCCTTGATACATTTTTTTAAAAAGACAGACTGGAAATACAATTTCTTTACGCAGTATTTTTTTTATCGCACTTTCTTTAAAAACACAGGAAAGAACTAGTAAAACTAACAGGAAACTTGGATTAACTCTAATAAAAAATTTTGTAAAGTAGTTGAAATTTCAAAGTTAATAAATCAAAAAAGAATGCATAAATTTTATCGTCAATCCTGTGTGAAGGGTTCTCAACCACTGTCTAGTAGAATGTTTTTGGCATCAGACAAAGACTACCATAATAAATAGCGGGTTGCATCGCTTACGGTTTTGTCAATCGTCCTTATTTGTTCTCGGTTTCTTCAGACTCCCTTCACCTCCTTAAATCAGGAAATTTTATAAACCTTGAGTAAGGATCCGGGAAGTCTGTTTTTTGAGCGTGCTGACACTTACATCTGGTGACTACCGAAAATCTTTTCTGGATTCATTAACGAATCTAATGTTTGATTCAGATTCATCATAGTCGAGTTCTGACGTTAATTAACAATAAATTAAGATATTTCAGATTTTCATTATATTCAAAAGAATTGTTTCAGAATGGTTGTATTTTGAATTTGTAGATTGTTTGCGCAACTATTGCTTTTGGTATGGGGATAGATAAACCAGATGTTAGATTTGTTATTCACCATTCTTTACCGAAATCCATTGAAGGTTATTATCAAGAGGCTGGACGTTCAGGGCGAGATGGATTACCCTCAACATGTATTCTTTATTATCATTGGCATGATGTTGTCAGATTACGAAAGTTAATACAAGGTTATGTCGAGTTGTACTTAATGAATACTCTTGAATTTTATTCTATCTGAAAATTTACTTGAAATCATTTTTCGTTTAGTTTTGTTTGTCTTTTTTGTGATACAAATTATATGTAAAGAATGAATAACATAGGAAATTCCATATACGTTACTATTATGAGTTGTCATATAAGTTCAGCAAGTTCACTACATAACGTGAAAGTCAATATTTGGATCTCACTGTAGATTATAAAAGAACTAAGGAGTTTGAAAATAATGAACTTGACGGCTATTAAGTATTACACAATATTCATTAATTATTCAATCGATATTGAATTATCATGCAAACGGCATCAAAATGTATTATAGGTATTGTTAATTAATTAGCCAGAATAAATAAAACATAGCTAGCAGTAAAATCCAAAACGCGGGACACAAACCCAGTACATCAACTGGAGGATGCGTTTATTTTCTTCTGGTTTGCGTTTTTTTGGCAAGTTAGTCTTTAGTTGGGATTGGGGCGCCAACCTCCTCCTCCTTTATCCGGGCTTGGGACCTGCAGTAGCCCCGGAGGGTCTACAGACAGAGGATGCTGGTACATCTAAATGACCAGTCTTAAGTAGGATGGAGCCTATATGTTCTATATCAACTTTGTCATTTTAGTTATATTGAGACAATCCCTACAATCCACAAACTCCAACCAAGACTGATCAAATCTCATTTAAAATATCAGCAGGATAATACAAATCATTTCAAATTAAATCAGTAAATCTCGTTCGGCTAATTTATGTATATCCTCTTAGCTGTGTTGTTGTGAAGCATTGCATCTTTGACCAATACACATTCGTCTCAGATCCTACAGCGATAACTATTAGAATGTGTGTTTATACGTTTCATGGAACTGAGATCAGAAATTAACACATCATTCTTCATTTCTATCCGGTGAAATCACGTTACCAACTAATTTTTACTAAAACGTAACTATAATTAGCTTCTAACCGCACTTGTCAGATATATCTGATTGTAAGTAAAAGTTATATTTTGTTGCTGAATTACCTTATGATTTCATTACTATGAAATTTAGTCCTAATTAATCGTAACGAACTTAACAGTAACTTGTTGCACTTTGCTAAGTTTTGTGGGAAATTTGATCTTTGTAAATTAATCACTTTCACTGGCATCTAACATTGAATGTTAATTTATGACTGATGGCTCTATAAGAATCGTAGATAATTCAAAATAAACGTAATGGTAAGCAAATGGAATTAAACATGGTGCTTTTGTAATTCCAGTAACGTCTGGGTGACAGTCCGCCTCATACTACTTATAAGCCGCGTTGTCAGTAGTTTACTCTATACTAAGACTAACTCATAATTTTGTAAATATTATTTATTGAACTTGGTTCTTTTATAATCCAGGCGATGGATCATCTTCAATGGTTAGAGGAACTCATCAATTTCATGAAGATGCACTTTATCGTATGGTTTCTTATTGTGAAAATCAAATTGATTGTCGTCGTAAACAAATATTATCACATTTTGGTGAAGCATTCGATCCGGCTACTTGTGGAACTATAGTTGGCTGTTTGTGTGATAATTGTCAGTTATCTGATCGAAGACGTTTAGAACACAGAGATGTAACGGAAGATGCTATTAAAATAGTTCGTACAGTTGAATTGTTTGTACGATCACGACGCAATGTAACATTAAATTATCTTGTGGATATTTTTCGAGGTAGATGATCATATTATGTAACTATGTAACATTATTTATGTGATATATTACATACTGATACAATAAGCTTGTAAAATTTATGATCTGATTTATCCGGTATAGTTGAAATCTATGTAATCTGGGGCGTTGACTTAACTGATGACTAGTATGTTAACATTCAGTTAAGCTCAGCTTACATTGATGAAAAACGAAAACCGGATAATGTCAGTTTGGCTAAATAAGAAAGTGATAGATACTTTTTTATAGGAAAATTAATCCTTAGCTTTTAAGTTACTCATAATGTATTAATTAGAAGTTAATGCAACCGTAAGAACTTCTTTATTATTTTGATAAAGTGTTTTTTAAAATCAACCAAGCGCTTCATCATATTCGTATAATCATGTCGACATTTTAATGGAATGATTCTTGTGTTAAATGAGAAAGCACTAAAATTATAATAACGAGTAGATATTCTAGTTATTTATTATGTTAATTTGAAATATGTCACTGACCTTTTATTTCTTAATCAGGAGCAAAAACCAGTCAAATTCAAAAAAGTGGTGATGAATCAAATCAAATCTATGGACAAGGATCGGCGTATTCAAAAACAGATGCTGAGAGACTATTTCATCGCTTAGTTTCCGAACGTATCTTGTATGAAGAGTTGGCAGTTACTCAACTAGATCATGTTGTTGCCTATGTTCGCCTTGGATTCAAATCAACAGGATTATTGAATGGTTCTATCAAAGTCAGTTGTTTTGGTGTGATTGATCGCTTTTCCATTGAACTTTTTCTTTTCTAGTGTTTGATATTACACTATGAACTGGACTTATTAACAGTCCATATGCATACATGTATATATATATATATATATATATATATATATATATGATGAAGCAGTATTCTATTAGTATGTAATTTCTTAATTTTCCAGGCAAATTCTAGAACTAATATTGATTTATACTAAGTTGATCGCATTTAACAGTGTAAATAATTAGTCACATTTCGATGTCGGAAAATAATTGTTTTTGTCAGTTTACCCTTTCACGTGAGTAAATAATTGGGTTATTTCTCTTTGATTACTTCAACCCTTCCATTGATTGGTAACTCTCTAACATAGAATTACTGCTAGTTAAGCATGTAAAGCTACAATTTAGGTGCGAACATTTTAATAGATTTTCATACTTTGACGATTTCTTATGAATATTGATCCCAAACTGTTTTTCAACTTATAATGATGATGATAATAATGTTCTAATCGTCTTATACAATAATTCCAGCTGGTACATATACTTCAACAATAAAATGATTAGTAGACTACTTTTAAAATCTCTGGTTGACCTTGATAAGAGAAAGATTGAGAACTAAGGATTAGTGAACCGTTTCTAGATTGGTTTTGCTCATTATTTGAAAACATTCGTCCTCAACCAAATGCACCCATTAAACCTGGTCTTTCGGTGACAAGCGGGCTGCCACTTTTCTACTGCATCAAATAACAATAGTTTATATTTTGGTTAATTAATTTACGCTATTCGAATCAAAGCCTGAATAGAGCAATCATTTTGTGCTCTTTCAAGTTATTTACCTGCTAATATTATTTAGTAATTTAGTTAGTCTTCATTAGATTAAACTCTCACAAAATCGACTAGTTGATTTCGTATGTTAGCTGTTTAAGGGTCGGTATTTTTAGGCTATTCGGAGAAGAAAATAATCGTTACACAGGAACTTTAATGTTTTGTATTCAGTCTACTACTCTATTCGACAAAAGAATAATCGATGTGTGTAGGTTGACAGGCTGAGTATTTATTGATTTTGTGGTTATTATTTCTTTTCATTTATGGATAGTAAAAAAAATAATTCAATTTTTATTTAAAGATTACTTTACCAGTTTCTATACCAAATCGACCAGGACAAAATGAAGTTAATGTTGTGGGTCGCCCACCGGAAGATCGATACGCCAGTGTTCGTAATCAATGCTATGAGGAATTAGTTCAAGCAGCGAAACAACTTAGTAAATCATTGTTTTATTTACGTATTTGTGTAATGTTATTATTATATGGATTTGTTTCTTTTTGCTTTAGACCAACTAATTCATAATAAATAGCCCACTTTTTACTTAGTTGAAAGAATATAAATGGTATTTGTTGTTGTGTTTACAATAAATATAACGTTGCTTTTCTTAGTTCAAATCTAGTTGGTATTAGCTAATACTATTTTTTTTAATTTGAAGAACATTACAACTAGTTGGTTTTATAGGGACTTGTTTTTGTCGATATGGAGTTTATTGATTAAGTTACTAGATGCAACTCGTAATGTACTGTTGTTCTTACTAGTGGAATATTTTGTTCATTGCTCGTAAAGTATATATTTCAAGCAGGAGCGCCGTGTAATTATATATCTTCAAACATTTTCTACTGTTTAACTCAAATTATATACATGGAATTTCATTCTTAGTGTATTGTTTATTATTCGACTCATTATTATTATTACTTTTCACTATACAGCGTCCACTCAAGGCATCTCAAATTACGCTACTGTATTTCCAAATGAAATGTTATTAGAAATGGCTTCAAGTTTACCAGCTACTCGTGAAGAACTACTTCAAATACCTCAGTGTACTGATTACAAATTGAATTGTTTCAATGCAGAATCATCATTTTTAGATATTACTTTAAATTATCTTTCAATTCTTGGTGGTAAGATTTACTTAAAGCTAATAACTCAATAATGTTCTTATTTGATAATGATTTTTTTTTCATTTCATTCAGATTATCACTTTCCTATGTCAGTCAACAATATTTACCTTGTATAGACTGTTTAGTGATAAGGCTTTACGATAAGCATTCATAATTCCTTTTCAAAAACAAGTAAATCTTTCACATTATAAATATAGATGTTGCTAGGTTAATCAATTACGTTCATTTCATTTAATTGTTCGACTAATTTCAAACTTTTATTAAATTTCAAAAACTGTATATAATCTCCATAATTTTCGAGTATGAAAAGTTGGAGTGTTAGAATACTGGTTAGAGTAATGAATAACAAAATTTAACACTAAGCTACTTTACACTCTTTATGCTTGAAGATTATTTTTTTTAAGACAATATCTTCGTCTTTCATAATAATTATTTTGTTTATAAAAGAATAATCTAATGTTTTGTTTGTATTTGTCTTGTTTAAAACTAAGCCTTCCATATTTTAATCTTTTAAGCCTTGAAAGCTGAAGAGAAAGAACAAGAAGAAATGAATACTGTACAACAATCGTTACCACTAGTCGGTAAAAGTCGAGGACGTAATTTCGCTAAACGTGGTCGTGCTAAAGCTTACAGCACAAAAAAGGTTTGTGAATTTCGTTTGTGTTGTTTAAAAAAGACCACTCCCCCACTTATTGATTTCCGATCTGATTGTACTATTCTAGTTAACTGCTTGTTTATTAGTCATTCAATTTCTACTGATTCTAAGCTTCATGTGAACCTTTTAGCAGTTGATTAATCTAAATTGGTTATTAGTACCAATATTTGAAACATTTTCCTTCCATTCAGTCTTATAGTGCACTACTTTTTATGCTAGTTATGGTCAAACCATAAATAATGTGTTACTTTCAATTGAATATTTCAGACGTCAAATGGTGGAGGTGAACGTAAACGAAATTATCTGTTTGGCAAATATCAATTTAAGTCTAATTCCAGTTCGTCAGTGTCATCTGGTAGCACAGCAGGTTGGAAACGGTAAAGACTTTATTGTTAACAAGTGGCCTGACTATGCTTATCTTGAATTTTTTGTCTTTTGTAAAACGAAAACGACTCTATTCTTATTCGTTTTTACTTTAGATCTTGCCCCCACCATTCAGAAAATTTCTAGGAGTTATGATTACCATTCACTTATTTGATTTTGTTATTGGTGCCCTAGTATTCAACACAATGTTTGAAAAATTGTGATTCCCTTCTATTATATTTTAGTCATAATGCGAATATCATGCATTCTTTGGACATATTATTCACTGATTTGTAACAATTAAAATCAGAAACTGATATTATCATGAAAACTGCTATGTTTGAAGTACTGTTTCGTATGATTTTGTGCAAAGTCAAGTCATAAGATTAAATATTTATCATGAACGGATTAATATCAATTAATTAACCACTCAAAACCAGGAAGAACCGAGCAGTTGATCCTTAGTAATGAACATCCACGACCCCCCTGGGAATCGAACCCAGGACTTTAAGGTCTTTCAGTAGGCGCATTCATCAGTTTACTTGTCTAACTTAAATCGATTGAAGACTTGACATATCTCCCAATGTCACTGGGAGATATAGTTAAATTCTAAAAGTACAGGTTTCTCACTAAAATTCTAAGAAATGACCTAAACGATCTCCACACATTTTCCAAATGGTGATTATTGTTTTATTTGACTGATTACATAAAACCATAAAAAAAAACTTAAAAACATATATTTGAACAAGAAATTTATTGACACGTACATTTATAAAGATTATAATTACGTCAGGTGATTTCATAATATCATTTTTCTTGTTATAGAAAAGCTCCGACAAATACGTTCAATTCAAACACATTTCAACCGAAACTAATGAAACTTTCTGTGAAGCGAAACTAATCGGATGCTTTTATTAGCTTTTTGTAAAGTCACTTCATTGTTTTTATACACCTTTGTATATCAACAAAATAGAAATTTTTTAAAGAAAACTAATGTTTCCATTTTCCGATTAAATAATCCTGAACTATTAAGCTTACTGCTAAATACTAACGGGACCAACTTAAGCCTGTTGAGGGGTCCTCATGATTGTTATGGAAGTACCGTCAGTGTGTTGTAATTCTCAGTATTTATAAGATGGTAATTATGCATGGTACTTATAGATTTTTCTCATTTTATCGTAGTTCCACTTCTCTGAGAATAAAAACCACGGTGATAAGGCAGCTCCCTTGGATACGTCAGGAATGATGCTCCCAACTGACTGAAATGGCTAAAAAATGTCTAGCCAAAATATTTACAGAATAAATCTCAATATGGATGTGGTGATCATAATGTCGCTTATACTTCTCTGCACTGGATGTTCATTTTATTCTTCACTAAAATAACTGCTTAAGGTCCTCAAATGCAACAAGCATTTATTAGGTTTCGAACCTAAGAATCCCATGCATCATTTGTGCTATTAAAATTGATTCGTTTTGTAAGACAACTGAATCATTCACGTTCTACTAGATTGTTAGTCTCTGATGCATTATTTCAATGTGATAGCCATTAAATTATAGTGATCGTCAGCTACACCAATAATAGTAGTAACTAGGATACCAAAGATTCACTACCAATTCCCTAACTGATCCTATTCTTCTTTAAAGTAAAAGTACAGATAGTCAGTTACAACGTAAAACTTCGTACGTAAGTACATAAGTTCAGGTTCCTATACCACATTAGCACACCAACGCAATTGTCAGTTCAAATCCAATAGTGGCAGAGATAGAAGTATAACTGGCAATGGAGATATTATTCAAGAAGTATAATTCAGTAACGCAACCTCAGAAAAAGAGATATGAGGAATTCAGATTGAAATTCCAGAGGACACAAAGAATGGATGCACCTGCGCCATGGCAAACGATTTCAAGCGATATCATTCAAGGTCTCTAGCTATCGGTTACTATCGTCTTGCAGACCCCAACCAGGTGGTTTACACCTACCAACATGACTCAGTCTACTTGTCAGTGACATCATAGATTTGTGCCATGTTTTGTTCTGGCCGCCGCTAGCTTTCTGCCAACCTACTCCTACACCAGAAAACATCACTCGTCAACGCAGTCGGTTACTGGTCATTCGTAACACATGTCCCAACCACCTCAACTGATGAATTTTCAAAGCTTCATATAATGGTTTGTCATTCCTACCTAGTACTCGTTTACTAACGGCTGCTTCGAATACTAATAACCAACCAATATATTCTAATCTCAGTAGCCGCGTTTCGCATCCATTTAATAGAACGGAGCGAACTACTGCGCAGTACACTCGGCCTATTATTAACAGACGGATATCTCTCCCTATGCCATAAGTGACGTAAATCGGCAAAAGCCAATTGAGCCTTCTCTATCCGTGGCGAGATTTCGTCAGTCACTAGATCTTCAGCACTAATGAGACTCTGGAGATAAGTGAAGCAGTCAACATGCTCAACCACTTCACTCCCTATCACTAGTTAATGTGCCGATACAAGCGAATCCTGAAGCAACGTTTTGCATTTCAAGAGGGAGAATCGCATCCCGAACATGCTTGCACTGTTGCTTAGGGTAGTCAGGAGACATTGCATTTTGTCAGCGTCTTCACCGAATAAATCTATGTCATCGGCATATCCTAAGACATGTAAATTTCCTGTTAGAAGGCCCACCCCTGAAAAGTCAGACGATGATGATGTCAATTCTAAAAGCATATCAACGACAAAGTTAAACAGGAATGGAGAGAGTGGACAGCGCTGAAGGACACCACTTGAATTAACTAATTCCGATGACAGTTCGCCATAAGCTCTTACTCGACCAGTGGTGTTCGAGTAGAGATCTTGTATGAAGTTAATGTACTTCGGCACACCTTTCAATGACAGACACTTCTACAGAACCTCACGATCAACGGAGTCGAATACCGCTTTAAAGTTAAGAAATACTACTATTGTGGGACGTCGAAAGGTCTTTCTATATTACAAAACCTGACGAAAAGTGACTAGTTGGTCCATACAGCCACGTCCAGGTCTGAAACCTGACTGGTTATCTCGAGTATGCTCTTCACGAGTTCTAGTTAGGCGTCGAAGTATTACTGAATCCAATATATAAGACACTATGTTAGTCAGACTGATTTCCCTGAGACTGTCACAAGAAAACTTTTGTCCTTCCTCATAAATTGGGACAATATGTGGTCGAGATCATTTAGATGGGACTACGTCTAGTTCCCAAGTTCTACCTAAAATCTCAGTCAATCTAACTGCTAAAACTGGACCACCATCCTTAAAAATCCCAGGGGTAGGTATAGATAATCGGTTACAGTTTACTGAATAACCAGTTTAATCATAAACTTAAGTATTTCCATCTTTCAGCTACATCTCGGTAAACGTGATATTAACAATGAAATGATGAATTTCACTTTGACAATAATGGGCGAAATCTTAAGCATAGCTTACCACTATGATGCACTGATTCCTGGCAGATTAGTTGTTCCAACAATAACCTCATGGAAGTGCAATAATATTGTTAGTTCAGTGGTAGGACTGTGAGTACAAAAGCATTATTTTAGAGAAGTGAACACACGTGTAATACAATGTGATTGCTGGATACTTAGTGCTTTGTATTTGTAACGTAAGAATTCATCCTAAGTCTGTGTTGATGGTCAGTTGATTTAGAAGTAAACAAATTTATAAATATAGTTCAAAGCGAGTAGCCTATACATGAGGACAATTTCTCTTTAAATCATATACCCTATAGCACTACTATACGCAAAACAGTTAGTGATAGCAAAGATAATTATATTACTTAATATAAAAACGAATAACTGCACACACTCAGTGTGATTATCTGTGTGGATTCGATACGGTCATAATATCAGCAATATTCATGACGTTTAGTAGACTAAATAAACATATTTTCAAGTAGTCATATGAGAAATTTAGGTTTAAGAAAGAGATTGTAGCATTTAAGTTATTGGTTTTAAGTGTTCATCTCACTATCCAGTAAAAATAACTGGTCGTGACTATCAAGTTATCAACTTTGGTTTTTTATATTTGCATCGATAGAGTCGTACTGATGTACCAGTATCTTGAACATTCTTCGTTTACTATAAACAGCTTCATAAAAATCAGCGATTCATTTTCAGATAGTTTCTACACCATTTTCGAGACAAACTTTCATAATCACACACTAGTCGGTAATTATGTTAGCCCGACGATTTTGTGCACTACTCACAACGGAGCTCGTAAGTAGTATACAGTGGATATATATCATTGTCGCCCAGAATTAACGGATAAAGCGAAGTGTCGTATCCGTATGTACAGCGCGATCAGAATGTTCTGAAGAGTACAAGAGGCGTGGAAGAGGATAGCCCAGAATACATTTGTTTTGCAAATGGATATTTTATGACAAGGTGTACACTTTTTCGGCTAGTAAGTCCCATCCTTCAAATAAACTGCTTATCCCATCTGGTCTTCTTTCGTTACAACACCACTATCACATCGACGTGCTTTGTGGTTGACGTCCTTACAAATATTATACTTATGCCTTCGTGCTATGTTTAGCGATCTCCGAATCCCACCTATTTAGAACTGTAGCAATCAAAGTGAAAAATATCTCAAACAATTTATATCTGCAGAAAACAAAAGTTAGGAAAAAAGGATCATTCATTGTCAGAAATAACTATGCTTTTCAATGTAGTGTACTGATTGAGAAGTCAAATAAGTGCAAAACAAATCTCTCAAAATAAGGTGCACTACCTGAATTGTTTGGTTAATATTATTGATACACAATTTTGCTTGTTATATTATTTGTACATATATATTGGTAAAAACGTCATGAAGTAAACCACCATGCTGCCTTTAACTGTGAATCATCAGTTGAAATTATGAGACAGATGAAGACAATGAGTTTATTCTACTTCCCAATAACTAATCTATAACGAGGCTAGTTCGGGTGGAAGTTCAAGCTGTGCCAAGTCGCGGAAGTGTAGCAACATTGCCATCATTTTTGTCAACCGTGGTACAGTGGATGATACACCGGAATAACCCACAGAGTTTGCAGTCACAGAGCCTTTCTCTTCAGAAGTATCAATTTCATCGCCTGATGATTCGATATGTCGGAGTATAGCTCGATTTAGTGCTCCTGCAACCACTTCAGCATGTTGGGGACTGAGCAGCTTGCCGTAAATACTTTCAGCAGGATTGTCAAAAGCTAATAGTGCCATGGTATTTTGCATTTCATTTAATAACTGAGGATGCTCTGATAAACGTTTGGCTACCGGATCTGCTAAATACGATTGGGCAAATATAAGAGCCTCTTCTAAACGTTTGTTTCGAATAAGTTCTAGCATTTGCAGCTGACGAAGCTAATCAAAAAGAGAAAATTTAGAGATAAGAAAAGATTTAGTTAGTCTTTAGCGTAAACCTTTTTTGTTTTCCGCGGTTACATAAATTAAAGACTATGTGGAGTTGAATTGTTGAGGTTATTTTGTAAATAATTTACGATAAGTGGTGCGTTAGTATCATAATTCGGCGAAAACATCGCCTTCTTATAGATATTATAATGAAACTTGCTGTATAAGTGGTTCGTATTATTGCATAGTGCAACAACTGGGACTGAAGTAGTTCAAAACTTCATTTATTTAGTGATTGGTGTAAAAATAAGTAATGGTGATCTTAAGTGTACAGTACCATACAAAGGCGATAAACTAGCTGATAAGATTATGTACTTTGATCAACTGAGGCAACTGAATAACGGTGTCATGCATACCTAGTTACTGGTTACATCTACGCACTATTATGAAGTGAGCTTAAAAACCCTTAGGTCATGACGCGATATATGCTTATGGAATCAACTATCTACCTGTCATTGAGAAAGATTTGCACTTTTAAGTCATGTTACTCGAAACCATAGTGGGTAATGATAGCGGAATTCAAGTGAAGTAAAGGTACAATTGTATTTACTTCGGATCTTTCCTGACATCTATTAAGATACTTGTAGTAATTGATCTCAATTGATCTAAAAACTTTAACTTGGTTCTGTTTTATTTCAATAGTTTTCTACTTCTTTACTATTATCTATACTCCATGTATACACTTCATCATGTTACGTTATTTAAAGATCAACATTCTCAAACCCTTTACCATAAGTTTTTTTTATGTATGAAGTTTTGAATTTGTTTAGTTTGTAGGTAGCATTCGTCACGCAGTGACTTCAGATGATGCAACAGTGAAAATCAGGAGGCATCAGAGAGCTACAATTCCAGATAGTTATTAATTTATTATACCAACTGGATGACCTATCAATTATGAACTTGTTTGAATAATAGTAACACCTTACAGGGAAAATGCGTATCAAGTATTATATACAAATTTTTAAAATAGGTAATTTTTCGAGATGAATAGAATATCTTACTTGAAAGTAGATGAAAGGATTTTTGTCAAACAGTTCAGGCCATAATCGATTGACTGTATCAATCACATCCTCAATTTTTCGTAACAAAACTGCTTCACGAATCCACATACGATCATTCAAACTTGCACCTGCAACTTGCAATTCATTTAAAGGCTCCACTATTCCTGTCTCACGGCTGAATTTTTCCGCAACATCTTTGTAACCTTCAACAACTAAATACTCCAAAATAAGTCGATTTATTTCTTGTCTAGTGAGACTAAGTCCATCTTGTCCTTCAATGGGCCCAAGAGTGTGAAGAGGGACACCGACTGATGATGTACTGCTTGACATTTCAGTACCAACTGTACTAATAAGGGCTAATTCAGTTTGCCCACTATTTACTACTGTATGTGGACTGGACATAGATCTGAACAATAAGATTGACAACAGGAAAGTATTAAAGCCAAGTTAAGTTCATCGGTATACGAAAACAAGTATTCAGCAATAAAAATTTGTCCCACGTATTGCACCAACCAAAGAACCAAGATTTAAACACAATACGTCATTAAAAGTATTTAAGCATGTAAAAGAGCACAAGAATGCACAAAAATCAGAAATTTATTCAAGAAAATCGAGTGATTGAGAAAGCCTCAAAGGGCGGCTTTTGTATGCGGATTGTGATTTAAGGCTTTGAACTTCTTATTGCTAAACGAAGAGGTATTACTCATATCTCTTATCACAAAAGTTCGTAAGTAAATAGTAGCGGTTTCGATGAGAAAGTATACTGTTTGCTTGTCTGATATAGGGGTTAAATGGAGGAAAGCTAAGGGTTGCCAAACCGTAAAACGGCACAAATTCACGAAGTCAGTGACTACTGGACTGAATCATATTAGCAGGTGTGGACTAGCTGGTTGGGGTCCAAAAGACAATTGTAACCGCTGGTTAGATACCCTGAATGACTTAGTTAAAAATCGTTTTTAATGGCCCAGGTGCATCCATTTTTTGTCTTCTCTCAAATTCTAATCATCTAGGTTTTTCATTACTTTTATCGTTTTAAATTTATTTCACTAGGTTATATTTCTGGAATCTTATACCTTCGTTGCCTAATCTTTTCTACCACCGCTGATAATGCTACAACCTCTAAAACTATGGGGATTGGAATTGACAATCACATCTCTACTGTGGTATGGCAACTGTAGGTGGTGTAAATACATACCGAATTTTACGTTGTAGTTGACTGACTGGTCTGCAATTTAGACAAAATGATACCATGCCACATACACTAAAATTTACATAAGTACACAGGCTTTAACACTTCCTATAGAGAAAACCTCTAGAAAGGAACATTTACAAACATTTGTAACTGAAAGTAAAGAAAGACAAAGAAGTCCAATCATACAAATTGATGTAACCGGCTATGAAAGTAGTTATGAGTGAAGTAGTCTTTGAAAGATAGGAGTTTATTATAACGAGTCAGTCAGTTGTAACGTGGAACTTGGTACGTACATACTTCACTAATGCAAGATAATATCGTCAAGTCAAATTATATGGTTGTAGCGAAATCATAGTTAACAGAAACGATAAGGGATAGAAGATAAGACTCAAGAAAGTATAAATCAGTTAAAAATTTTTAAAAACTTGGAATTTCGAAGAAAATAGAGATGCATTTGCATTATTGAAAAATAATTTTGAGCTCTGTCAATCAAAGTCTCTAATCACCGGTTACGATTGTCTCGTGGACCCGAAAAAGGCAGTCTACACCTACTAACATGGCTCGGTCTCAATCAATAAATCAATAAACAGTAACCTTTAACTTCGTGCGCAAGTACATCAGTCCAAGTTGCCATACCACGTTGGAACAGAGATTGTAACTGTCAATTCAAATCCAATAGTAGCAGACGTAGTAAAGGTATCAGCAGTATTTGGAATGATTAGGGTTCAAAAATATTATTCAAGAAGTAGAACCTAGTGAAATAAACTTGAAAATAAAAAGATAAAGTGATGAGTAATTTAGAAGTCTAAGATTTGAGAGAACACGAATAATAAACGCACCTGCGCCATTGCGAACGGTTTTGAGCCGTCATTCAGTGACTCTAACCATCGATTACTATCATCTCGCGGATCTCAACCAGGCAGTCGACACCTACCGACATGACTTAGCCCACTTGTCAATGACTTCATGGGTTTGGGACATGTTTTGGTTTGGCCGCTCCTAGCTTTCAGCCAACCTATTCCTACATCGCAAGACATAGCTCGACGAGGCAGTCGATGGTTAGGCTTACGCAACACATGTCTCGACCACATCAACTGATGAAGTTTCAACACTTCATCTATTGACCTGCCATCCTTAACTAGCACCCGTTTCCTAACAACAGCATTGCTTACTCGGTTATCCCAGGATATACGAGCAACGCTTCGAAGACACCTATGATCAAAAACCAGTAACCTATGAATATTTTCTACTCTAAATGGCCATATTTCACAGCCATAAAGTAGGACGAAGCGAACTACTGCGAAATACACTCGTCTTTTAATCAGCAAACGGATATCTCGCTTTCGCCATAAGTGACGCAAGTTGGCAAAAGCCAATCGAGCATTCTGTATCCGTACTGAGATTTCGTCAGTCACCAGGCCATCGGCACTAACGAGACTGCGAGGTTAAGTGAAGCGGTCAACATGCTCAAATGCTCCACTTCTTATCATTAGTTTGGAGGCAAACGCAAGCCAATCTTCAAGCGACATTTTGCGTTTCGACGGGGAGAATCGCATACCGAACATACTTGCATTTTTGCTCAGGGTAGTCAGGGGCTACTGCATTTTGTCAACGTCTTCACCTAATAGAACTATGTCATTGGCATATCCTAAGTCAACGTGTGAATTTCCCGTTAGAACGTCCACCTCTGAAAAGTCAGACGATGACAGGGTCATCTCTAAAAGCGAATCAATACGAAAGCTAAGCGACCAATAGTGTTCGAGTAGAGAGCTTGTATAAGGTTAATGTACTTCCTTGGTACATCTTTTGATGACAGATACTGCCACAGAACCTCACGATCCACTGAGTCCAATGCCGCCTTAAGGTCCAAGAAGACAACTATCGTATGACGCCTAGACGCCAGACTTTTGTCCTTTCTTATAAATTGGGACAATCAGGGATTGAGACCAGTCGGATGGGATTTCGTTCAGGACTCAGATGCAACCTAAGATCTCAATCAATCTAGCTGCTAAAACTGGACCACCATCCTTAAAAATCTCAGGGATCAATCTTTCCTTCACTTCAGACATCCTATCGCTTTCTCAAACTTTATAAATAGTCGTAGGGCGAATGTCGATGGCTCAGTCTAGCAGTCAGTGGCTTCATGAATGCGTGTCATGTTTTGATTTAGCAGCACCTAGCTTCATTTCAGCTCATTCGTACATCAGACATCACTCGTCAAGGCAGTCGGCTGTCAGTCAGTCAATCAGATGCAACGTAGAACTTCGTACGTAAGTACATCAGTTCGTGTTGCCATACTACATTAGCACATCTCTGACTTGCCATTTTCACCTAGTACCCTTTTCTTAACACCATGGTCTCAGAATATACAAGCAATGCTTTGGAGACACAGATGATTGAATACTAGTCACCTACAAATACACGTATAGTAATACGAATTGGACTGCTACGCATCAGACTCGACCTTTGGTTGGCAGATGAATGTCTCTTCTACGCCGTAAGTGACGCAAAATTGGAAGAGCCGGTCATGCCTTCAGCATCCATGTGGAGACTTTTTCACACACCAGGCCATCAGCACTGGTGAGCCTCCTAGGATAGGTTGAGTGGTTAGCATTTTCAACTACTTTACTTCCAATTCATGTTTAACAGGCACTCAGTTACACTTTCTTATGATTACTTTTATTTCGGATCGTGTAAAAAGACATCACATAACTATTTTTTCTCATTTTTTTATTTGTATTCGTCTTCAAGTAATCAACAAGTAATTCAATCATGGAATTCACAAGGAGACAGTTATAGTGCATAAACAACTGTTAATCCACTACGGCTAGCCGAATTTTCGAAGTTTACTATATAGTGAGTGTCAGCATGTTCAGATAGCTTGAAACGTACAACCGTAAAAGTTGCTATTGAGAAAAATGAAAGTTACTACCCTAACAAATGGCATGCAGCTACAGTATTCAAATAAATGTTAGTATCTGAGTATCCAAAAAGACAAATAACACAAAAACAACTATGAATTACATTTATTCGCATTTGCCTCGCAATAATGATTAACGTCCCATAACTTCTCCTTTTTCGTTTCTCAAATCCGTAGTTCATTGTAGTGGTAATTTTAAAAACGATATGATCGGTTCGTACTGTTTAAGATGGGTATAAGTGCTAGTAATTTTTTCATTGTTCGGGACAACTATTACGTATGCCCAACGATCAACTGCCTCGACGAGCGGTGTTGTCTGATTTAGGGGTAGGCTGAAAGTAAGCTTAGGGTAGCCAAAGCAAAACATGGCACAAATCCATGAAGTCACTGGCAAGTGGACTGAGCCGTGTTGGTAAGTGTAGACTACCTTTTTGGGGTTCACAAGACAACCGATGGTTAAAGACCATGAATGACATGGCTGAAAGTCGTTCACAATGGCGCAGATGCATCTACTCCTTGTGTTCCCTCAAATTATGATCTTAGTTTCGCATGAGTTTTTTCTGTATTCAACTTTATTTCCCTTAATTTTACTTTTCGGTGGATATTTACCATCTCTAATCTTTTTTATTGACGCTAATAATTTTAATACCTCTACTGCTATGAGATCTGAATCCACAATTCGATCGTTGTGTTAATGTGGTATGGCGACTCGAACTGATGTACCTACATACTAAGTCTTATATTGATGCTAACTGACTGTACTATCATTATAAGAAGCGTAAAACTCGACAGATGTACATTACTTTAAATTTCTGTACATTAATAACTCACCCCAGATAGAGGTATCAATATACCGTACAGTGAAATACGGAAATGAAGGATCCTCACTAATGCCGATAGCCGCTAGTTTCCAATGACCTATAAACTAGCACATTATAACAAAGTCGAAGAACTGTTTAGGGTATTCCCTAGAAGATTTGCACATCTTAAAGTATGTAAACAAAGCCTTGCACATCTATAAACTAATTAAAACAAATTATTCTGTATATAACTGTCAACAGTATTGCTGTTCGTTCCGTGACTGCTGGATAGATTCAGTTGACGATAAGACTAAACTTTCAATAGTTAAATGTATCTGGTTGGCCTTCCTAACTCAGTTCTTTTCTAATATATCCACTCATATATACATATGGAATGCAATATTGGATAACTGTCATTAATACCTAACGAAAAGCACTTACGTAGACGTCACAACAATGTATACATTATCCCACCCTATACTGACTGTCAACAGCATGCTTATTACGAAGTTTCTGGGTGCGAATTGGAACTGCTGTTTGAATAGCATGCTGAATATAAAAATTAAGATGTTAAATTCAGTTACCACACATTCATGTTGAGGTTTACCGTCCCAAGCAAAATCTCCAGAATTTAACTCTTCCATTCTTTGAAGGTGTGCATTGACTAGTGAGACCAAATTCAAGAGATGTGTGACAAGTAATCAGTGCTGCTGAAGGTTAGTAGTGACTGTGCGACTTAACGATTGATATATAAATGCTATTAAGTGACGGAGTATAATTTTAATTATTTAGAAGGTTTTTCATTTTCCTTTTGTCACGTCAGTCAGTTTTAAAAATTGATAGCAATCGTGGTTTTATCACATAAATTTCGGTTTATTAAGTTCAAGATTGAGTACATCTTTGGCTGCATGTCTGACAGTTTGTATTTCACTTAGGATGTACTATTTTTCAATTAAAGAATGTTTGATAATCGAAAATGTTTACGATGCAAAATTGGTTCGCTTATGTATAGAAATTCGCTACAGCAGACAGAGTAAAATGCTTTCGGCTTTCAGAAAATTACCATTCCGTACTAAAACTACCGTTTATTCAATTCGCCTAAATTATTACTTAGTGAAATTCACAATTTGTACTGACTTGGATTGTTGTTGAAAAAAATGCAGAAGTATGCTGTGCCCATATTTGTACCAATCTTAAATGTGGTTTTAACTGATGATGGCTTCCAAAATTACATTTAATTTCTTAGATACTAATAATATGTTAATCTCAAATAACAACGTGATACAAGAGACGTGATAGTTTGCTGGTTAGATCAAGTTGCTTGAAATGCTACCACATTTACTGTAAAAGGTTTCACTGGTAGATTGATAACAAGAGTCTTTTCGTGACAGAAAATGTACGCCATGTCATTGACAGGAACTGTTTGATACAGCCATATTTTCAACGAGTGATTACAATTACGGTGGGTGCACAGCACAGTTCTTGATTGGTTTGCATAAATCAGGAGTGAATTTGTTGGAAAAGCGCTTGATACAAGCTTCAGGCTTGACAGGATTGTATCTAAAGTGCATTTTGCGCAGAAGCAACATACTTGTTCTACTGGCGATAGTGTCCTGAGAGAAAACAAAAGGTGGACAAAATAAAATGATACGACCTGATATATAACCAGAGCATTTCCTAACCGTTCATGATAGGACAGGAAAAGCAATGATATGTCAAGGTAAAATCCATATGGACTACTAGAATTATAATAAATTGTGGTGACCAGGTGTTTCGAACTAGGAATGCAGAAACGCAGGTTAATAGTTTGTTGCGTGGTTTACTGTGGATAGATGAGAATTTGGATTTTGATACTTCGAAAATGACAGTTCAGGAAAAAAAGTTTGTGAAAAGCATTTCGAAAGAGATCGTTCAACATTTATCATTTTTCCATCAAATTTCAACCTCTAAGTTATACTGTAAATGCCTGAGTATGATTGTAGTAGTATGTCCAAGAAACCGCCACCTCTTCGGGTTCGATCAAATAATCTAAGCTGGAGACTTTAACACTCCATATATAAATCTCAGAAAACAGGGTAAAACTCCAAATACTTTGTTCGATAGACGACTTTGTGCAGCCATCGGAAGCTCTAGGGTGACTAAGCATGGATTCATGTCCACTAGATAGATTATGGAGGGAAGCTGGACAATTTTTTAACATGTGATCAGCTCGGTCGAGGATGTTCATGTTCAAAAATAAGCTGGAAGTTGTGACTACAGAACAAACTTGTTTCAGATCTTCGGAAAAGGAATCCTCAGGTAGGACGTAAACGAGCACTACCTTCGCTACACCAGGGCTAATTACACGCGAATGAGGGCGCATCCTCTAAATGCACCATGGACAAGGGAATACTGAAGGCTAACAGTAGATGATCACTGGCAAACAGTGAGAGAAAACCTCCAGAATGCTATTCTAAACAATGTGCGTTAGGAGCACCACCGAGCTAGAAATTGGAGAACTTGGGTTAGGCGAGGCACTGAACGCTTTTTACGGGCGAAAAGGAGAGCCTGGCACAAGTGGAGGATCTCTCTGAAGGATTCTGACCGTAGTTTTTACTTGGCGTTGAGAAACAGATGCAATGATAAAGCTTGAAGCTATATGAGATGCTTTCAGATGAAGGTAGCTGTCCAAATACAGGCCAACCCTAAGCATCTGATTAAATTCATGAGAAAAGCTTTTATGTTTTGCACTTGATGTAACGTCAAACCACTGTACTAATGACACACCGAACGTTAGACCCCTCCGTTCAAAAATAAGAAGACGGAAGACGTTGGAGTACGCTTATTAACAGAATCAAAAATATACAATCAAACATCCGTATTTATACAATTATATAAAGGTTGTTTAAATATTTTGAACATTAATCAAATAGTTCATCATGAACAATAGTCACATAGTTCATCATGAACATTAGTCAAATAGTTCATCATCCACAATCTGCGTGGCTTTCTTCTCGATTGGCCATCCTAACAAAAGCCTACCAACAAGCCTGTTTGTTCCCTCACAGTTCCAAATGGCGAAGATCTTAACAACCTAGAAATAGCTGAGGACTTCGAATCTAGCTTCATCGATGGAATAAACCAAGTAGCCACATTCACAGTACTCGACTGATCAGTTAAATTGGGTAACCAGATGTTCAGAATACTACATAAACCCAGTGAAAGCTGACGCCTAAGTGAATCTCCGATTACTGTGAAAGTTGAGGAGGCATCCGAATGGCTGGACCACCATCGATTGGACACGGTTAAACACCTGGAACCGTACCGAAAGAACAAGAATTGAGCGCAAATAAATGAACTGGTTTATATTAGCTGGTGAAAAATATATTGGATATTGTACTAGCTCATGTACGTATTGAACACTGTAACGTCATAGTGATTAGAGTTCCAGCGCTAATCTAAAGGTTTTCTTAGGATGTTCGATTGTTATTAATTCAAATGTTATGATTTAAAATAATATATCCTTAACTGCCATAAATGAAGCTCATGCTTGAAGTCGGTTCGAAATTTATTTGCCCATGCGGAATAATACTTGTAACTCTAATTCATAAATGACAAACGAAATGAATGGTCATGAAGAGCTCAACAAAATAGGATCCTTTCTTAGTAGTGATTCTGCAGTAAAAAGACAGATAAGTTCAAGATCATGGCTTGACATATATGGGCTAAAGAATAATAACATCGATAAATTGTCTGTTCTACAGAACATTGGATTTCAAGTAAGAGGAGGTAAGCTAAAACTCTTAACAACTTTGGAAACTGCAGAGTATCACCATTGTCTTGGCAAATATGTAAAATCCTGTTACGGTGATAATCTTTTCGTGAGGATAAAAAATGATAGAACTGGAGATGTCTATAATGTATGTTAATTCCTGGTTATTTAACCTTGAAGGTTATTGCTAAGAAAGGGTATATTGAGCAATTAAAGCTGCGGATTAAACAAGCTGCAAGTCTGTATCGCAATCGCCTTACATGGTTAACTTCTGGAAGTAGATCAGTCTTTGGTGTTATCCAAGAGCGTTCAGCTGTTTTTCTTTTGGATATTAAAACACAGTCCCCTGAAATATTTTCTAATTTTGTCAATTCGCTACAATATCTCATTTCAGAGCAGATAGCAAATATGAAGATGGTCAACATGATTAGGTAACCTTTGTTCTTTCTGCTTGATGCATTAGATGTCAGGATGAACCAAATGTTTTTTCAGCCGAATTAGAACCTGTAAATACTTCAACGTTGAAAAATCTGGTGGAGTGGATAAGAAAAATAGAGCGTCTCTCGTTCTTTAGTGAAAACTGTACAATTGATTGCATTTTAAGAATGATTCAATTTAAAAAAGTGAATCTCCGTAATTTTGAAAGCCTATGAGCGCTTAGACTTGCGTGCATATAAGATAAACACTTTATATTTTGTGTAGCAGCGAGCGGCTTACATTGGTTCTGTACTTATTTGCATTTTTCAGTCAGCTAGTTAGGTTGTGTGCATTCGTCTATGTTATCGAATATATAGCTTTTCGTTGAAACTTAACTGAATGTATTAACGCAACATAATTTGGGAAGCAGCTGCAGATTTAGATTGGGTTTTATCTGATCACGATTTGTAAATTCCGCTGCGGAGGCCACAAGCAGGATTAGCCGTATAGCAGAAAATAAGAGCCGAAAGAATTTTTATTTGTTAATCCATGTAGAGTACTTAAATTCTGCCATAATAAGACATCAATGTATGGTACACATGAAGTGAAAACATGTCTTAAACAGAGACTCACCGTTTGCGTCACGGCCAGGCGTCAGCAACTAATGTACAAGATGAGGGTCTTTGAGATGATATTCAGTGAATTATTACTCGATTTACTATGTTTTTAAGGCGTTTTGCTAGGTTTGAGGCTAGATAATCTTCGTAAAAATTGTTTGATATCATTGTATTGCTAGTAGCATAAGTAATTGAACTCAAAGAACGTGATACCACCGAAATCGTCGCTCCTCTTTGCTAATCTTCTACATAATTTTTATATCAAAACGTAGTGTTGCAGTGAATAGAGGATAAATTTTTACTGAGTGTTTTGTTATTCGTCACTTAAACTAAAAACTGGTTTCACCATATAGGAGTTAGTCATGCAACCTTCAAACTAAGATAGAAATTCGCCTCATGAATAGTAGGTCATGACATTAGAGTTGGCTCACCTAGTTTACTACAAATTTGTAAATGAGGGATGATCGACAACTTACTTATGCCACACTTTCCTTGCCAATGTAGTGCAAATCATTTTATTTAGGTTTCGTGTGTTAAATCTCTGATCGAAAGTTAAATTATCTTATAGAAATAAACATACATACTATTTTGAAATTTAAATGTGCATATCTTGGTTATTTTTGAACATACAGAGTTTCGAATCAGTTTATTTAATCACAGAAGGTGAATCAACTATGACATCACCGGAACTACTTGAAAATATTGTCAAAACTTTAAAATATCCACTGCATATTGTATCGTATTGTTGTGAAGATATGAGAACAATAGATTATTTGCATAAATTATCTAAACATACTGGTGGACGGTAAGATATGAACTATAATTAAATAAAATTAAGAATTCATGTTGTTCCTATCTCCGAATCATCTTGATGCTACTATAATCACCAATATATACATCTGTGTACAAAAAAAGTGGTTTGATTCTATTAAAGGAATTCGGAATGTATGACGTATGTCTTATACACAGACCAAAAAATTAACTTTAAGTTTTATAAATAAATACTACAGCCCACTGAACTAACTGGTTCAACTCAGAAGACCAGTTTTTACTCCTAGTTACTTCTGGACATAATGTGATTTATTATTAAAGGTAATACTTCTCTAGTAACCTACAGGTAGCTAGAATTTATATTAAGTATACCAATTCATCGACTTTCCCTAGCTGGTGTCTTAACTATTGTCTAAAGACGAGGTGAGGTGGCCGAGAATCCTTAGTCATGGCACATGTTTACTAACTTAATCTTCTCGAATGTTTTTCACTCCCAATTCTCCTCTTTGATACCTAATCTTTTTTACTGCCACCAGTACTAATATTATTTCTATTATTCTGATAATTGCTTTAATGATTTTGTCTCACTTTTGCAATATGGTGTGTAAGCTTGAACCTAGAAATCTATCGACCCGGCACTGTGTCATACATGAATGAGTTGTTGGAAACAATCAGTGCTATTCTGTGGATAATTACAGTAATAAGTATGCTGTGATTACATGAAATATTTTCAGCTATTCGGGGAAGCCAATGACTGTTAGGTTCTGTTATTGATCAATGGAAAAACGAAAATTAAAAAATACTTCACGCAAAAATAGTACTGAGCAATCATATTCTTAAATTTTTAATTACTTTATTTGATCATATATTTTAACAGAAAAATCATTTTTACCAGTAATAGGAATACTACTACAAGTCCTTAATTTTCACTAAATTATTCATGCTGGGTTTTAGTTTTTAAGAAAAAGTACTGTATTCACATGAGGCCAAGGAAATAAACGCTCAATCTTTGAATACCCTTATTTGTATGCAAACTTCAACCCATAAGAAAGTGCATTAAACTGAGAATTGGAGAAATGACATCTTTTTCATAAACAAGCAATTGCAGTAACTTAAAACTGTCTACAGACATAACACGAAATTTTGACCATAGAAAACAATAAAACATTAAAAATGAAAAATAAGACTGGAATTATCGGCAAATTAACAAAAAAATATAATAACAAGATGTTCAGGATCCAAGGGCAGTATTCTATCCAATTTCAATAGTAAATTAAGGAGTGTCGACTTTATTTTACTGTAAAAATGAAAATAAAACTATTCACATATTCTGAACGCTCTTATCTACTAAAAATGAGAATACACAAACTAAAACAATCAAGACTGAAATTCATATTGATGGTGTAGTTTTCTACAAAATAAAACTTTGTTTTCTTAAGTGATCTATAGATATTCTTTCAATTGAACACTAAATGATTCAGTTACACATTAAATCTAAAAACTGAAAAATACATCAAATTGAAGTGTCCTATTGAAAAATTAGATTAAGCTTTTAGTCATGAGAAGATATCCAGTAGTCATTGAAACAAAAAGGAATAATTCATCCCTAAAATAATCCAGTAGACATGAAAACCCAACATATATCGTGAAGAAACAACCACAAATGCATTTTTCATGCGAGAGCAATCACAACTAACATATACAAATTAGGGGCAGGGATTCCAAAACAGATAAACCATTTCAGATAAATAAAGGTTTAGAAAATACCCTACATAAAGAAGGCCGAACAATAAAACTTTGAAGTATGAAAAAGTGATCAACTAGAGGATGCAGACAATGAATGTCTATATACAACAAAATACAGTATAGAAACCAAAATGATAGTGATATATAACTCAAAAAACTGACAAGTGTAAAACAACAAAAAGAGTCATTAGGCAAGTAAGTGGGGTAAAGACTGAAAAAAAGGGAATAGTTTTATTATCGAGAATAAGCTTAAGTGGTTTTTTCATATATAAGGTGAAAAACTTTTTATTCTCCATAATAAGTATGAATTCTATGTGACCCGGCTATTCAGCAGGTGTTGAATTAAAAATTTTATTAATTTTTTTCATTCAGAAGAAAATGTTGGGAAACTTTGTACTCTTCTTAGTTCGTTACTAATAAATGAACTCATTATGTTAGTATACTTATGTTAAACGATGTAGATTTGACGTAGCTCAGATATACAACTCAAATAATTATATGAATCATACATTTAAGTTTTGATTAAAAAGTTAACTCGAACAATTCAAATCTAGGTTTTTAAATTAAAGTTACTAAGTGCAGCATAGTATAAAACAGTTTCGCGAATTCAACAGTTAATCTGAACTTTTAAAATTTTATTTAATAAAAATATTCAAATAGATTTCATGCTTACTGCATCAACATGAGTATACCGTTATATTCACCAAGTTGCTGGGATGTAGAACAATTTCGACAAACCGTCCATGTAAATAAGATTGAATATGGTGGTCCACCTAAAGGTTGGGGTCAACATGAAGATTGTTTATTAATATTTGAAGAACTAGAAGAAGCTCAATCTCTGTTACAACGTATTGAACAAGTACTCCATGATATTGGTCAAATGCCTGATTACACAGTTAAAGGTAGAATGATATTATGAATGATGAATTGCAGTTATATTAGATTTAAATGCATTTTGCTCATAATTTGGCTCATTTATTCATGTGTGCGCTATAAGGCCTAGGTAATCTACCAAGCCCGAATCGTCTAGCTGCATTCAAGCTGTCCACAACATTCTGTGACTTTCCTCAGATGTTGACGTCTCCATAATCCAGTCGACCAGTGGGAGAGTAAGAAAAGTTGAGAGTAAGCAACCCTATCTGATAGTGCTCCTCACTTGGAACAAGTCTGTGAGTTGTCCTCCATTCACGATTTCGCAGTTCAGTCTGTCATAAGAATTCCGTATGATGTTGACTATCTTATCAGATACGCCTTAGTGTCGAAGAAGCCTCAATGGTGTCATCCTGTCACCCCATCACATTCGTTCTCGAAGTCAAGTAAGGTGAAGTGAAGTGGTGAATCCTACTCAACTAATTATTCCACAGTGACTCGTGGTGTCGTGATCCTTACGGAATCTCGACTGCTGATCTCGAAGTCGGGTGTCTACGGAATCTGTCATTCGGCTTAACAACAACGGGTTGAAGACGTCTCCTGGCATTGGGAGTAGAGTGTTTCCTCTGTAGTTCTCACACTTGTTTAGATATGTTTTCTTTGATATCTTGATGAGGTGTGCTTCTTTCCAGTCTGTTGGCACATGTTCGTCCTCACAAATGGTAATGTAGTGAGCATGGAACATGTTTGCAGTTACTGTCATGACTGTTCTCAGTGACTCAGCTGGAATGCTGTCTGCTTCTACAGCTTTACCACCTATTGCTTCCCCTATTTCACTGTCCCTGTGCATCAGTGACTGCTTCGCCTCTAGCGTTTCTTACTGGTTTTGGTCTACTACACTATTCAGCTAGCGTCTTCGTTGTATCATAAAGTGGTTTCATGTTGTCCTCTCGTGCAGCTTTCTTAATTTTCTCTGCTAGGTTTTCAACATATGTCCCTTTACCAGCTGCAATGCTCCTCTTCACTTGCTCGTTTGCTTCTGAGTGTTCACTTTGTGCCTTGACTTTCTCTGCTCGTGTTCGGTTGATATTGATTTCTGCCTTCCTGTTCTTCTCTGCATCAATTTTATCCAGTGTGTTAATAGAGATCCATTCCACGTGATGGTGTCACTTTGGCCCTAAACGCTGTGGCATGTTGAGACTAATGTTTTCTTGATGACTTTCCATATGTTCGGCGTGTTAGTTTCCTCTTCGTTCAGTAGATCTAGAAGCGCCTTGAACATGTTGTCGAGAGCTAAATTTAATTCGTTGAGTTTTGCAGTATTCTGAAGAAAGGCCCTATTACACTTCCGTGATTCCGTGTGTAGAGCGCTTCTTCATCTTCAGTTTCCTCTTGTTTATAAAAAGTGGTGATCTGAACCTATGTCGGCTTCCATAATTGTTCTCTTGTCTTCCAATGGTCTTTCAAAACTTCGAGTAGATGCAGATCTGATTGATTTGGTTCTCCATATTGTGATCCGGTGAGACCGATGTAGCTTTGTGTGTGCATGTGTATGGGAATATGGTGCCGCATATGACCAGTTTGTTGAAGGCATGTAGATTTGCGAATCCCTCACCACTTTTGTTCTCTTCGTCTCGTCCATGTTGTCACCATGATGTCTTGATATCGAGCGTCGTCCATTGCAACGTTGATGTTTAGGTCTGCTATCAGAATTGTCGAATTCTTTGCTGAGCGTTTTCCGACGATAGACTGCAGGCTTTTATAGAGTTGAAGTTTATCGTCCTCAATGTTTTCGTTGGTGGGCTGATAGCACTGGATGACGTTCCTTGTAAGCCCCTCTTCATTTGTCGTGAAGTATGATTTGAAAGTCGGAGACCACCATCCTATCAGTGCTGTCTGTGCTTCTTTGAACAGCATCAATCCAACTCCTTGTGTATGTGAGTCACGTTCTTCTTCATGGTCAGAATGTAACGGCATTTCTCCTGAAACTAATCTCTTTTGTCCAGCGTGTGTCCAATGTGTTTCAATCGTTCCAAGCATCACCAAGTTGCACCTTTGCATCTGCGCAGCAACTTGGATGGTTCTTCCGCTCTCTTACTTTGTGCAAATATCCAATAAACTTACGTTTACTATTGTTGTGGTTGTGAGAATGGGTATCGGGATTGTGACTTACGAAAGAACTAGGCTTTCATCATGGGTTATCATAGCTCTTTCAATTGAAAATCTTCCAACTGCCTTGGCGGGGTTTAATTGTTCTCAATTATTTTTTCTGGTTAGCGTTTTTTTGTGAGTTGATTTTCTACCTGATAGGATCTCTAAGCTGATGCTTTTTCTTCTTTCATTTTGCGTCCGACCACCCGTCTGTAACCCCGGAATCTGCAGGCGGATTTTTAGTATCCTGCTGGATAGTTTAAATTACAGGTTCGATAGTATTGTTGTGGAAGCGTACTAAATTTACTTAAAATAATGTTTGAATGCCATGATTGTTTGTCAGCCAATCAAAATAATAAATATGACACTATTCTGAACAAAACTTAATTACGTTCACTAGTTTTAATGACTTTTTCGAATGTTTATTTCTGATAACTAAACTGCGTTACAACATATTTACGTTGAAAGTTGATGTAACAAGAACATAATACTAACTTTTTATCGTGTTTTCGAATAATACTCACGTGTAGTTTGAAATATCGGCTGAATAATATTTATGTTTGAATTTTGAATGTTTGAAAAATCGTCAAATTTGCATTTTGGATTACAGACGTGATCTGAAGTGACTAGCTTGCTCTAATTTACATCATATTATTCAAAGAACTAGTTAAAAATAAGTAATTTGAATATATTATTGCACAACTGTTACAGAATTTACTTAAAAGGATATTCTTCGTCCATATATTAGTGTCTGCATAGTCAATGGTTTAACACGGAATACCTTGTTTACCAAGACATTGATAACTGGTTTTGTCCTCATGTAGTCCATCTAAATATGTTTGGCAGAATTTCTACTTATTTACAAATCTACTTTGAAATACAAAAACGCATTACAGCGTTCTATTTTTTCATCAAACAGTACTGAATTCCAAAGTCCGTAATTTTGAAACATGTATTCACCTTAAATGAGGTCATTAATTTTGATCCCTAATTAAGTATTATAACCATAAAACTTGACAGTGTGTTTTACAGAGAAAATTCTTCATAAATCTATGCTTTTAATATGTTGGAATTCTTTCCATAACCATCATACTTCCACAATACTATTATACTCGAACCATTGGGTCATGTTATACGCTTTTCAATGTTATTTTAGATCAGCTTTCTATTTGTAAGATTTTTTACTTTGTTACTGTGTATTCTTTGTAACAACCTAAAATGATATTTTCGTGCCGGTTTAAATATATAACTAATCAAAAGCATGAGTGATCAATCAGTTTTAGTTTTTATTTGTTTAAACTAAGCTTATCCAATTTGTGATTTGAGTTTCCTTTCCTTACAGGACTATCGATCATGTGAGTACACACTAGCCCTCCCAGACTTGGCCACTAACTTATCAACTTTATTGCTTTATTGTCACTATGAGATTTCTAAGCACCTTTTACCTCGATTCTGTGTTCTAGTCTAAAAGTGATTAAGTCTAATGCTAACCAAATTACTTTTGACTCACTAATTTGTAATTTTCAGTATAACAATTTCAACTTCACTTTGTTATCAATAAATAATCAACTATTTAATTTATATAATTCATAGTGATTGTAATTTCTATTCTCTAATTTCTAATTTCTAATTACTATACCATTTTTTTTGATTACCTTTTCCATAGATCCTCCTAATTCTGAGAGTAATCAACTTTCACTTGTACCCAATGATTTTGCTTTTGACCGAAAACGTGAAGAGTGCATGTCATCAAAAGAATGGTTAAGTATTTATGGTTTAAAAGCTCAACATTTAGATTTCTATGATTTATTAGCTAGTGTTTCATTTAAACATTGTGATGGAGTTGTAAATGTTTTAAAACCTCCACTAAATGATAATAATAATAATAATAATAATAATGATAATAATAATGAAATGAACAGAGAATATAATAAAATTTATGATGATTATGGAGTATTCAGTCAATCGGAACCAGATTTGAAAGATTCTTCAAAAGTATGGTCTTCAAATGCTGTATGTTATCATAATGAATTAATTTTAAGTGTTTGTAAAATTTCCAATTACATTGAATCATTTTTTTCTATTTTATAAACATCACATACTATTGTACACACTCTTACGTTTTAATATATGAGTGTTATAGTTTCCACCATTTTCGCTGTTATAATTAATTCTAACTCTTGACCTTGTTTTACAATATTCAATAACGTTGTAGTGTGTCTAACGGAAAGACAGTTTGAAAAAATGTAAATTATGACTCAGATGTGTATTAGCTCAAATTGCTACAAATTTGATATCATAGCAATGCGAGTGTTAGGATATTCATCCAATATCCTAAGATAATTGTTTGTAAGTCCAATTCTATTGGTCAATTCCTATTTGTCGTCCTGACTATCAATGTCACATACCTCAAATGTTGTTTCCTATTGGTCGTCTTAACTGTCAATGTCACAGACTTCAATGTTGTGTCCTATTCAACCTAAATGTATAAATACGCATTATCTATAACGTTTTATGACCCAGATCTTTGATCCGGGATCTTTATCTTCTTCTGGACGTGTACTTCGTATTAAGTCTTCTTCCACTCAATGGAGGTTTGGGACCTTCAGATAAGAGTACCACGTCGTGTCGCCGGATCCTCGATCCTCGCTCTTGTTTACTGACTAAGGTAAACTCGTAATAGTTCAAGCATACCAAGTAACGTGTTTACGTGCATGCATAACACCGAGAGAGAAAGAGTAAGCTATAGTTAATTAATGGAAAAGAAAATACTTCAAACGAAACGATTTAAAACAGAGAATAGATAGTGCAGATTAACGCTAAGTAAAAAAAAACTGCTAGTCATTTGGAGATAGTTGCCATGAGACTGATGGATCAGCGTGCATAACTGATATGCCAACTAATTTGTTACAAAGTCTATCGACAAGACTTTCATTGTACCTTAATGATTCTAATGTTTTGAGGTCATTCACATTAATAAGATTTATGTTTGATTTTCGTAATATTCAATCATTTATTGACATAAAACTTATAAACAATTGTCGTCACTCATCTAAATACAGTTATGAAATCTCATAATATCGAGCTACTTAACCTTATAGTGTTCTATTATTATGCATTGACCAGTATAAAGAATTCTTCCATAATATTAATTATCATGTAATGAAAACGCCTTAGTAACTGAAAAATTTTCAGTCTATTAAATCCTTGTTTTTTGTTTTCTCATAAACTTTTCAAAAACTTAATGCACATTCTGAAGATTATTCAACCGAAGTTAATCAATGCTCAGTATTGTAACAATTTCGTTCATGTTCAATGGAAAAATGGTAAAATAGTTCATGTGCAAATTACACCTGAAATGTATCGTTCATACTATCGGCGAATGCAATCAAGATTAACTGCTATTAAACATCGGTTAGATCTATTGAGACAAGGTTCAAGGGAACTATTTGGGACAATAACTGAAGATAATGTAAGTTTGTATTTTGTTAAACTAGCTACATCAATTAATGTGTAATTAAATTTTATTGAGCGCAAAAATGATATGATTCTGAGATGATGGAGAAAATATGTAGCTCAGGTGGATGATTGTGGTGGTGGTGTTTGGTTCTCTGAGCTAGATGCTTTGGTTGTGAAGCTTTTATTGTTCTTCTGAACATCATCAGCACAAGCTTCAGATAGAAGTGAAGTATTCGAATTTTTCTACGTTTAATCCGTATCTTGTTCTGTTAACCTCGATCTTGATTGGTTGTTGTTGACCTTAAACCTGTCGTTGTTTGCACCTTTGTTTTGATTGTATCCCCTTTTTGATCCGTTTCCTGATCCTATGTCACGTATGATTTTTCTGATTGGTTGATAAATTGGGTCAATGTGTATGTGTTTGTTGATTGTTAATTGACCTGAGCGCCAAGCTTCTAGAGATTCTATAGTGTTCTTTGTCCTCCCCCTATCTAGTATTTCCACATTGTTCCAATAGAATGTATGTCGGTGTGTATTGATATAAGCGAATAATTGTCATGGCGTGTGACTGCTAATTGGTGTTCACTTAAACGAAGCTGAAGAGGCCGTCCACTTTGCCCTATGTAGCCCGTTTATTGGTTCCTGTACTTGATTTCGCTTCTGTTGACGATTTCAGCTGATGTTTTCTATGAATAGCTGTTCTAATGGAAGTAGTCATAAGATGCTTTTCCTTGTTTTTTAGTGCTTCGTATGTGCTGCAGTGTGTCTTCGCTCGCTTGAAAAAAGTTTGTATGCAGTTGATTTTGTGGGTTCTTGGGTTGTTGCTATTGTAGTTGAGAATTAGGTCTGTGTGGGTTGGCTTCCGAAATACTCGAGTCTTCAGTTTTCCTATGTTAGTTCTGGTGATTACTGCATCCAGAAATGATAGACTGTTGTTTGATTCCTTTTCCATAGTAAATTTTATGTCATCGAAGAAGTTGTTGATTCGAGCTCGTTCCTTTTGATAATGACGAATGTCGTCTACATAGTAAACCCACACTTCCGGCTTGATCACTGGTTAAACCGGCGCTTCTAGTCTCTGCATTGCAGCCTCCACGATGAGTCTTGATATTGGTGATCCCACTGGTATTCCTTTTGTTGGTTCGTAGACTCTGTTGTTCAACTGAAAATACGTTGTTAAGCATAGATCGATGAGTTCAAATAACGATAGGTTTAAGGTTGACAGCAAACAATCAAGATCGAGGTTAATAGAACAAGATACGGTTCAAAAGTAGAGGAATTCGAATACTTCAATTCTATATGAAGTTTGTGTTGATGATGTTGTTCAGAAGAACAATGAAAGCTCCACAACCAAAACATCCAGCTCAGAGAATGAAACACCACCACAATGATATGATTCTGTTAGCTTTTTTTAACATAAATCTAAATACACAAAAGGGTACAACTTTCATATTTATAGGCAACTTATAATCTCTCTCTCTGATCTCAATTACTAGTACGTTTGGGTGGTGAAAGGTGATAGAAATAAATCTGAAATGTGATGAAAAGTAATACCAAGTCTGCTTAGATATCACCTTAGAGCATATTTCAAGATTTATTTTCACTGGTTTCTGATTCAGTGACTAGGAGCTAATATACTTGCCATGAAACCTCCTCTGGTTCTATTTTGTTCAATGTGTGGTGGTATATTGACTGTGAAATGGGACCATGTAACTACTCAGGTCTTCTAGGTAAAACCTATTCATTCCTAACAGTTGCCTACTTCCATAGGCATTATTGGCTGAAGTAGGTTTGGAGAAATATAGAAGCTACCAAACCGAAATTTGACTTTGTTTCATCAAGTGATTGAATTTCGGTTCGAGCCATTTTAGGAGATGGGGTTTCTTGCGTTAGGGCCCACGCAATTACTATGATCAGCAATCGGAGACGTTTGGTGACATAGTTGCGAACCAATCACATTGACCCCTCATATTGTACCGAGTCTTAAGAGTGATTGCTATTTCGTACTCCTTATTCCTCGAATTCCTCATTTATTCTTGCGCTATATTTATTAATGTTTATGTTTTCACACTACAAATGATGTCTCTAGTATTTTGGCCTTACTCCTAGTCATCATTCATACTAACATGATAGAACAACTAGGGTTGAAATGCAATCATACTAGGCTCTATGTTGATTATGACCAACTGATTGATAGCTAAGCTAAATTCAACGATAAAATTCCTTTTACAATCATAAAATTTGTTCACAAAACTCGTCCTTGGAAATGGAAATATATTGTTCTTTAACATTTAATTATCTGATAAATAACTGACAATAATCATCAATTCACTTTTACATTTTTTTATGTTGATAAAATAGGTATATATTTTAATTGACACTAGTACATCAATGTTATCCTGTATAAAATTTGTTAAAGAAAAACTATTACAATTAATTTATGAACAGTTAAAATATAAAAATCGTCTTAATTTTGTCGCATTCAATTCAAATGTTAATGCATGGCATAATCATTTACAAAGTACATCTGAGTGTAATTTAACAGTGAGTCTCATGTGGTTTCTATATTTCAATGTACTATATATTTTGAAACTAAGAGTATATTTTTTTTAGGGTTTTCTTTTCACATTTATTGATGCTAAGGACTGTAATTGACCAGTCCCCGATAACATCGATTACATATCTTAATACCAACAATTAGAAAATGCAAACCCTCACAAATGACATTCTTACCCGTTGTACACAACAGTAACTGTCTAAACTTAGTAGCTTAATGCACAAAGTTTTGGCGTTTTAGGCGAAAGCTACCCTATCCTATTCTCGGTGATGAATATCAATGTTGTACTGTGGGTACACCAAACCAACCAGTCCTAAGTAGGATTAAAAGCATATCTTAGTATTCACTTTTCAATTTTAGCAAATAGTTTATGTAACTGAAAAGTTCAGCTGCATACATTTGACGAAATTCATCCACTGTTTTGACACACCATTCTTCCTTGATTCTTACTGCTTTATGTTCAACTGGTCTTTAACTATTTTATATATTGGAATTCACTTTCATTATTGCTTCAGTATGCACTGTTTTGAAGAGTATCCAATTTACTTCAATCTATCAATTGAAAGCTTTTTTGAACTACAATGATATGAAACTGATGACCGATTACTGACCATATGGTTAGTCAGAATTATACAAATAAAAAAACGACGTTGGTAACTCACCAAACACGTTACAACACTCTGAATCTCTTCTCCTGATTTTGTAACGTGTTTCAGTTTACTTATTGAATGAGTTACTTGATTTCATGTAATAAAACAATCAATATCACAATAGACTATTTTCAATGAAGTTATTCTCTAATTAAGTTATTTTTCCTAAAGACAAACAGACTAATATTTTTTTGCATTTTACAAATGGCAAATATCTGATAATTCTAACTTTTCTCAAATAATCTAGGAACAAAATTTCTATTTTATTTTAATGGATTAATGATATTGTAAGTGATTACTTGATAAGTGTGGACTAATTATTCTATATTCTTAATCAATGGTTATAAGTGATGGATTCATTTATTGTTGTCAAAAATAAAGTTGATCTACTTATTTGTATGTTAGAGTTCGTTGTTCTCTGTGCAATGATCAGTCACCGTTTGAATGGATGATTATATTTCAGAACTACATAGATGGCTTCATTAAGACTACTTTTGTTAACTTATCTATTTAACTAGTGAATTGTGAATATCTTAACAACATTCTTATTAGGCTTATCAGACCTGAACATTAAATTTAACTTGACAGATATGTATTATAATTGATTAATTTCTATTCCGTACTTGTGACCAGTTACAATCCTAACAAAGTGAACAGTGCTATTATACGAATTGTACCACTACTTATCTGTGGAATGACTGAACTTTTTAGGTTTTCTACAAATGCTAAATTAAAACTTGGTGTGGTGATTGAAGAATCCCTAAATATATTCTGGTTTCTGACAGAAGTTTCTGGAGGACCTTCATTTTTACATAAAGTGTTAATCTTAAAATCATGTCAAGGATGAACATCTTTTAGTTGACTGGAGATGGAAATTATAATATTGAGTTCAGTGAAGTTATTCTATAATTGATTTTGTCTCTTGATTTTCTGTCGTTGATATTCTGGATTCTGTGAATTTTCTCTTCTGATTTTCAAGTAGCATTTATTATTTAAGGTTGATAAATAGTATTTCAGTCGATTTACAGTAATCTTGATAGAATGTTTCTTCTGGAGTTATTATAATACATCGTTTATGAGATGATATTATATTAACATCAGTTCTGGTATCAGTTCCTCTCAAGATCATTTCAAATCAAATGGTTAACTATAAAATGGTCTTTTGCTTATTCGATACTTTGTTATATTTCACGGTGTGCATATTGTCGTGTTCGCTTTCGCTTATCATTTTATTGTTGCATTTTGTGTTTTCTCTCCTGTCAACCAAATAAGTCGGCTATAAAATGGATTGAAAAATTAACATGTGGTGGTACAACCAATACACTGAAAGCACTTCAATTCGCTTTGGAAGATAATTTAACTGAAGGAATTTATTTATTAACAGACGGTCGACCAGATCAACAAACACATACTCTATTACTCAGTATGCAATTAAATAATCGTGTACCTATACATACAATTAGTTTTAATTGTAATGATCCTGAAGCGAATGAATTTCTGATTCGATTAGCTCAAGAAAGTGGTGGACGTTTTCATTATTATAATGAATTTCCAGATATTGTCAATAAACCAAAACAATGGGAGGTATGAATGATGTTTATCAATGAGTTCATTCATTAATCTAGATAAAACTTATTATCTAAAATAATTATGAAAACCATAATTACCAGTTTAGAAGAAGTGTGATCATGTTTCACTATAAGCCTTTTCATATGTTAAGTAGCTGATGAATATATAAGCATGTCATAACAGGATTTCTAACCGGTGAACAAATCACGATAATTTGTTCAAGAATTAAAATGTATGCTATTTTAGTATTTTTTTTTTACTAAAAACCATAAATTTTCTTTAGTGCACATTAAGTCGTCAATTTGGTAGATCAGTAATATATCATGTGGTCTTTTGAACTATGGATTGCTACATAGACTGACAAAAACCGGAAATGTCAGTTAAACATCTGGCAAATTATTTGTGTACATTTCAATTCATATGGAAATCATTCATTACGATTTCGGTTAGTTATATAAATCCGTCATCACGAATTACAGAATTGATTATCAGATGATGTCCTATTAGTATTCGTTATCGGTAGTGTCCAGCTAACAAAGTCGACAGATATTTGAAAGTGAACACAACCATAATAGGATATATGATATAATCTAGGTAACTATACTTTAAACTTAGAAAATTTTGATCCTACTTAATTACTTACTCATCAAGTTAAATCAATCGCTATTCATTCTTCCCACTGTCTCCGTTTCGCTGAGCAATGAGTTCCCTGGTCTTCATCTTTGTTAAGCTTGAGCATTTCAGGTGAGGGCTCTTCTTGTGACTTAATTAGGTTCTTTCCTCAGTATGCTCAACTCACTTGCATATTTCTTCCTCAGGTGGAATATGGTTCGTTCTCTCCCACAGTAGGTTGCTGCTAATGGTGTCCAGTCAGCGATTCCGAAGTATATTGTGTAGACCACTTTAATATACACTTGTATCTTGTGGTTGATGGATTTCGTGATTCTCCAACTTTCTGCTTCATACTATAGAATTGTCTTGACAATTATATTGCAAATTGTGACTGGTGCTGGTTGACAGACAGTTGATTTGGGTTGAAGATGTTCTTCAATTGTAGAAATGCCGCCATTGCTTTGCCAATCTCCGCCTTCACACCGTCAGATCCACCCTGTCTATCAATGATGCTGCTCCTATATGTGAAGCTTTCTACATCCTTCAAAGCTTCCCCATCAAGTATAATTTGATTGATACATGCTGTGTTGTATCGGAGGATCTTGCTTTTTCTCTTGTGTGTGCTGAAATCTACTGCTACATAGGCTGCAGATACACTGATCGTCTTCTCCTGCATTTCTTGTCATGTGTGTGCTACAAGGGCTAGATCAGCTGACAAGTCCAAGTCACCTAGCTGCATTCAAGCTGTCCACAGCATTCTATGACTTTCCTCAGATGTTGACGTCTTCATAATCCAGTCGACCAGTGAGAGAAAGAGAAGAGTTGAAAGTAAGCAACCCTATCTGATAGCGTTCCTCACTTGGAACAAGTCTGTGAGTTGTCCTCCATTCACGATTTTGCAGTTCAGTCTGTCATAAGAATTCCTTATGATATTGACTATCTTCTCAGATACGCCTCATTCACGAAGAAGCCTCCATAGTGTCATCCTATCATCCCGTCAAATGCGTTCTCGAAGTCAAGTAAGGGGAAGTGAAGTGGCGCATTTGATTATTCCACAATGATTCGTAGTCTCACGATTTGGTCAGTAATTGATCAATCCTCACGAAATCCAGATTGCCGATCTCGAAGTTGGGTGTTTACAAAATCTTTCATTCGGTTTAACAACACTGCGTTGAAGACGTCTCCTGGCATTGAGAGTAGAGTACTTCCTCTGTAATTCTCACACTTGCTCAGATATATTTTCTTTGATATCCTGATGAAGTGTACTTCTTACTAGTCTGTTATCGCATGTTCGTCCTCACAAATATTACTGTAGTGAGCATGGAACATGTTTGCAGTTACTGCTATGTTTGTTCTCAGTGACTCAGCTGGGATATTTTCTGCTTCTACAGATTTACATCCCCTGACCTGTCTGATGACTTTGCAAAAATCTTCCATTGTTGGTCGGTTAACACCGGTTGAGAGGTCTGCAGGTGCTGCCTCCATTTCGAGTTGGTTTAGTGGGGGTCGTCAGTTCAAGAAGTATTCAAAGTGTCCTGTTTCCTTGTTTCACTGTCCTTTCTCTACCCGTGTTCGGCTGATATCGATATCTGCCTTCCTGTTCTTCTCTGCATCAATCTTATGCAGTGTGTTAGCAGTGATCCATTCCATAAGATGTTGCTTCTTTAACCAAAACGTTATGGCGTGTTGAGACTAGTGTTTCCTTGATAACATTACACATGTTCTGCATGGTAGTTTCCGCTTCATTGAGTAGATCTCGAAGCGCCTTGAAATTATTGTTGAGAGGTAAATTTAATTCGTTGGAGTTTTGCAGTATCCTGAAGAAAGGTCGTATTACACTTAGGTGATTCCGTATGCACAGTGATTCTTCATCTTCAGTTTCCTCTTGGTTACCAACAAGTGGTGGTCTGAATCTCTGTCGGCTTCCGTAATTGTTCTTTTGTCTTCAAATGGTCCTTCAAAACTACGAGTAGATGCAGATCTGATTGATTTGGTTCTCCATATTGTGATCCGGTGAGACCGATGTAGCTTTGTGTGTGTGAATGTGTGTGGGAATATGGTGCCGCCTATGACCAGTTTGTTGAAGGCACATAAATTTTACATCTATAAATTATATAATTATCAATCTTCACTACATTAACTATTTATGCATTGATTAATATTAATTTCAGAGTGAAGATGTTAGATTATTAGAAAATGAATATCAACTTGGTTTGGATAATTTAAAAAAATTAACTAAATTAAAAGATGAATGTTATTTATTACGTATGAAAACTAATAAAAAACCACCAACAATAATTGATTCTGCTAATGAAAATAAACAATTAAAACCAACTGGGAAAACTCAATCCATCTTCTTAACAAATAAATCAGATTCTGTTGTTCATTCAATGGATACCATAAAATCAGATGATGATTCGATTTGTTCACAATCGCAGAAACAATCGATAAGGGACTCTACAACTACCGAAATTGATGGTACTCCAACTTATAGTCCAGCTGAATTTGAACATCGTCCAACAATTTCAAAGAATCATTCTAAAGTAGTTAAGCGTCAAAAGTCCACGGTAAAACAAAAATCTATTCAGAAAATATCCAATGGTAAGCTTGTAATTTCCATTTTTATTATTTGTAATGTCAACGTTTTAAAATTTGCCAACTTCGATTTGTGGATGAAAGTTAAATAGTTGATTTCAATTTCCTTATGCAACAGTCATTCATGCATTTCAGCAGTAGTTTCCATTTTTCATGCTGCTACTGACTGATACCAAGTGTGAGGTGTTATTTATATGAACAAAGGGAACGACAAAACAGTATTTCGAATTTTTTTAATTGAACATCAGCAGTTCTTCCTAGCATCTACATTTTCCTCATGTAAATCAATGTTCAAAAATGGTTAATTAATATAGGTGAATAAATTTCTTGAATAATTTAACGACTTTCCATAGATTCCTATCATTCTACTGAAGAATTACGGTTTGTAAACTATCAGAATACTCTTCAATAGTAACTGTTAAGATGAGAGTTATCGGTACGTCGTTTGGTTAACTAGCTATTCAAACGACGCAGTATCAATAACCATAAATGTGATGTTGCTTGTGAACAGTGTTGAGTTTCAGAAGTCATATCAATTCTCTTCACATTTCAGGTTCTTCTGATCGATGAAATAAATTTTCTGGACTTTTAATGATGATCTCTAATTAAAATGCTATTATTTCATGATTATATCTTGTTACTTTAAATGATTAGATGAATTATGAAAAACCCTGTCATCTAAAATATCTGTAACATACTAACGTCAAGTGTTTTTGTGTTTTTCAACTCAATACATTGTTTTCTCTTTTGAATACACTATGAAGTTAAAACCAAATATCAATAATTCTTCCTCTATTTCACTTTTTTCATTCACATAATAACTGTTTTAAATGTCAGTTTGACTAGGCAAAACTAATGATTCTCGATAAATTTCATTCATAATTATAATGTCAGTATTGTGAATTTATGTAATTAGTAAAACTAAGCATTGAATGCGTAATAATTATTATTAGGAATATGCATGAAAAATTTTTGTAAATCATGATTTTTATCTGTCTATCGAGTTATTTACAAATATCTTCTTTCTTTTTCCTTTAATATTTAAACAGATGCCTATTATCCAAATTTACAAAATTTATATAATAAAACATCTTTGAATGAGGAAGATTTTCATTTATATGAAACGAAACAATTATTAGAAAAACAAAATGAAAGATTGAATGAGGCTAATGAAGGTAAAAAAAATCAAACAAACAATAACCAGTAAATTTAAAATATCACTTTTAAATAAACAGTTGAATAAATCTCATTCATGCTTTTTAATCGAAAAAGTCTACTTTATTCAATATCATTCTGCTCATTAATGAATATGTGATGTTAGGTACACACATTAACTTGTAGTATCCTTAATGAATAATTCCTAAGCGATAAATTTTTTAGTTGTATTGTGGTGCTGTGGTGCGAACTACTTATAAGTAGTATATAGCGTGAGTGTCAACGTAAAGTCTGGTAGCATAATATGGGGGGAAGATCAAGAAAGGAAGAGTCAGAAAACAATGGAATTTGTTTGAAACGCATGAAGAGTGACAATGGATTGATGTTTGGCAACAGGAACAGTCCAGTTCCATAGGATGAACTGATCCTTTGCAAATGAACGATTTACGATATGGTTTTCCGATTTTACTGAGTAACTCTGTAATTTTCGTTAAATATAATTCGGTTGCCTCCACCTGTGTTCTCATTCACTACAGTATTAAATATACAGATGATAATGTCAGTGATAATCACTTATGCGAATATAAATATCCTCTACCAACTTTGAACAAAAGACTAGAAGTTTTTCTTGTGTATTAATTAGTGAGAGTAAAACTGTACGTATAATGTTTCTTGCGACTGCGCTACATTCCGAATCGGATCTACTTAAATTCATTTTATATAGTGATTTCAGTTAACATTGTCAGCATTGTAACTTTCATCTTTTGAATTTGAATTCGATGGAGAAAACTATCTTGAATAGCTCATGCGATTGAATGAGGTCATTTGTGCACCTTATTGACTCTGATCTCTCTCAACCACAGTTATTAACATGATATCTTAAAGTAACATCTTGTATATCCGTTTGAAACTACCCACGTTCTCGGTTTATATGTTTATCTTTGTATATATGCATGTACATAGATAAGTTTTCTGAACGTTTTTTCTACTCATCAATGTAGTGGATGAAATGCTTCTCAATAAAACAAGGCAGGAAGTTAGTTCAAGTCAAGGGTCAGATATAATGTAAGTACATTTTTACTTTTTTCTTCATTTTTATGCCTTGATAAAGTTAAAACCTTTGAATTAGTTTCGTGAAACTAAGTGTTCATATATTCAGTAAACTTTTAAGGTTATCTGAAGATCTTTACCTGAAAATAGTCTAAAACAATTCCATATTTTGAAATGGATGAATAAACACATTAGATAAGTTCTGAGATAGTCAGCCTACAGTTCGTGTCAATTGACCTACAGAACAGAGAACAAAGTACGAAATAACTGACCAAAACGTCTTATTTATAACATCCAAACGGAATGATGAAAATAATTTTTATGAATAACCTGTGACAAACATGTTAAAAACAAGTGTCATACACTAACTAACTGGCTTAAATATGTTATAAAACTACTGAAAATTCATATCATTATTATATTGACAGTTGTAACATTCAAGTGTTTTGTGACTGGTCAAAAGCAGTACGTATATCTTGACTTTATTAGTTTTACGAAATTGACTGAGGACGTGGTCAATTAATGTCATTAACTAACTACTACTATCAATAAACTCTAAGAAATTACAACCCATATTGTCGAATTCAACCACAAATTCAATTTCGCCCAAGGTTTTTTTTCCTTTATTTAAGGTTTTCGAATAAAGAAGTGGAAATTTATGTGATTTAAACAACTTGAATGTTCGGAATTTGTCGGGGACGACAGATTCCCAGAACTCACTTGATAAACGTCCTCATTTAGAATTTTATGTTTTCAAGCATGGGTTGATCAGCTGACCTTGAGATTACATTTCCTACCCGGGAAATTCTTGGCTGTTATTGGCTGATTTAAGTATGCTCTTTTGATAGCTCTCCCAAGGACGTTTCAGTCATGTATAAAGAAACTCGATTCGTGTGCTTGCCAACTTTGATTTTCTGGGTGCTTGTAGAATAAACTTTCTACGCCATATCAAAACTTCTTTCGCTACTTAGTGGGGCTTTTTGACGCTCGGATTACAGCAGCCTGTCGTGTCACCAGATCATCGATCCTCGCTATCGTTTACCAACTAAGGTGAACTCGTAATAGTTTCAAGCATATCAATTGACGAGCATAACAGGATTGTAGCTTTTTTCCAATAAAAGGATTGTTCAAAAGAATGAAGTTTCATAAGTAATATTCATGCATTTCATTCGTTCATCAATAATTTATAATAAAAAAGGATTTTCATGAAGTCTGAACACAACCATGTAAGCTTCTACTGTGGTCGTTCACTGAACGTTGACAAACAGGCCTGGACTCTTGATTTCTACTTTGGATTCAATGAGTGTGACCACTTCTTACTGCGTGGAATAAAATATGCTAGATCGCTTACTCGGGTACTCTATTTCGGTCGAGAATCATGTGTATGGTTTAACATGATCTAGTCTCTGTGTGATTTACCGTTCGAGTATCCAATTTAATGGTAGTATACACTCGATCTACCATTTAGTCACCATATAAAACAATGGAAACAAAGGCATTCAATACTTCCCTCATATCACACCAATTAAGAAAGATGAATAGAATCAACTTATATGCAGTCTTCAAAAAAAGTTTGTTACTTAGTAAACGTGAGTGCAGATAGATTTTTTTCATCATCTGGTGTCAGTGTTCATCCTGGACCAATATAACTGTTGATCAACTTTTAGTGGATTCTTAAAGTTCTAGCGGGAATCTCCTCAGACTCATGACGTTCTGCAGTGTTGAAAGTGAGATATGTCTGCTCAATGACAAGTGGATAATAGTTGTTTCGTGCTACAGATCAACCGAAGCTGAAACTTCAGCTGATCGAATTTCAACTTAGTTGCATCAAAGTATCATAATCACTTCAAATTATCAAGAATATAGTTTTTATTCCACAAATAGGTTGGAGATTATCTACTGCTACTGATTCCGAAATCAGGGCAATAAATTATCTTCTATGTACTAGCTGGTTTCCAATGTTTATATAGCTTTACAATATCACCAAAAACTATCGGTTTTACAAAACTGTTAGAAACCTTAATATTTTATAAAATTAAGTGCTTAGTTATATTTTGATTTTTTTAGTTACACGATTCCAGACTGGTTATCTCAGAACAGTTTAACTGCAAAAAAACTTCGTTTAACTGATCTGCTAAAATCATATACAGTACGTCTTCGTCCAACATATATACCAGCATTAGGACATCATGTTGTATCTGAAGTATTAAAACAAACTCTACCAGTAGCATATGTGAATAAAAAGAAGTTTACAAAATCTCCGGAAATTCATTTATTCAATCCATTAGCAATTAATTTTGAACAATATCAAAAAAATTTAAGAAATGCATTATTCATTATTGAAAAGTAAGCTTATGATTAATATGGTGGTTTATCTTTCGTTAAAGTGAAAGATACTTTTTTGTCGTAGAATAAAAGCGAATTTGTTTAAATGTACATTCATTTAAGTTGTGTACAACTTAATGATCTGCTAAGAGAATTCTAACGACGGTTGATATGACCGTAAATCAAACGTATATTTGAACAGTCATCGCTGTAATCATTAAGGTGGGTGTAATTATTGAGATTGGCTAAACTCGTTAAGCTTTAGGTTACTAGTATACCTTTGTTTTCTAGTAGGCTGATCTAAACTAAAAGTTTTATGGTTATCCTATTGGATTCGTACTACTAATAATAATTAGTAAACGGACAGAAAGTTTTCATGTTCTGATTTAACCTGTTTACATCTTGCACTGCTACTGAACCACTGTTTACTTCAGGTAGACATTAGATTGTATGATAAAGTTGGTTTGAGCATTCAACAGAGTTTTTTTCATTTGAACTACTTAAGAAGAAAACGAAAAAAAAATTATTTAAAGGTTTCTACCGACTGAAGTTGTGTCTCAGGTCAATAAAACCAGGACATTTTTCAACGGAATTACAATGTCCTTGTTATGTACACTAACTCAATGAAGCCAACATTGTTTAATTATTTTCTTTAGCCTAACAACAAACATACATAAAACATTGAAAAGAATGGCGTGTGTAGACATAACATGAGATTGAAATAAATGTATTATTTTGTATATGTTAAAAATTGCCTCAATTCCAAACTAATCATATTCTAAACCTTAAATTATTTTTTTTCCTGGTTAGCATTTTTTTGGGAGTTAATCTTCTACCGGATGAGATCGGTAACTGCATGCCGAACCCTTTCTCATTATCCAGGCAGTTGCTGCAGAGGGGCTCCAGACAGAGTTGTATTTTAAACTTGTTCTCTTATAATTCTCATTACTACAGTCAATCATTGTTCATAGATATATAATTTGACGTTCTTATCACTGAATATAGTTTATTGTAACCAGCTTGCCGAGAAGAGAAAGTAGATTTTACGTCAATGTAATTAATTCTGTGCACGTCCATTAAATGATGAGGTTGTGATCCAACGAATAAAAACCAAGATAGTTAAACAGCCAAGCCTAATTTTTATGCTGAATTTTCATTTTTTTTCTCTGAATAAAAATTCATTACTGTTTACTAGTTTGTTGTCCAATTCTTTCTTTTCTATTATAGAAAACTAATTGGAATAATATTTGAATATATAGATGATGATTCTTTGAATAATCTACGCAAAGATGTTAATCTTGATAAGTATACAAAATGGCGGTCAAAATTATGTTGGTATCAAGATTATGTACATATATTAAAGATTTTTGAAAAAAATAACTGGCCTTTTCCTCAAGATGAATTTAAATTGCTAACAAACGAACTTGATTTGGTAAGCAGAGATTTTAATGAATATTGGTTGATTTCTTTTTACACATTGGACGCAGGTTGGACAAAATAGATTAGCTTCAGGAGAGATGCTGTTATACTCCTGTGTAGTAGGAATCTCATATACCAAGGATTAGATCATCAAAGTATCCTTCAAGACAAAGAAGGAGGGGATTACAGTGGATGTGATCCAATGTTATGCGTCCATCAACGATAACAATGAGGATGATAAAGATCGACTCTATGGGAGGATGAAGTCAATCGTCGATAAATGCCCAGCAAAGGACTTGACCATTCTGATCAATCACCAAAACACCAAGGTTGAAATCAACAACTCTGGATACGGAAGTGTCATGAGACTACTTCGACTGAGAGAAAGAAACAAAAACGGTGAGAGATTTGCAAACCCATGTCCCTTCAACAAACTGGTCACAGGCGGTAATCATATCCCTACATAAACGCATACACTAAGCCACATGGATTTCACCAGATCGCACCACACAGACTAAATAGACCATATCTGCATCGATAAAAAAGTTAAGAAGGACAATGAAGGAGGTGAGAACCAAGAAAGGAGCTAATATAGCCACAGATGATCACTGGCTGGTAGCGAAGATGACATTGAAACTCAAGAACCACTGGACAACGGGGCGAACATCATCACAAAAGTCTGATGAGCCTGAGCAAGCCTCTCACAATGTAATCAATAAAGAGGAAACTAACATAGATTATATCATTTTGTATTGATTCACATTCCTGCTTAGTAATTCATTTTTTTATAAAGACCCTGACCTGAAAACAGGATTAAGTTGTTATAGTTGAAGATATCAAGGCTCAATATTATTCATTCGTAGTACTATCAGTAACAGTGAAAAAACTAAACATAAAGTCCATAGTTCAGCTAATAAGAATGAAATCCAGAAGCTAGAATTACGGAATAAAAAAGTAAATTAGGTCTGAAAGAGGATAAAAAATGAATGAATGCAGTCAGTCAGTTAGAACGTAAACATTCATACATACGTAAATCATTTCAAGTCGCTATATCACATTAGCACAGAGACACAATTGTCAATTCAAATCCCATAGTAGTAGAGGTATTAGAAGTATTAGCAGTAATCGGAGAGGTTAGGGTTAGAGGATATTATTAAGTAAAATCCAGTAAACTTAAAAAGATAAAAATGAAGGTGATGAGGAATTCAAAAGATTAGAATTCCATAGAACACAACGAGTGGATGCACCTGCGTCATTACAAAAGATTTTCAGCCATGTCATTCAAGATCTCTAACCATCGATTACTATCATATCGCGGACCCCAACCAGGTAGTCTGCACCTACCCACTTGGCTCAGTCCACTCGTTAGTGACTACTTTTTGGTGATGGTGGTAATTGAAGCATTGCTAAAGGATAGTTTATCTAATCTGCTGAACTGAGAGTCTGACTAACGGCACGATGTCTATTAGCAGTTTCTTCGAAAAGTCTGAATATTTGCCTGATGTAACCCATCACCGCTGCCTTTTCCATCGTTCTTGCATTTGCTACCCACCGCTCTTCACGAACATTGAGTAGGCCTCTTTTCAACCTGCGCATTAGCTGATTCTGCTCTTCATCATGTTTAGAGCCAGATGCGATGAGTTTCTGAGCACATATCAGTTCAATAGATGCTACTGAGATCCATTGCTTCTCCTAACCTTATGGTTTAGTTTACCACAAGATATCAATGCTGTTTCCACAGTTCTTTGAATATCATTAAAAGCTGTTTCAGGGTGGGAATCAGTCAAATGGTTGCTTGACTGTTTTTCTAGTTGTTTCTGAAATATATTTTTATCCTCGTTATCATTAAGTAGAACCCCAAAGAGGTTTCCTTGCAGGGTCTTTCCTGCACAAGCTGCAAACAAATAGTGCTCACACTAAAGCATGACACGAATCTCAACATGTGCGACAGAATGAGCGACAGTTTTTAGTGGTTCTTCTCCACCTATGTCTGATAGCAATGTAGTCTAGCTGGGTCCATCTTTGGTGATATCCTTGTCGAGAGATGTTTTTCCTTATGCTTAAAGTTAGTGTTTGCTAGAAATAGGTGATAATCTGAGCATAGCTGCCGCAAACAGCCGCCATTATCTGTTCTTTGGGCCGCGACACCATAAGAACCACCCAGGTGTATTGCCTTTTTACCAGCCATTATTACTAAATCAGAGTGCTTAACCCTTTGAAGGTTAAAAAGGTTCCTGTAAAACTCATCTTTTATCTTGTCTGAGCTGCAGTCAGTGGGATCGTACGCATAGACAACAAACAGGCAACGGCGAGCATCCCTATCCTTCCGAGTTCCTACTGTCCCGTTTGGCCGGACAGTGAATAAACGGAAGTCTACCGGAATCCAGTCTGAGAGCTAGTTCTGCCCTACGACTTAATACTATCCCTACACCAGTGAGGACATCAAAAGCAGCAGTGGGGCTTGGAGATACACAGAGCTTATAGGGAATTAGACCTATATCTGGACACGGTGAAGTCAAACTAATCACTGTACTCGGATCCGGTGTGCGCGTTTTGGAGATGCAACATACATAAATGGCACGAGATTTTAAAGCACTAGCTAAGAAAGCTTATTGTCCTATTTGTCACAAGGTTGAAACGTTAAAATCTATCAAAATACAGTTTACAGAGTAGTTTCAGGAGCCAAGAATAATGTTTCCAAAGGTTTGCATCAGAGGCACGAGGCGACAAATGAATGAAATATCGTTGGTGGTGGACATAAGAGAACTGTTGGGGGAGGGTAAGAAAGATTGGATTTTAACTAATTTGGTCTCGTGTGCTGTTACAGGTATGACGGCGGATCTCACTTCCCGGCTGCCCACACCGTGAAATAGTGTCTTGAGTAAACTGGAAAGGGAGTTGGGTTAGTGTCTGTCTTCGAGGACCGCAGAGCCCAAGGGATAACTGCTTGAGGCCGGTCACGCACGGCCTGTTTATGGGACGTTTTTTAAGTGCTGGCTCCCCTTACCACCGGAGATGGAAATCCTTGAGGTAGGGTGATAAATCTTTTGGGTCTACCTTTTTTAACCCCTTCCTTCCCTGTGAGGAGGCAGCATCGCTTCAGATACGGTTCTCCAGTGCATAAATATTCATAGTTGAACTCCAATAACGTACTCGTGTTTGACCATGTTTTGTAACCATATATCAATCAATACAGAGATTGTTGCAAGGTATACTCGTCATTTGATAAGTGGACAAACATCTGGTTGGAACCAAGATAGCTTATAAAGATTTTCCAATACTCTCTCTCTCAAAAGAAGATAAAGCAGTACCTTTGCGTTTAGAATTCCATGGAAGAAATTTCGACTTTAGAAATACGAACAATAGTATTAGAATATAATCTTTTGTTGATTACTTCTTACGATCACTAGTCCAATGCCTATTGGATAAATCTACATTTATTTATCTTCAACGACACCTAGCTAACTGAACTGTTTTTCCTATGCTTTGTTTCGACAAAAATGTATGTCCACAGCTTGATAGCAAATATATAATTGATAGTTGAGTTACTGTTATGATGCGCGGTGCCGGATTATGAAAGCAATAAGAACTGGGTGCTTGAGCAATAAGATAAAGATCAAAAAGAGGTCTATTTAACTACCGAATTGTATAAATAGATACTAACCAATATTAATGTATTCATCTCCTTAGAAAAGAAAGCCATTTCTTAACCAACGATATGCGTCCGTTCTTTACAGCACTTACTTTACGGTCATCTAATGAATGGCCTTCTCATTAGGTCACTTCTGGTTGTCTCAGTATAACAGTTACACTAACATTTAATCTATCAAATGGACAATCTATTTAATTAAATGTGCTTTAAATGATACGACTATTTGTTCTTTATTACAAAAACTAAGAGAATGACGAAATATTTACTTTGTTCTGATCATATTTGTTCATTTAATTCTTTTTCTTTATACAATATAAATTCAGTTACCAAGAAAATTTGTCTAAATTTTAAGTTTTATCAATTTTATTTCTGTACTTCTACTACTGCTCATTAACCTAATACAAATTCCAATGTAATTTAAATTAATAGGGAAAAAAATATTTGAATGAAGTGAAACAATTGAAAAGTTCAGGAAATTCTTATCGATCGCATAGATCTTCAAAGCAAATGAACTCAGCATTTGCTGCTGATCGTGCACCATGTGGTCATCCGTATCGAATTCGTAACTGAACAATAAATAAGAGGAATTAGTAAAATTTTAGAGTTCAATTACATAAATACGTATCTCTAATTTTTTTTCATCAAATTCTAATCATTTGAACTATCTACTTAATATTTTTGTTTTTTTATTGTCATTACTATTCTTTTAATATTTCGTAAAATATGTTTTATGCTCAATTGACCAGCAGCAACCTATGGAATTAAAGGTAGATCATGCAAACAAAGTAATCGCAAATAATAGTTTTTGGATTACTATTTTCCCTTTGTTTATTTCATAAACTTTTATATTGGTTAGCTATTTCTCTGTTTTACTTTTACCAGTATATTATATTATTTTCATGTTGTTATACAGATTTAAGCGAACAATTTTATTACTGTTGTTATTTTAATTGGTTTTGTGGAGATTAGTTAAATTTGTGGGTTGTATACATCACAGATTAATCTTAGTTGGAGCTGCATTGAAAAAAAGAAAGCACTAGACATATGTTTCTTCCTGGTATGTGACTCATCAGTAGTATACACATTTAACCCACTAAGGATTATAATAAGGACAACTTAGTTACTGTTCAGTGGTAAGGTCACCACGAGTTTAACCGATTGGCCGCATTCATCCGAAAACCTTCGCCGTATAAACTGAAAGTCTTTGGTTCCATCCTTTTCATAGCTATAGGTGCTCACTAGCTGAGTATCATCGTATCAAGGGGAAGAAGTCATCCAATTCTCTATGCTGTTTAACGTAAACCCAGTTAAAAACAATCGGTGACCAGGAGAAACTGGAAACTAAGTAAATAAGTTCAAATATGTTGAATGGTTTACCATTCTGTTTTTGTTATTATTTTATGATTTATTATGGAATTTTTGATCAAACAGGTAGATGTGTGGCATTATTAAAAATTTTTAACTACATAACCCGGAAACAATTGACGTCATGCTGTGTAAGTCCAAAGTCATTATCAACAGCTAATGTATAAAGCAACAGCTAAGTATTCCTGTACTTCTCCATTTTACTTCGCTTCCAGATGGATAATGAAATGTTGGTGTGAAATATTTTGGAAATTTTAAAGTCTAAAACATCGTAAAAGATTCAAATTTAGTTATTATACCAATGCATCTCTAAACGAAGAAAGTCTACAGTGTGCTAATTCAGATGAAATGAGTCCATGAGCCGTCCTCCATGAACAATGTCGCAGTTTAATCTGTAATAAGGATTCCGTATCATGTTGATTATCTCCTCACACACGCCATAGTGTCAAACAAGCCTATGTAGTGTCATTCTATTCAAACCATCAAATGCATTCTCGAAGTTAAGGAAGGTGAAATAAAGAGGTGAATTCCACTCAATTGATTATTCCATAATGATTCGTAATGGCATGATTTGGTTAGTAAATGATCAATCTTATCTTATCCATTGTGTCAACAGAGATCCATTCCGTGCGACGGTGCTTCTTTGTCGTAAGACGTTGTGGCATGTTGGGACTAATGTTTCCTTGATAACGTTCCACATGTTCTGCATGTTAGTTCGCGCCTCATTCAGTAGATCTCGAAGCGCCTTGAACTTTGTTGAGAGCTAAATTAGATTCGTCGCCTTTTGCAGTATCCTGAAGAAAGGTCGTATTACAGTTCCGTGATTCCGTGTGCACAGTGCTTCTTTAGCTTCAGTTTCCTCTTGTTTATAAAAAGTGGTGATCTGAACCTATGTCGGCTTCCATAATTGTTCTCTTGTCTTCCAACGGTCTTTCAAAACTTCGAGTAGATGCAGATCTGATTGATTTGGTTCTCCATATTGTGATCCGGTGAGACCCATGTAGCTTTGTGTGTGTGCATGTCTGTGGGATTATGGTGCCGCATATGACCAGTTTGTTGAACGCATGTAGATGTGCGAATCTCTCACCACTTTTGTTCCCTTCTCTTAGTCCATGTCATCCAGTGATGTCTTGATATCGGGTGTCATCCATTGCAACGTTGATGTTTAGGTCTGCTATCAGAATGGTCAAATCCTTTGCTGAGCGTTTTCCGACGATTGACTGCATGCTTTCATAGAGTTGAACTTTATCATCCTCATTGTTTTTGTTGGTGTGCGCATTGCACCGAATGACGTTCCTTGGAAGCCCCTCTTCATTCGTCGTGAAGGATGATTTAAAAGTCGGAGACCGCCTTCCTATCAGTGCTGTCTGTGCTTCTTTCAACAGCATCAATGCAACTCGTTGTGTGTGTAAGTCACTTTCTTCTTCATAGTCGGAGAGCAACAGCGTTTCTTCTGAAACTAATCTTTTTTGTCCAGCCTGTGTCCAATGTGTTTCAATCGTTCCAAGCACTACCAATTTCCACCTTTGCATTTGCTCAGCAGCTTGAATGGTTCTCTCGATCTCTTACCTTGTGCAAACGCTTGAAACACTTACGTTTACTATTGTTGTGATTGTGAGAAGGGGTATCGACATTATGACCTCTGAAGGAACTCGACTTTCAACATGACAATCAGAGAAATTCGAAGTCATCTAACGGAAATTCGAACCCACTTACGAAAGACCGTCTTCTCAATAAGCCAATCACTAAAACAAAATGAACCACACAAGTATCAACAAATTAAAACCTAGTGATCATATAATAAAGACAAGTGATAAGTACAGATCATTTAAATAAATTGGTGATGAATTCCATCAAATACTAACAAATATTTGACAGTCATCTTCAATGAAGCCAAAAAATCAAAAGGGAATTCGATATAAATACCGATTAGTTATATTAGTCAGAGAATTTATATGGCCAACAAGTAAGTGACGCTTAAGTAATTTCGCACATGAAATAAACAATTCATTCTACATCTAATTTCAATACATCTAGACTAAAATCCTAACTACACGTGCAGGAAGAAATTGATATCGTCAACACCGACATCATCAGATTTTTTAATTGAAAATAACCTCATTGTTAAGACATAAGGTAATGGATTTTCAATCATTCAACACATTTCAATTCAAATGGGATGACATCATATAATTCGCAAAATGATTTATGTTTCGTAGACTCTTACCACTGACTGCTCAATGAAATTTGGTCCACCAGTCTAGAGTGATGAAAATGTATACAACTAACAAATCCAATAAGCAGTACTAGCAGGAGCAATATGAAATTTATTTTCTAATACAATAAGCTGTATAAGTTATCGATCACTCCATAGTGATCCTTAGATTATGAAGACTTAGGAATGAAATAATTGGCTTACGCTTAATATTTATCACCAATGCTCACATTTTTTAAAGTACTTCACTACAGATTCCATGAAAAGATAAGAAAGTCACCGTGTTTTGTTTGAAAAGGTGGTAAATGTCTTTATTTTGTTAAGAAAGATATTTAGCGCAACATGACTATTTCTATCATTTATCATCATTTGAGTTAAACAACTTATCCACTGATATGGTCATCAGATAGAACATGTTTTTCCATAAATCCGAGGATTTCACGCACCGGTAATAAAATGCCTTTGCATTATTCCATGATACGAAACTGTTGTTTGGTTCTGCACACTCAAGGGATTTTTTCTGGTATCAAACAATATCCAGTACTTTGTAAATGTGCAAGTTTCTGCGTAAAAGCTGTCTAACGGTGCAACCTGGTTTTAAACTATTCAGTAATCACGAGTGTTCCAACAAATGTTCCAGAGTGATAGTGTACTTCTACAACCGTACACGGACGGCACTTGCAATCACCGGCGGTTGTACTGTAGTAGAATAAACTCGGAACTGCATTCGACTGGTTTATACTTCATTGCACTGGAATGAATTTAAACTTTCCAGACTGTCAATTAGTCAGCATGTCTCAGATATTCATACATCAGTATGGTAGTGGGGTATAACTGACACATGGTGTAGTAGATAAAGAAGAAATTAAACTGAAAAATATCAGGCATTATTAACATAATCACACAGTTGAGCACAAGTTACCCACTAGAAGTGAATTGTTACATCCGACTGTCACATACCCAGCCAAATATGGTATTTCAGAAGGAATATACAATTATGGGCATTCAATATGTCTACTACTACTACTACTACTAACACTACTGATACTATTGCTACTGTAGTGAAGGAGAACACAGGTAGGGCAACCGAATTGTACTTAACGAAAAGTACACAGTTACTTAGTAAAGCAGGAAAACCATATCGTAAATCGTTAATTTGCAAAATATCGGTCCATCATCTTCCATCCATCTTCCTGTTGCAAAACATCAATCCATTGTCACTATTCATGCATTTCATACAAATTCCATTGTGTTCTAACTCTTCCTTTCTTGATCTTCCCCCATCTTCTGCTGCCAGACATTACGTTGACACTCACGTCATATACTACTTATAAGTAGCGCGCACCACACTACTATCGTTTGAGATTTGCTCCGATAATCCTATCATACTGTGCTAATGTGATGTAACAAAGTAAATCAATGGACATCTGTGCTATGCTTCATGTTGATGATATTCGTCTCCTAATGAACAAAGTTTTATTGTGAAATTCATTATTCGGTAATCTTATTTTGTTTACGAAAAATGCTAGGTCAGTGTAGTTTTACTTATGTTTCTCGTTAAACAATCCATAATCCATTTTCAAACGGTTCTATCATGAAACTGAACCTGTCAATAAGTTTTCACAATCATAAATTAACCACTTGCTCAATAAATGATCTACTATTCCTGACAGGCCTAAGTACAAGGCTTTTAATGATTAAGTCGCTTGTTTGGAACCCATCGACCTGCTTTGGAATGAATAGAAATTGGGGTAGAGTAAGTCAAGTGCATACTAGTACAGATTACTCAACATGTTTCATTAACACAGCTTGAAAAAGAATGCTTGCAAATTCTAAATTTATTACTTATCAATGTAAATATTCATTATGATAGAACAAGAAGGCTTTATCAAGTTTATCTTTCCTTGACGTTTCTTCTACGCAAATTGTACATTTGGTTAGAATGTCCAGTGAACTATTGTTTGAAATCACAACTGAGGTAGACATTGACTCCACTCGTACAGCTGTTCAGCTTCTTCCTGTTTTTCAGATATCTCATCTAAATATTCATTTGTAAGTAGTATACTAAGTTTCTCATTGAGTAACTTCTGCACAGACTATTAAAAAGTATATATGTAAAAAAATCCTTTATGTAAAAGCTGAATATATGTGTATCATTCAATAATTCTTACTACAAATAACACAGAGATAAGCTCAACATTATCGAAAGCAACTAATAATTCTTCTAATAGACTGGAGATAAGCAACTTTGTAGTTGATAGACCGTTCAGATATTCTGTGATCCATCTGAATCAACACAGAATTTAGTATATACGCCAAGTTCTTTTATATAGATTACAATCCCTTGAATTCTAGAACTTGACCTTCAACTTACGGTTTCATATACCTTGTTATAAATTTTCGTTTCATAAATTTTGCAATTTTATAAATAAAGCTTTATATTATTTTCTTGCATCACTTTTTATTAGGTCCATTAACTTGTTACTATTAGAAACCAATGTAAGTGAGGTCAACAGCAACATAGAACTTCGTATGTACATACATCAGTTCAAGTTTCCATACCACATTAGCGCGGAGATGCAATCGCCACTTCAAATCCCATAGTAGTAGAGGTAGTAAAAGTAACTCCGCCTGTAGTCCCTCCGGGGCCACTGCCAGTCCCAAGCCCGGACAAAGGAGGAGGGTTGGGATTGCCGTTGGCGACCATATCCCGCAAAAAAATAACTCGTTAAAAAAACGCAAACTAGAAGAAATAATTCAAACCATTCAGACTCTGTTCTGGGAATTAGAAGGTCTTCATTCAGAAGAGTTGTGATGTCTCATGACGAAATCCGGTTTCTTTCGGGAGTCATGAGTTCAGTGCCCCTTCTGACAACCTGAACCCTTCTACGGTGTGGGCACTAGAAAATTAACATCCATCCTCATACCCATAAAAGCACACGCGACCACATCGGTCAGAATCAAATCCTTGATGTCAGAAGCCCGAAACGTATAAATTAAGAGTGATGAAGTGATTGAATCAAAGTGATACGGGATTAAAATACTGTGTAGCCTGTCATGGTTGGTAATAGAAATACTTCATTTTAAAATCTGAATTAATACACAGTACGGTTTTAAGCGATATATATGTTACATATGTCTTTATTGGATACAACTGTCAGCAAAATTTGGCACAAAATTCATAAATGAGCACTAGTTTAATAGAAATTGGAATACATAAAATCATACGAAGAGGAATAATTACATCGAAAATCTGGTCGTCAAAATATTTACTCGCTGGATGACTTAGAGTTCATTCGAATATCGACAACAAATTAATTCATTATGTTCACTGACTGATCTTACGAAAAAACAGTGGTGCTAAGATCACTTTTACAACCACATTTTAATAACTTAGTCCTTATTTTAGTTACAAACGCTTTCACTAAATATGTTATAGAAATGAATTATTCTCATACCGGAAAGCATTTCACTAAATACTTGACATATGAAACTAACGATATTTGTATGGACTTTTGGAAAACAACAATATGTCGTCGATTCCCATTACATCGTTAGATCTTCTTGCAACTTACAAAAACACTTAAACAGTAAGTAAGTAAGGATAGACACCAATATATGTAATTATCTTTACTAAACAATTCATGTTAGTTTGAGTAGATTAATGACAGTACAAATGATTGTTATTTCATTAAACTTACATTCATACCATTTAGCGGCGTCTCATTGTAATAATCCATACATTTTTTCTGTTTTGTAGCAGTTCTGTTTTGCTTTGGTTTGTTCTGTGGCTTACTACACTTCATCAATTTTTGTTTCATTTGAATTAATTTAAATCGTGATATCGGCCCTAATAGTTCAGGTTGTACTGTTGTAGTAATTAGGCTGATAATACGCTTCAAATTTGGTTTATAGTTCAGAGATTGTTGTTCAAATACATCAGATAAGTAATCTAGTCTTCTGACAACTAAACATATAAAAACACCATAGAGTTGAAAAGTCGCAAACAATTTTAATAAACAAAATTATATCTACAGAAAAGTGTGGCGGGCACAAGCATATGTGTGGTCACCGATCTAGTTTATTTCATTTTCTGGTATTTCTGTCAAAGCAAAGCACTACCATAATTTTTATCGATCCACAAAACTGGTAGCCTTTTTGAAGTTAAGAAGAAAGTCTAAGAATCAGTGGTTTACTATGGTAACTGAAGTACGTAAAAAGGCATATGTCAAATAACGGCGATTTGGTAGTATAATGAAACACAATGCCACCAACATAAAACCTGGATAAATATAGTCAGTAATAGAGTCCGTTAACTCTTCACTTGGAAAGTCCCGTAGCTCCATCACCTTTGAAATTGTTTATGAAAAAAATGTTCTTTGATATGGAGGCGATCGGTAATTTTGAAAGTCTGAATTTTATGTTATTTATAATACATTTCAATGAATGACCTTATCAGATTAGCAATTTTTTAAGACATTTATTCCCTTATCGATGACAGAGAGATTAAAAATTCACTCTGTGCTAAAGACAAATAAATAACACTTCCTACAGGAACCCAGTCCAGAAATATTGATCGCTGGTTATCTTCATAAAGTCCTTAAAGTTTTCTTGCAATTTCAATGTCAAGAAGATTGATTTTAGGTCTGCTTTCAACTTTAAGCATTATCTTTACTGTTAGTTGACAATTGTTGGGTATGTTTTACGTGAATTTTGAAACGATCAAAGTCGTTTGCCGATCTTTCCATGAAACGATAGAGAATAGGTTTTACTCTTTTTTCTGTAAATTATTTTATTGAGTTCAAATTCTATATCAAAAGCAGATTCCAACAATATTCATCCTCAATATTGGACTCCGGCATTCTAACATTTTTCATAACATAATTTATATATTTTGTATTAAACTAAATGGCCTTAGTGGGGCAAATATCAGATAAAGTGATTTGATATCAAGTGAAATAGTAAGTTCGGTGTTTGCTTCCATTTCCATATAACCAACGTTTATTTAAGAAATGCATGTAAAAAAACATCATTTTGAAGACTCTGCTAGATTTGTAAGCAATTTTATAATCGAAGGGTAGGGATTACAGATATGTCAAAAAGTGGGTGCAGAAGTAATCTAGCTTTGCGTAATTCAAGTTAGCTATATAGTCATAATATTTTCGTCTCTGTTATTTTAATACGCTCGTAAATTTCTTCACTCATCCACATGGAAATGCAGTGAAACAAACCTTTACCATCCAAGTGGCGCCAGTGGTTTTGATGCCCTCCGTAGGTAGCCGGAAGTTCTTCTGTGAAAAGCTTGCATACAATTAAATATGAAAAACAAGATACGTTTTTATAAACATCTATATACACCGATAAAGATTTTAATATGACGTCTATAACTACATATATATCCTGAAGCTAAAGGATGAAACCAAATCTCGTTTTGAATAATCTACCAGTATTTCTTTGTTAAAAACTATGATGAAGGGGTTTTTCAATCAATACCCGATATAGTACTACATACTTCTGCATTAGAAAAAACACACAAAAATCCCAGCCTCTGCTTCAGATTGAACGAAATCTTGAACCCCTTAATTTCTTCGATCAGCAGCCACATCTCTGTTGAGACTTTTATGAAAATATTAATAATAATAAATTTGAAGAACAGTTATTCATTGGACAATAATTAAGACGCTCTTAGAATAAGAATAAATAAAACGTTTATTATTTTTAGACCAGATGTTTGAGTGATAAATCAAAGTTTAAAGAACAATCACACGTAATTCAGTCACTTCTAATTTGCTTTTTCTAGAAATCACAGCCTTTAAAATTAGGGCTCTAATAAACTTAAGTACATTTGTTATTTTCAAAATTCTTGGGAAATAAATACCAATCTAGACTTCCAATCCACTGAGTTATGTCAAACAGAGAGCATCGGATTTTGTTTTAAAACTTTACTTGCTTACACCTGTTACCCTCAATGGAGCATAAGCCGCTAACCAGAATTCTCCAGCCTACTCTGTCTTTGGCATGCCTTTCCATCTGTGACCATTTTTCTCATTTCGATCTCCCTTTCTCGAAGCAGTGAGTTCCTTAGCCTTCGTCTTCTTTGTCAAGCTTGAGCATTTCAGGTGAGGGCTTTTCTTGTGACTTAGTTGGGTGCTTTCTTCAGTGTGTTCAATTCACTTGCTGATTTCTTCCTCAGCTGGAATATGGTTCGTTCTCTTCCACAGTTGGTTGCTTCCAATGGTGTCTGGCCAGCTAATCCGAAGTATTTTTTGTAGACCACTGTTAATATACACTTGTATCTTGTGGTTGAAGTCTGTCGTGGTTCTCCGACTTTCCGATCCATACAGTAGAACTGTCTTGATATCTGTATTGAAAAGTGACTTCAGTGTTGGTTGACAGACAGTTGTTTTGAGTTGAAGATGTTCTTCAATTGTAGAAATGCTGCCTTTGATTTCGTAATCTGCGCCTTTGCTTTTACTTATAAATGGAACCTTATATTTATATCAATTTCCAAAGAAACCATATATTTTAAAAGGGAAAGAGACACTATGCTTCCGAATGCCTTCTTTTCCTCTGATCACTGTACTCATTATTCATCAGCAGAAACCAATTACACAGGTTTTTTTAAAGACTTCAGTAGAGCATATAACGAGGTATATTGCCTAAGACTTACGAAAAAGCGTTTCGAAATTGCAATAAAAAGGGTGTTACGAGACTGAATATTAAACTTCTTTTGTGGTCAGAGACAGAGTGAGAATATGTGGTACGTTGGCTGAATGGAAGTTAATCAAGTTTGTGTGCTATCATGGGTTCACTATTATTTCGACTGTGTCACATAAATCACCAAAACTGATTAAGACGTATACACTCTTGTTCTCAGACTTTAGAAGTCTGGAAAGCAGTCTATCGATATCAGTCAACAGGATTTGTGATCTTACATCTGAGACAGATAAGTTCAACGATACATAGTCAATAAAAGACCATTGCCGCAATGAATGAACACTTTAATACGGTAGCTAGAGAAGGCTTCTGAGTATTTTAAAAAAGCCTGATAGATGGCTTTTTATTGGTACTCTGTAAACAAAAATTGATAGTATGTAAATTTTCCTACCTTTCTTGTATTTAGAACATTTGAAAGACAGCGCTCTTTCATGAAATAAGGTTGAAAGTATGTACATGAATCTTCATATACAAGATCAAGGTATTTTCTTCTGCCGGTAGATTTAATAATAGAATTTGTTGTCTAAGGACTTTACGATTCCTTGTATGATCTTACATCATTTACATCAAATAATCTCATAGGAGAAATAGTATTAAGTGAGCAAGAAGCATTCCTCACATTAATCTTGAAACATATAACAGGAGGAAATTTTCCGCCATCCAACCAAAATTATCAAAATAATATTAAAACTCCCAGTTACCTAAATATAATACTTATATCACACAATCCATCTGCAACCAAAATTTGGTAGTTCTCCGGTAAGAGTATTTTAAGAAGGTGTCTCTTCGGAAGATTGTCCTAAAACATAACATACAAACGTATGAACGAACCAAAATTTTTATCGCAGATTTGAATATTTTGAATATTTCTTGATTGCGATAAGAAAACCATGCTTTTTGAATGATTTCCGCACAACGATGTTGGTAGTCCATTGATTGAATTTAGGCTTGCAACAGTATCCAATAAAAACAAACTTTCGAAAACATAAACAAACTTCCGTAACAGGCTTCAAAATATCTAAAATCATTTTAGCGAGCTAGTATACACCAATTAATTACTTAGCGCATCGATTGTTTTTTCAAAGAGGCTATAGGTTTACTGTAATGTCCAATGGATGGTAGTCTAGCTACTCATGTACACTAATTCTAGTCATTTGGGATTATTCATGGATTTTTAAGTCCGATGATTTTCCAATCTCTGCGCTCAACCCTGGGGATCTGTGTCGATTTTAAGTAGAGGGTGCGAAGACGTTGTAAACCTGAAGGTGTGGCCGTGTGCATCTTGAGATTTATGAACAGTTGTAGGGTGATTGCACCAAGTTGTCTTCGCATAAAGTGAAGAGTTTTGTTAGCCTTGACTGCGTCCCCTATGTAGTTCGGACCGGTGTCCTGGCTTTCTGTGGTCATAAAACCGAGATTGAGTTCTGAGGTGACATTAGGGGGCGAACTATCATTTAGGATGTTTTATTCGCATGGGGCAGAATGTTCACTACGTGATATTTCAGTTGATTTAGTTCTTCCATGGCCCATCTCTCCATAGTTAACCTTTTGAAGTTCAGTTGAATCCTCTTCGCTTCCTGCAGACCTCCAGATCTTTGTGTCATCTACTTAGATTAATACTGCTGAGAAAATAATGAAGTTATCCCATCATGGCACGCTTCACTATCAGTAATATGTATGGTACTGTGTCGAAGGCTTTTTCAAAGTCAAGGAATATAGTGTGAAACTCGCAATTACCAGTCCTGGCAGGTTGGTTTTCTTAGTAATAAACCAGGAGTCACTGTTATATATGCTATTTGCTGGCTCTGAATTTGTTGTTACATGGTCTCAACAGGTGATGGTGTTGGCACAAAGTACTGAGACTTTTGTCATTCTTGATGTATTGAAGAACTGCATACATTCTGAAGGACATATAATCATTCGAAATATAATTGAACATACAAATTAGTTTGTTGATCTAAAAGTTTATCCGATTTTTACCCGAATAGAATATGTCAGCATTATAGGCCATCATATTTGTTATTCAAATGTAACATGATTCTTTATGTGTCCATTTACCTTCTTATCAAGTCGGCTGCGGGAAATATTAAGTTCATGATCAGAGTATTCTCGAAGGAATACTTTATCTACTGGCTTTCGGTTACTCATTGGAACGGATTAAAGCAAAAATATTATGTAATTCTATATTCTCCAATATTGGTTGAGTAGCTGTGAGTATTCTCGTATTTGAAAAACTTTCAGCCAAACAGCATTAAAAGATCAGAAATGTCCGTATTATTTCCAATTACTGAAGGTTTTAAATATCCAAGGTTTTTTCTACAAACTTGTACGAACCGAAACACATGTGCTTGTCATCTCTTAGACATCGTTGGACCGTCCTGACACTTGGTGTTACTCAGTGTGTGAAACCCAAAGGAATCGGGTATTCTAAACCCAAGATGTTGGATTTTCATTTCTCGAGCACTTTAGCTGTTTTTACTTCACCTATTGATATATACATATATTTTACTTTCCAGGATCTCAAACATTTACAATTTCATGCAAATAATAATGGTCCTACATAAAAAGCCTATTTATCTTGTAAAACACTTAACTATCGAACTACCTTTTTCAGTAGTTATGTCAATATATTTTGCCGTTTTATTTTGCCTGTACACTGGCACGTATTACGCTGTTAATTTAGAATAATTTATTATTATTACTATATTCATGTGTGAGGAGTTTTTTAATAAATTTGAATTTTTCTTTTACTTAAGATGAGGGTCAAATCATCGTTTTCGTTGGAGACTATGGAGGTCTTTTTTAACAGCAGAGCTGGGCAGAGGGGTATTATTCAAAACAAACGGAATTTTCAACACTGAAATGCAATAACATAGGTTATAACACCCATACAGGGTGAGGACGTAGACATAAGTAGATACAATATTTTAATCTTGATCAGTGTATTCAGCTGGCTCGTATCTATCTCACCCGGTCTGTTACATCAGCCTCCTTCTAAAGCGATCACCATTGGATTATCGGTCTCATTCATGTAGAGAAAAAAACTATGTCAGTTCGACTGTTGACCTTCTGCTTTTTAATAATCAGTCACGCTTCTGCTCAAAAAACTATAAAATATATTCTGCAGTCAAGTTGAACAACTACCCCATTATGATTAAGAAAACATTTAGTCCAAACTGGGAATGTACTTATACAGTAAATAGCTGTTCCGTTTTGAATTGATGTTACTTCTCAGGAAATGTATCTGTTTTTCTCAAACAAACAATCAAATTACTGACATCTTGTGGACTAAGGTGCATTCAAAATGGATATTGCTTGAAACTTAATAGCAAGATAAACCAGCAAAATGTTGGGTTCATCAACCGGCAGGTTTAAATGCATGCATTTAAGATTGGACGACGACAGTTTATAAGCTATCTCGAAAAGTGTCCTCTGACTAAGAGTATTAATTAAATACATGAAATGAAAATACTGGAATTCGACTTCTAAATTTGATTAGGCTTCTAAGGTTCGGTGAAATTACCAAAACAAATGGACTAACTGAATGATCAGTCCGATATTTGCATTTATTATATAGTGAGACTTCTAAAGTCCCTGAGAGTAGGAGCGCTCTGTAGACCCAGCACGGTCTCCAGACACGTTCTTCTATCTATGAGACCACATGTAGAAAGGATACACATTGGCCATCAGAGGGAACGGTAAAACTTAAGTGTAATACGTGGACAATTTCGGCTCCAGCGATTTTAATCTAAATTAATACCAGTCCTCTGAGCCTAGCGCACGTCAGGGCAACATGGGTTTCGATTGCGTGACTAACCGTGAGCTCATTTTCAGGGAGTTGAGTGTTATATTTGGTCAAATTCGGAGAATCCAAAATCAAATCTTGGAACATGGTAGTTGTTACTGGTGGCGTTTGCGAATATTTTGGACAAAAGATGCGGCTTTCTTTGCTTGTTGTGTGGTACGAAATGTCATACCGCGTTTGTTATACCTAAACAAATTCATTCTTAGTATCGCTAGATCGAAATCCGTAGCTTTGAACACCTTCAGGAACCTCCTGATTAACATAAAATCAAGCGTAACCGTTCCCAGATAAAACGCAGCGACTCTTAATTTATTTGCCAGCCTGAAATGTAATTAGGGATTTTTTCAGACCTGGTCAGTTATTTTTCAGGGAATGATACTAAGCGAAGCACCCATATCTACCAAAATGTTCAAACTGCAATTAATTATTCAAGAACAAAACTGACAATTTTCTATACAGTTCATGACCTGTGGAGTACATATTCGTTTTCTAAACACTTCGTAGTCTGTTTCAACTTGGTTAATTGCTCGGGTCACCTTGTTGGTTGAGTACCGAAATTCCAATGATACCAACACAACTTTCCATATTTTCTGGGTTTTTGGGGCCTGCTCCACAATATAGACCATGTTGTGACTAAATTCTCCGTTTCTGTGATATGTTTGCGATTTCGGCGAGTCGTTTACAGAATTGTAACACATGCGATCGGTTCTGCTAAAACTGGATTACTTGGTAGTTCCTCCGTTTCGTAAGTGCTCCGGTTGGACGACCTCTCTCCATTATTTGCTCAGTAGCATTAATCTAAGCAGATGACACAAAGATCTGGAGGTCTGCAGGAAGCGAAGAGGATTCAACTGAACTTCAAAAGGTTAACTATGGAGAGATGGGCCATGGAAGAACTAAATCAACTGAAATATCACGTAGTGAACATTCTGCCCCATGCGAATAAAACATCCTAAATGATAGTTCGCCCCCTAATGTCACCTCAGAACTCAATCTCGGTTTTATGACCACAGAAAGCCAGGACACCGGTCCGAACTACATAGGGGACGCAGTCAAGGCTAACAAAACTCTTCACTTTATGCGAAGACAACTTGGTGCAATCACCCTACAACTGTTCATAAATCTCAAGATGCACACGGCCACACCTTCAGGTTTACAACGTCTTCGCACCCTCTACCCTAATTCGACATTGCATTCCACCCAGGAGGTTGTAGAGAGGCATCTTATATGGCGGTAGGGTTGGAGGACAAGAATGTCAACACTGTCTCAATGGAAATTGTTTTCTCTGGGTCGCAGGCTCATCAGAGGCGATATGCTTATAGCGTACATAAAATCACGCAAGACGAAGCATTCAGCGTGCGCATTTTGTCACACAGTCATTACTAACACCAAATTATCTTATTTGCCAGCTTAGTGCCTTAGTTTTGAAGTCTCCGCAGCATTATAAAAGAACCTACATCGTGTTTGAAGAACGAGAATAGAGTGAAGAAAAATCAAAGGGAAATACTGGATTGAACAATTAAGTTATGTAAGTCCACTCTTTAATTTATCCTCAGAGCTCGAGCGCCGCTTTTTAACCACTGGAAGCCCCAGCGCCTATTAAAACTGCATAGGGGATGCAATCAAGACAGACGCAACTGCTCATCTTATGCACAGACAGCTTGGTGCTATCACCCCTTAATTATTGGTAAAGCTTTTTAAGATATATGTGCGCCCACACCATGGTTTTCACCAAGTCGTCGCATCCCCTTCCTCATAAGGGACATAAATATCTTGGATCGAGTGCAGAGACGAGCAACGAGACGGGTGATAGGGTTAAAAGATAAAACTCACAAGGATAGACCTTAGCATATGGTATCATTACCCCTGAGTTTCAAGAGAATCGGAGGTGATGGAGTAAACCATACTAAGCACTCCAAAAAATCCCATTGAGCTGATTTTAGAAAAATCGCACATTGAAGAGAGAATACTCATGTTCATTACTGTCATCTGCTCAGATCACTGACTCAATCTATCTCGCCTATTATCTCTGTTTCCTTTCCCTTGCTTACAAACCAATCCTCAGGCACAATCTTCACTACTAACTAGTAAACTAAATTGTCCATCATATTACTTCGCCCTGAAACCTTACTATTGTTAGCATTAAAATTTTCTCCCTAACAATCTCCGTATTGCAATTAACTGATCTTCAGTATGATAATGTGATAGTTGTTGGGACCCAGAAACCCTACTCCTCTGGACAAACGAACCCATTCAAATCACAGGACATATTCACAACAAACTACCAACTGACTAGAATTAGACAGTCGAGTGACTAGACCCCATCCATTGAACACTATCAAGCACCTGGAACCGTACCAAAAGAACAAGAATCAACCGTGAATAAATCAAATGGTTTTTACTTGCTCATGAAAAAGATTTTGGATATACTGTATATTGGATATATTAGATATTGGTACTCAGTATTAGTTGTCATAACAACATGCGCAGTTTTGAAACAATGGGAGATTTAAAGGATTCTCTTGAAAAATGGCCTGCACATGCTCTTGGAAGGTCATATGCCACATCCAATGCATGCGTTTCAGACAGCAAATTAATTTCATTGACAGAACTTGAAACTGGTTAGTTTCTTACAAGATTCCTAGTATTAATTTAAAAAGGAATTCCTAATATTGTCCCTAAACCGAAGTTTCTTGATGGTCTTGAAAACAAAATACACTGTGAATTGAAAACGTTGCTGTCAGATGACAGGGATCTCAGGTTTCAAGTACGCTTTTTCTTGTAGTCCCAATCATTTTTTTAACCGATAGATTTTCCGAGAAGCGTTTCTGTCATTTATCCACGAGTTTAAGACATACAAATCTTTCCTTTCAACCATACACAAAGAATACGAAGAGTATATAAATTTTTACAAAGCTGAGGCACAAAAACTCAGACCAGTAAAGGTGAGGCTCATAGCATATTTCCTAATATCCTTTGTTATTATGTTTAGGAATACCTCTGGACAATTTCCCAAGAATGTGATGAACGTATTTTGAAAATTCAAAATCGAGAAAGACCGGGTAATTATGTACGTTTAAAAGTCTAGCCGTACAAAAGAACTCAGTAGTTTGAAAAGAGAAATCATAAGGTTGAGAGACATAGTTTCTCAATTGAAGGAGGATAAGATTAGTCTAGAAACTCAGGTGAGGAACTAAACGGTCCTTTTCTTTCGTGTTGTGCTATTGAGTGACGTATTTTTATTAAATAAAAGACTCAGTAACCTAGTCAGCAAAGTAAGGCAATCAATCAGGTGTCTTCACTAAAAGATAATGGGGAAAAATATGATACCTTTATTACCGTTATTGAAAATAAATTTTTCTCTGATATTTTCGCTATATTTCACGTTTTATTAACCAGGATTTTTGTTGGTAACTGCTTTTATTTGGCTATATTTGTGAACTTGTAAGCATAAACTCAAGTCACTCTACCAGTCATTCAGTTCGTTAAACAAAACTTAGATCCTGGGATACAGACGGATGAGTTTTTGTTCCCCGAATAGGTTAGCACAAACAGATGGAATACTTAAGACATATCTTAGGGTAGCATAAGCAATAGCAGTGTTCTTGATAATAGCAAAGTTTAAGCTCAGGAGATATGATAAGAAAAGGAAATTCAAAATTGCGAAATTATAAAAAATATTATAAGATATCTTAAGAACATAAGATCTAATTTAAGATTAAAATTGAATACGACTTCGTGGCTAAAAATTATACTGGGTCATGCAATCCAAAGTCTTTCTCTTACTTTTTCAGTTCTCGATTAAATATTAGGTCACATACTATATAGACGTTACGAAAGTAAATTACGGAAACTGACTCGTACTTTTCATCCAATACCCATATAGAGATAATGTAGAAAAACTGGTTATGAGTTCAGGATGTTATTCAACTGTAGACATGTTGCCACTGCTTTACCAATCTCCGCTTTTACACCGTCAGATCCATATTCTTCATCAATGATTCTGCTCGTATATGTGAAGGTTTCTACATCCTTCAAAGCTTCCCCGTCAAGTGTGATTTTGTTGATGCATGCTGTGTTGTATTGGAGAACCTTGTTTAGCCCTCATGTGTTGAAACTTATGCTGCAGAGGTTGCAGATACACTGGTCGTCTCCTCCTTCATTTTTTGTCACGTATGCACTATAAGGGCTAGATCATCTGCCAAGTCCCAATCGCCTAGCTGCATTCAAGCTGTCCACAGCATTCTGTGACTTTCCTCAGATGTTGACGTCTTCATAATCCAGTCGACCATTGGGAGAAAGAGAGACGTAGAGTATACAACCCTGTCTGATAACGTTCCTCACTTGGAGCAAGTCTGTGAGTTGTCCTCCATTCACGATTTTGCTGTTCAGTCTGCCATAAGAATTCCGTATGGTGTTGACTATCTTCTCAGATATGCCTTAGTGACGAAGAAGCCTCCATAGTGTCATCCTGTCACACAGGTGCTGCCTCCATGTCGAGTGGGTTTAGTGTTCTATTGCTTCCCAGTTTCGCTGTCCTTCTGTTTCAGTGATAGCTTTGCCTGCCGTGTCTATGAATGGTCTTTTCTGCTTACTACACTTTTCGGATAGCGTCTTCGTTATATCATCAGGCGGTTTTATGTTCTCCTCTCGTGCAGCTTTCTTCGCTTTCTCTTCCAGATCTTCCACATATGTTCCTTTGTCGGCCGATTGTTCAGTTTATGTCTTGACTTTTTCTGCTAGTGTTCGGCTGATATTGATTTCTGTCTTCCTGTTCTTCTCTGCATCACTCTTATGCAGTGAGTCAACAGAGATCCATTCCGTGTGATGTTGATTCTTTAACCAAAACGTTATGGCATGTTGAGACTAGTGTTTCCTTGATAACATTACACATGTTCTGCATGGTAGTTTCCGCTTCATTGAGTAGATCTTGAAGCGCCTTGAAGTTGTTGTTGAGAGCTAAATTAAATTCGTTGAGTTTTGCAGTATCCTGAAGAAAGGTCGTATTACAGTTCCGTGATTCCGTGTGCACAGTGCTTCTTTATCTTCAATGTCCTCTTGGTTACCAACAAGTGGTGGTCTGAATTTCTGTCGGCTTCCGTAATTGTTCTCTTGTCTTCAAATGGTCTTTCAAAACTTCGAGTAGATGCAGATCTGATTGATTTGGTTCTCCATATTGTGATCCGGTGAGACCCTTGTAGCATTGTGTGTGTATGTATGTGGGAATATGGTGCCGCTTATGAATAGTTTGTTAAGGTCATGTAGATTAGCGAAGCTCTCACCATAATTGTTACCTTCTCTCAGTCCATGTCATCATCATAATATCTTGAATTTGAGTGTCGTCCATTGCAACGTTGATGTTTAGGTCTGCTATCAGAATGGTCGAATTCTTCGCTGAGTGTTTTCCGACGATTGACTGCAGGCTTTCATAGAGTTGAACTTCATCATTCTCATTGTTTTTGTTGGTGGGCGCATTGCAATGAATGACATTCATTGTAAACCCCTCTTCATTAGTCTTGAAGGATGACTAGATGATCTGAGAATCCCATCCTATCAGTACTGTCTGTGCTTCTCTCAACAGCATCAATCCAACTCCTTGTGTGTGTGAGTTATGTCCTTCTTCATGATCGGAGTGCAACAGCGTTTCTTCTGAAGCTAATCTTTTTATCCAGCATGTGTCCGATGTGTTTCACTCATTCCGAGCACTACCGATTTCCACTTTTGCATTTGCGCAGCAACTTAGATGGTTCTTCCGGTCTCTTACCTTGTGCAAACATCCAACATACTTACGTTTACTATTGTTGTGATTGTGAGAAGGGGTATCGACAATGTTATTTCTGAAGGAACTCGACTTTCACCATGGGGCATCATAAGAGTTGATAAACACTAAATGACAATCAGAGAAATTCGAAGTCATCTAACGGAAATTCGAACCCATTTATGAAAGACCATCGTCACAATAAACGAATGACTAAGACAAAATTGACCACTCAAGTATCAACAAATTAAAACCTAGTGATCATATAATAAAGACAAGTGATAAGTACAGGTCATTTAAATAAATTGATGATGACTTCCATCAAATACTAACAAATATTTGACAGTCATCTTCAATGAAGCCAAAAAATCAAAAGGAAACTGAATATAAATACCGATTAGTTATATTAGTCAGAGAATTTATATGGCCAACAAGTAAGTAACGCTTAAGTAATTTCGCACATGAAATAAACAATTCATTCTACATCTAATTTCAATACATCTAGACTAAAATCCTAACTACACGTGCAGGAAGAAATTGATATCGTCAACACCGACATCATCAGATTTTTTAATTGAAAATAACCTCATTGTTAAGACATAAGGTAATGGATTTTCAATCATTCAACACATTTCAATTCAAATGGGATGACATCATATAATTCGCAAAATGATATTTGTTTCATAGACTCATGGAAACTACCACTGACTGCTCAATGAAATTTGGTCCACCAGTCTAGAGTGATGAAAATGTATACAACTAACAAATCCAATAAGCAGTACTAGCAGGAGCAATATGAAATATATTTCCTTATACAATAAATTACATAATTTATCGATCATTCGATAGTGATCCTTAGATTATGAAGACTTAGGATTGAAGTAATTGGTTCGACACTTAATATCTATCACCAATGCTCACATTTTCGATTCCATGAAAAGATAAGAAAGTCACCGTGTTTTATTTAAAAGGTGGTAAATATCGTTATTTTGTTAAGAAAGATATTTAGCGCAACATGACTATTTCTTTCATTTATCATCATTTGAGTTAAACAACTTATCGACAGGTCCAGGAAATGTTGAAGGAAGGTGTAATTGAGGAAGCAGACAGCCCGTATAGCTCACCGGTACTCTTGGTAAAGAAACCCAATCGAAAGTATAGATTTTGCGTCGACTTTAGAGAACTGAATAATATAACTGACCTGAAACCGTGCGCAACGCCAACAGTAGTAGAAACATTAGATCGTAGATCGATTACAGAATGCCACGGTGTTTACAGTGCTGGATTTACGGTCAGGTTATTGGCAACTACCTATAAAAGATAGCGATCGCAACAAGACAGCATTTACTATACGGGATAAACAATATCAATTTAAACGAATGCCGTTCGGGTTGGCTGGTGCACCGTTCACGTTCAGAAGATTGATGACGCTGCTGCTTAAGAATCTAGATAATGTTGAGGTATATGGCAACGATGTAGTTGTATACAGCCTGACGGAAACAGATCACGTCAAGCATGTGGAAGCGGTCTTAAAGCGAATTGACGAATTTTGGCTTCGAATTAATAAGGAAAAGTCGCAGATAGCGAAAAACAGCGTCATATTGTTGGGAAATAAAGTGGGAAATGGAGAAATAAAGCCATTACCAGAGAAAATTCTTACCATAAAAAATATTGCAGCACCTAATTCGAAAAGGAAAATGAGACAGTTCCTGGGAAGAGCGGCGTTCTATAGTCGGTTTGTCAATAATTTCAACGAAATAGCAGCGCCCTTATATAAGTTGCTGAGCAACACCAAGTTTACATGGACTGAGGCTGCCGAACAAACGTTCAACCGAATCAAAAACATGCTAGACGATCATCAGATGAAGCTGCGACTGCCTGAACCCGGAAAACTGTTTACAGTGGCCACAGATGCAAGTGATCATGGTATAGGTGCGGTATTGAGTCAGGCTGATAGAGTGGTGGAATACGCAAGTCGCGTTCTCACACCCGCCGAACAGAAGTATTCAACGATCGAAAAGGAGTGCCTAGCAATCGTGTGGGCAGTAGAGAAATGGAGACCGCACCTTTTAGGTAGACGATTTCACATTGAGACTGACCATAAACCTCTGCAGTGGTTGAGAACAGCAAGAGACCCCCGAGGGAAGTTGGCGCGGTGGATGATACGTCTGCAAGAATACGACTTCAGTATCGGCCATGTTCCAGGAAAAGAAAACGTAATGGCGGATTACTTGTCAAGATCAGACATGGAAGATGACCTTCCAGTGACAGCATACGCGGTGAATAATTTAGATGGAGACCCATTAGAACTCATCCGGCAACAGAAAGCTGACCCAAACCTTCGAGAGGTAATCAGAGTGATAAAAGAAGGAGAAGACGTAGACAAACGAACAACGGACAAGGAGGTAATAATGTTACTTAAGCAAAAGGAACGACTGAGAGTGAACGCATATGGAGTCCTGACCTGGCGGGATGATGACGAGAATTGGGTAGCAATAATCCCAAAAGATCTGCGCCAGGAGATGATTCGTGAATGTCACCAGGTAGCGCACACAGGTATGAACGGACAACTGATTTGCTGCGGCAAAGTGCGTACTGGCCAGGTATGAGAGACGATGTTGCACGATATGTATTAGCGTGCCAGCGATGTCAACTAATGAAAGGGGATCGATGCATACGACCGCCATTGCAGTAAATTCCAGTAACAGCAGTTGGTGATTTGTGGTCAGTAGATGTTATGGGACCGTTCCCGCAGACGACAAGTGGTAACCAGTACCTGCTGGTGATGACTGAGCATGCCACACGGTGGGTAAATGCCGTGCCGATGGCGGACCAACGTGCAAGGACGGTGACGGAAGCGGTAATGCGGCACATTGTGGCTGACCATGGGATACCAAAGATAATATTAACCGATCAAGGTCCCTGTTTCGAGAGTGATGAGTTCAAGTCCCGTCTAAAGCAGTTAGGTATCAAGAGAGTACGAACAACGCCGTATCATCCACAGACGAATGGGTTAACGGAAAGGAATAACCGAACGCTAAAGGAATGGCTAGCATCTAAAGGGGGTGACTGGGAGAAAGAATTACCATTAATCTTGCTGGCACATCGTGCCTCGGCACAGGGAACAACCAGGAAGTCACCGTTCCAGCTGATGTACGGCAGACGGCCGAGACTACCAACGCATGACAAAACCTGGCCGCAACAACAGAGGTGGAATACAACAAGATTGAGAACAGAGCGGAGACAAGCAATCAGGAATGTGAGAGAGAAACAAACATCAGACATGGAGAAGTCAGTACAGGAGAGAAAGAACTGGTGACCGTTTGGAGTGGGAGACCAGGTGAAGTGTAGAGAACGGAAATATACCACAGGAAGAGGGCCAGGGTCAGGTAAGCTGATCCCGAAGTGGGAGGGACCGTAAGTCGTCACCGAGAGGCGCGGCGCAGTGTATACGATCCAGAAAGGAAACAAACAGAAACGCGTGAATGCCAGTGAACTCCAAAGGTGGTTCCAAGTGTGACAAGAGGGCGAGCCACAAACACTGATCAAGAAGACGGCTGTACGGAGATCAGAAAGACTACGACGACAGATTATTAAAAGGGGGGGACGAGTGTGGTGCTGTGGTGCGAACTACTTATAAGTAGCATATAACGTGAGTGCCAATGTAAAGTCTGGTAGCATAATATGGGGGGAAGATCAAGAAAGGAAGAGTTAGAACACAATGGAATTTGTATGAAACGCATGAATAGTGACAATGGATTGATGTTTGGCAACAGGAACAGTCCAGTTCCATAGGATGAACTGATCTTTTGCAAATGAACGATTTACGATATGGTTTTCCTATTTTACTGAGTAACTCTGTAATTTTCGTTCAATACAATTCGGTTTCCCCACCTGTGTTCTCATTCACTACATTTGGTGTCGCTGCCATGTTCTTCCCTAAATCCGAAGTTTTCACATGCCGGTATTAAAACACCTCTGTATTATTCCATGATACGAAACTGTTGTTTGGCTCTACAAACCCAAGGGATTTTTTCTGGTATCAAACAATATCCAGTACTTTGTAAATGTACAAGTTTTTGCGCAACAGCTGTCTAACGGTACAACCTGTTTTTAAACTATTCAGTAATCACGGATGTTCTAACATACGCTCCAGAGAGATGTGTACTTTTACAACCGTACACGAACGGCACTTGCAATCACCGGCGGTTGTACTGTAGTAGAATAAACTCGGAACTGCATTTGATTGGTTTATACTTCATCGCACTGGAATGAATTTAAACTTTCCAGGCTGTCAATTAGTCAGCATGTCTCAGATATTTATACATCGGTTTGGTAGTGGGGTATAACTGAAATATGGTGTAGTAGATAAAGAAGAAATTAAACTGAAAAATATCAGGCATTAACATAATCACACAGTTGAGCACAAGTTACCCACTAGAATTGAATTGTTGCATCCGACTGTCACATACCCAGTCAAATTCGGGTAGAGTAAGTCAGGTACAAATTCTAAAATTACTACTAATCAATGTAAATATTGATTATGATAGAACAAGAACAAATTATATGGTAAAGGCTTTGTCAAGTTTATCTTTCCATGTCTACTCAAAATGTAAATTTGGTCAGACAACTATTATTTCAAATCACAACTAAGTTCGACAGTGACTTCACCATTTCTCATTTTTATACAGATCTTATCCAAACTTGGTAGCTTCTGTCTTCTCTCTATAATCTATTCTCACCTGAACGCTTATATTTACTTTACTTTGGTTCTTTTCTTAGGTAGAGCATTTAACTCAATCAGTTAAAGAAGAACATGATAAATTTAGATTTGAATCAGATGCAAAACTTTTATTAATATCAGAAATGAATGCAATGAAAGCACAGTTTGATGAAATGGAGGGGTCATCTAAGCAAACACAGAGCAACCAACATGATGACCCAGTGTTGTTGAGAATCGCACTAGAGTAAGTGTTATATTTCGGAACCACTAAATGGTTTTTAACTCTAGGTTGTTTTCAGCAAATTATGCTCGCTAATTTAATTTTTACACTGACAGTTTGGAAACAAACTAAGTTATAATCGAGTACCAGCATATAGTGACTTATCTTGTTTTTCAGCTGCTATGTCGAATTTTAAAATAAACACGTGCAAAACCTTTTGGTCGAACAATGTAAGCATGAAACCATTCGTATTCTTGGATTTCAAGAAAGAATTGAAGAAAACCAATATATCTAAATTTAATGTTACCCCTAACCTTTAAATTTGATCAATCCAATGAGGTGTAGAAGCAAATTTTATTGACATATGATTCAGAACTATTTGCAAGATATGGAATGATGTTGACAATAGTTTCATCATTTTAGAGGTCACAAAAGGAATATAGAAGCATCACATTTGTACTTATAGTATGACTTCATTGACCAATAAGTACTGTAAAAGCACTCTTCTCTGTAGCTTCGAAAACTGTATTCATTCCATAAGAACGTTTTGTTTGAAATAGTTCTATCATGTAAACAGTCATGATCAGTAGTTGCCAGATGTGAAGTAAAAGATCATTTAATATTACAAAAGTCTATTATCACCATCCTATTTGAAAAGCACAATGAATTATAACTACTCAACCCACAAAACTCGGGTTTAGAGTATATAGACCCATTATTTCTACTAATTAACGACGGTGGAAGGATGAGGGATTTCTTACTATTTTGAGCTGAGAAATTTAAGATGTTTGGTTTATGTTTCATATTTGTCCTGAAATTAGTCTTCATTGAAATCTTGTTGAAACCACTGAATTAAGCCATTATGTGAGTCAAGTCAAATTCACATTTAGTACTTTCCAACTTTGTATTCTTGCTTAGTTAACATAAATTCAGAGTAATGGCCCTATTTTATAGCATATTTTCACATTTCATTGCAGTACATGTAAGAAAGTACCTTACTTTGTCTGTGGTATATAAGCATATCAGATTTTTATTTGTTGTCACTGCTATTACTAACCAGTTGTCCACTTACAGATGATTTAAGCTAGAATTGAATAGACAACCTTGACAGAATTATGTCTTTATTACGCTGAATAAACAATTTTCCCTATGTATAAAGCTCTAGAAGAAACTAAATTTTCTTTTAACTAAAACCTTTTTATTTGGGATTATAAAATTAGTAAAGCCATTCAATATTTAACACAGATTCAGGAAAAAAGGGAATAAATATTCATTTTCTTGAATAAAAACAAAAATAAAACAGCTTTTACTCATGAATAACGCAACACTTTCCACAGAATCTATAGTTCATACTCAATTTTTTTTCATTCTTCTGTTTTAGACAAGCAAGAAAAGCTCAGTCAGCTTCTGAATTTGAAGCGATTCAATTAAAATCTGAATATGTAGATGTGATGCCCAAAAGTCGATATAATGCGTTACTGGAAGCAAATAATAAATTAAAAGACGATTATGACATACAAATTCAACAAAATGAAGAATTGAATGAATCCTTAGAGTATGTATATCATTAATATTGATTTGAGTTTGTTCTAATTAGTAGATTTTTAAAAATGAAAATAACTGCCTTATAATCTCGTATAGCTGACATTTTTTTCTTAACCCCACACTAGTCCTGTGATCAGTACTGTATCAGTTAAGAAAGGTATAAATACTGATGGCGAAAGATGGACATCTCTAAATGAATTGTCTTTTGTGCTTGTTAATTCACCTAAGGAGATACACACAAGAAGGAGGAGTACTAAAGATTATGAACAAAAAGTGCCATTGGGTTTCCTGTTTTCTTTCCTTACATCTAACTATTTAAAAACAAGTTTATTTTACTAAACTCATTGCAAAAGGTTTAGAAATCAACTTTTCACTTAAACCAAAATGTTACCATTTAATAGTTGACATCATCAACTTCGTTCAGTTTGTGGTATTGCATGGTTAACACCCGTTGCGATCGATTAAATTTATCTCAACCATTCTAAAGTTGTCACGAAAAGCTGTGATCGATGACATCCGACCAGTTCGTCAAAAACATCTTAAATGCTTTGTAAGTTTAAGTTTGTTTTTTTTGATGTTAAAACTAAGCCACATCTATACTTATGCCTTTGAACAAATGTGAGTTTACAACTTCTAGAACACTACTCATCTTTTCAAATCCCGTAATAATCAGTATCCTTAATTAAATCCATCACAAAATATGTTAGTCAGTTAATATCTTCAAATTTTAACTGATTCTGCTTAAAAGTGATTTATGATTACAAACTTGGTTAAATGAATTAGTTCGACCAAGAATTGATTCACCAGTATTACGTGAACATAGTTTATTAGTAGAGTGATGATTATCAACAAGCTCATTGTATAAGCATGGTCATTCGTTGTATACTACTTTCAAGTTCAATAAAAAAAATTGTAATTATCTTTTCATACTACTTTTAGTAGTGTAAATTGTCAAGGATAAACTTTTCAGACTACATATTTGTGGTTTTGTTTAATAATCTCAATAAAATGTTATCTACATACTAATGATTTATGGATCAGTTTATACTGCATACACGAAATGGTAAAATAAGTTATAGATTCGTATAATTGTTCCTGCAAGCTTCAAATAAACAATTCATGATCAGATGGAATGGTTCAATGTTTTAGTTATGTCACAAGAGATTCTTGGAAAAGATAATGATTAGAACTGTTTAATAGAATATGAAAGAAAGTATTCATTTTGGGTATTTCATCGACCCGTTCACATAAACAACAAACTGATATTAATAGTTAAAACAGAATACATTGAACTACTATAATGCTGAAAATGATTCTGAAATCACTTAAAAAAAAAGTAGTTTCTCAGAAATGTTCCAGTATGAAGTCGTATTGAATACAACACATACATTGATTTTCAAACATAATTCTCTCTCAAGATAAAACTTGAAGAATAATAAATAAATGGAGTGGTCGATACACCTGGAATCTCTGTAAGGATATTGAAATAACCACTTACGTCTAAATGATCAATGATAAAATTCTAATACTAATAATTACTGTTTTCCATTACATTTCATTTTATATATTGATGCACACATAACATGAATCATTTTTGAAATATTAGTAATGTGTGCAACATAATAAGACAGAACAGTATTTTGGATTTCTTTACTAGTCTATTATACTGAATAATATTTCCTCATTTGGTAATCAGTTCATGAAAACATTATTTATAATTTTAATACCTAGATTACATAATCAATAAGAGAGTTTTATTTCTTCTAGACTATTAAAAAATCAATTAAATGAAGTGATGAAACAACGTGACCAGTCAGATATAACAGTTCAACAATTACAAAGAGTATCAACACCTAGGTAATTTAGCTGATTATTTAGTGATTAAAATTTTATTTAATTATTATCTGAAAAAAACAAATAGCTATTTGTTACAATATAAGACTAATGAATAATATTTATATTTAACTTAATTCACCATGTATAGTTAAATTTCGTTGAATTTAAATCATGACGGTGATAAATCTATCCAGCGCTTCAGGAAGTTAAGCAATTACCGAGGACTATCCTGCTATCATAAATCACTGTACCACACCAACGCAATGAGATGAAATTAGAATAGCGTACATTTCAAGAAAGCAGGTAGCGCCAAAACTGTGAAGAAACTAAACACTACTTTTATGGTTCTGCCGAATGAAGTATGTAGAATTTAAAGTCTAGAGGAAGATAAAGCGTGAATGCAACTGGGTCATGTTCAACATTCCCAACTGTTAGTCGCAGTTTTCGTGTAGGCCAACACCAGGAGTCGGCACCTACCAAAACGGCTCACTTCAACAATGGATGATTTTTTAAATGATCCGATGCCTTGTTTACTTTTACTCCATGTTTTCTTTCAGACTACCTCTACTGACGCCAATTTTGCACGTGATAGCTGATCATACGTAACACATGTCCCAGAATCCACAGTTGATGAAGATTCGTAGTCTCGTTATTCAACTTTCTGTTCTTCGCTAGCAACTTAAGCCTAACCTTAACGCTAAAAACTTGACGCCCCCAACACGCTCATATAACGATTCGAAGCCATCTATAATCAAAATCTTGACTAATAAACATACCTTCTACTCGCCATAATCTATGTTTGGGAGCCATAGTGTAATAAAAATCAAACTGCTGATCTGAACCCCGCCTCATAGTTGGCGGGACAAGTCACGGATGCTGCAAATTATTAAAATCCATCACCATGGCTGATGACACTTCAAATATATGTACAGTATCTACTCATCCAATAAACAGCCTTTATGATTGTTTTGGTAGGCTATAAAATGCAAACTCCTGAAATTTCGAAGAGTACAATAAGAAGCTTAGAGAGTCTATGATCGTATAAAAACTGATACAATTGGAACAATGGAAATCTCATTGGTTACTGGACGAACTTCATTTTCAGCACGAATTAATAAATAATTTTCTATTGATATTTATTTATATTCTTAATTAGGTATCTTATAATATGAATAACAGCGTCAATTCCCTCCCTAATTTATTCACTCTTTTGTTTAGAAATTCTATCTTTTGAAATTAGTTCACTGGAAATTTGGGGATTCATTTAGTGAAGAAATAATAATTCTGTCACTCCAGTGCTTTTATTCTTTTAACTAGTCCATATTAGCAGATTCTCCGCTAGTAACCTATTATTTTGGAAAACGTTTGGTTTTGGACCCATATAAATTATCTTATTAAGGAACAAACAGATAATATAAAACTACTACGATGTTCTTCCATAAACTGTCCAAAATCTATCAACACTTATAACTAGAAATATCATTTCATTTTAAATACTGAATAACGCTCTAGTTTAAGTTAGAACTAATGAGATGGAAATTATCTTCGTTACAAGCCACTAACTCTTCTGGTATCTTGTTCTTTTCTGCTTTTTTTGAATCTTAAGTTCTTTTTTGACCATTGAAATTCTCCACTCGAAGTGTCCTTTAAATTTAATTTAATATTCTACTTTTCTGTATATTTAAGACCAGATTGGAATGAAGTTGGACGTAAATTTCCCGGCGGTTTAACTCGATGGCTAGAAGAAACTGTATCAATGTCATCACAAGAAAAAATGCATTTTCTTGTCAATCAGTTGACAGCACAAGATTCGGAAAAAATTAATTTCAATTTAAATGCATACATAAAGGTGATCAAAACTGATTTATTCTTATTGATGATTCTCTCCCCTAATTTAGTTGTAAAATTGTTGTTTTTAATACACTTGTACATTATTGTAACTGAGAAAGTTTGATCAAAATCTATAAAGTAACATAAATATTTTTTTAACATAAGGTGATAAACTTGTCTTTAAGATAATCAAGACATAAAGAATTCACTAAGCAGTAAACTCCTGCACTAATTTCCACAAATTGAGGTGATTTGATCAGATTCTAAATAAAGCTATTTGTTGAGCTACAAATTCTACAATATCAGACCTAATGGGCTATAAGATTATAGACAGTTCCTATAGTACCGAGTTATTAAAATTAAGTAATAATTCTAAAACTTTTTAAGGTGTACTCACTTAACGTTAGATCAGAATTTATTTTTTTAATGCAGGAAAAACTTCTATCTGTCATTGTTTCGTAATGCATGTTGAAGCTCAAGAGTGAGAATATCCGGAGTTCGTAAGCAAATATAATCAATCAGCACATACACACACACACACACTAAAATTTCAATTCAGTGACTATTTCTTGAAGACAGCTGTAAAAGGAATAATTAACATTCAAGATAAATGAAACAACTCAAGATTATAAAATGAATCACGTGACTGTAACCAATGTTGATGTTTAACTTTTCACTGCAATCGTAATTATTATTTTGGCTAGCTTGCAATCTTATATCCTGTTAGCCTGCTTGTACAATCTACTGATGATAAATGTGAAACTTGGATAAATGAATATTTTTTCTAGATCCTCTATGTCATTTTTGTATATTCATTGTAAATACGTTTTATCTAACACTGTCACTAGTGTACATATGTCTTTCTGAAAGAAATCAGGTAAGATTTAGTTTTTGGTACAAATATTTATTCTCATCACAGGTCTATAAGTACTGTCTAGAAGGGACTAAATAAAAACGAAAACATAGCTGTTTTCATTCAGGTTATCACTAGCAACATTGAAAATACCATGTTTTCGTTGGGAATCAATTAGTGACAGTATTTATAAGCCTATCTAGGCCAATCTGACTACATTTGAATGTCATTTATCCATTGACAGTTGTTCGTTTTTCTTTATGATTTCGGAGTTTAGTTTTTTTAAATACATTGCCTTCATTGATCTTTACAAATATAACCATTGTATACTTTTGTTACAATTATGCGATTATGTTAACTTAAAATTAATTCGCTTGTAACCTTATTGACCAACAACAGTTAACAGTAACTAGTAAATTAAATAAAACCATTAGTATAACTTGACTATGCTTTACAGAAAAATTAAGACATAAAGTGAATATTAGGGAAACTTTTGTAAATTTATAAGTATTTTTTTACATCATAAATGGACATTAGGTAGGAAAATATTGAATATCATAAGGTAACTAAGAGTTGTTAATTCGTTGTTACGGACTCCTTAGATATGTTCCCTTAAAACTCCTTCCATAGATGGTCAACATCAAGATTTAGAAGTTCAGAATATCCATTTGATTTATCATATTTTATTTTAACTTCATAATTCTCTAAAAATGATATTAACATACTTTAATCATTTTTAGATCACCGCATTCATCATAATCAAAGTTTTTTAGTTTAGAAATATTTAATTAATTGAAATGAACAACGAGTGGACTTAGCTATGTTGGTTGTTGTCGACTACTTGGTTGGGATCCGCGAGATGATAATAATCGATGGTTAGATACCCTGAATGACATGGCTCAAAACCGTTTGCAATGGCGCCGGTGAATTTATTCTTTTTGTTCTCTCAAATCCTAATCTTCTGGATTTTCAACCCCTCTAGTTCTGAATTTCTAAACTTTTCTCAATGAATCGTATTTCTTGTATAATATCTTCTAATCTTAACCTCTCCGATTACTTCTAATAACTTTACTACCTCTTCTACTATTGTATTTGAATTGGCAATTATATCTCTGTGCTGATAAGGTTTGGCAACATGAACTGATGTACTTACGTACAAAGTTCTACGTTGTATCTGACTGACTGACTAACTGAACAACCTTGGATTTAGTTTATCATATCATTAACAAAATTATGTTATTCTATTCCAATGGAACCTTACCATCTAGCGATCATTTATTGAAGAACTTTTTTGTCTACTCCCTATTTCTAGTTAACGTTTAATCGTTTAAATTGTACGTGCTAGTATAAATAAATATCCTGTGTAATAATCATACATATGCATGTTTCTTTTTTTTGACATGAACTTAGGAAGAACTGAATTACATTCCAGCATTTTTACAAACAACTGAAGTAGATTTTAAAGTTTCCCGACCAATCTATCTTCGAGATTGTTTATTATTAACACATGAAATATGGACAGCTAGAAAGAATGAAAAAGATTCAGCAAAAGTAAGCAACACAATCTATTGTTTGTTTTTTTTTTTTTCAATTTTTACCTTCATAACTATTAATTCAATCAATAAATAGAACAGTTGAATTTCAACGAATGTATTACATATTGTAAGTCTGTTTTATTTTACACTGTTCATAGAAATCCAGTACTACCGTTAGTTTTTTTTGTTAAGACATAAATTACATTCCTAGTTGTTTGCTGATTTGTATTACTTTTGTCGCTGTTATTTTTCAATTTCAGTTGGTTTTTCTTTCATAAGTTGAAGATATTTCTTACACACCTAAATTAATGTGTACTATTTAATTAGAAAAGTGAGAAAGCAACATACTAATAAAATGAATAAACAATGCAACATTACTAGTAATAAGTCACAAGATCACCCCATATCACCACATATCATATGATGGATGATTGAAGTTGTATATTTAATATATAGCCAGAAGCTTTAAACGACTAATCTATTTTTTAGCTCAAATCTAATATAAATTAAGTAATAAACAGTCAAAACACCAGTCTCACACATATTTCACATATTTTTTCCATTGATAATTACTTGTCTATTTGACTTGCTATAGGATGATATTGTATTAGTTTAACCTAAATCAAAATATAATTTTCTCTATATTATAGTCATTTTGTTATGTAAGAATTACTACATTGTATAATTTAGTCTATTCATCTACAAACTTTGTACCTTGTAAAAGATCAGTATACCAGAATATTAAAATTCTAATTTTTCAGAACCTTGGTGTAAATCACTTCCATAGAGAATGAATTTATGACTTATGTTTGATCTAGATATTAGGAATTCAGTTTAGTTCAAATTTACATTAGGAAAATATTAACGGTTTTAATTCACTACATATAGTACAATTATTTATGAAATTCTACATTCCGTTAATGAGAACATATCCCTCCCTATTAGACTGATTTGAGAATCTCGAACAAACAATTATTAGTGTATTATATTTGTTAAGGCATCATCAAGTTTCATCATAGTTCGATAATGTTATAATCTAAGCATCTCTTTTTTCATCTTCGTTAATTATGCTGAAGAATAAATTTATGGTTTTTACTTCCTGTTCTTCTTAAACTTTTCTTTATGTTAAAATTTATACCACATGCTAGTAAAAAGCGCTAAAACCTTACTTGACAGTTTTTTCTATTAGTTCAGAAAAGACAATAAAATAATTAAACATAAGTAGACACAATATATCTAAATGAACAGTTTTCTACGACAAGGTAACCAATACGGATGGATGTTACTTACGTAGTTTCTCTGTATCACAATAACAAGGAGGTAAAACAAAGTTCACAATAACGACCAATGAGAATGGCCATAATAATATTGTGTAATCTGAAATGAATAGTACAATTTTGAACTTTTTATAGTCATTTAGGGAAAACATCACGAGTTTCTATTGCACTAAAGAAGTACAAAGAATTGACGAATTTTAAGTAGAGTAAACTTTAACGATCTAACGAAACTTGCAGAAATTTAATCTTTTGGTCAATAAAGAAAATGTCTAAGAATAATAATTTCTTTCAAACAGCAATTTACCAAAGACATGTTTAAAATATTAAAGATTTCCATTGTGAAAATTAGACCAACACATAAAAAGTGAACAATATTGTTTCCAGTTAGATCGTGATTAGGATTTGCTCTAATATTCACGAGTTTATCTAGATGAAAATGTTAAACTAATCAAGACGGTTTGTCAGTCAGTAATCACTATGACATAGATTACGTAACTACTACACGTTATAGGTCAAAACACAAGTTGATAGTAGAAAGACAGGTGTACTGATTGATTGTATAAGGAATAATAAAATATGATAACTAAAGTTTTTGTCTATAGCTCAATATTGGAAGTAGTAGGTCACACGTGGCTCAATAGGCTTAAAATAATCATTAAAAACATGATAACAATTACGTAATAAGTAGTGTGTAAATGATTAAATAGTGAAGAATATAAACAGAAAGAGGCGGAAAATTTCAAACAAATACATGATGTGAAAATAATGCAAATGATAACAAAAAATAAAAAAATTTTAAAATCGTTTATTTAGTTATATCCGGCTAAAGAAGGGAAAGATTGTCACAAATTTCTTCTGAACACATAAGTTAGAGTTCAATGTTCGGATTCCTCTGGCTTCTGCTATATGGAGGAGACAGTATCAAACTCCGTTGAGAAATGATAGAGGTATACGGTGGATCACTCGAAATGATTCAGATCTATCTATATTATGACCACTACCATTCAGGTGTGACAAGATAGAGTTGCGTATTGCTTTATCGGGCTCTTTCCAAACTATACTGGGAGATGTTTACTCCTTTAAATAAGTCATTACAAAACTGGCTGTTTAGGAGGTCCAACTAATTGTTTGATGAACAGAGGTTTCTTCTGAACAAAATTTTCCTTCAGAACGCTCTGGGGTAGCCTATCTCGGTCAGCTCTAGAATTAAAAGTATCTACTGAACAGATCACTTTTGCTCTGCTTGTAGCGAACAGGTGTAAAATTATAAAACGAGTATGCTGGCAAGTAGAGGGATATTTTCTGTACAAACTTCTACTTAACGAGCCGTCACTCCGCCTACTTAGTGTGACGTCATGAACATCTTTCAAAACGGAAGTAGGCGGATGCAAATGTAATACTAGCTTTCTGTGGTCGTTAATCGCTAACTAATAAAGTTCCTTCAGTCTATTCGTCAAGTGACTTAAGTCACAGCTCACTTTGACTTCACGAAATTGATGGAAGTCATCAGGAAACCTTAAGCCAATGTTTCATCTTACATAACACTTGTCAACAAAAGGCATGATAGTTTTAAAGGAACCAACTATCACATGAATATCTACACTGTAGTATTTTTGAAAGTGATGTTAACTATCGGAAATCCAAAAGCCATGGGTAGCATCGATTCTCAAATTAGTTATGTACCCTGCTGAGGAATGTCAAATAGAATAAAACGTCCACCAAAACTTTACAGACACTTAACTTAGTGACCGCACTACAAACTGATTAATAGAATTCTATCAGAACTTACCACTCAACAACATGACACTAATGTTAATTACAACTTTTTTCAGACTAGTGAACTTCATAGCTGCAGTAATTTTTATATAAATTTTTATTTCTTACGCTTTTAATTTTGTGTTAATAAGAGATATTCATTTATTATTGCTCCTTTTGGATGAATAATTTCTCTACACACATTGAATTTTAATTTAAAGGAACATTCTATAAGACTACGAAGACGTTCGCTTGCATCTAGACGACTATCACAGGTACAAAAATAAGCCAACAAAACGATAAATTTATAATTTATCTAACACTTAAATGTTGTTGTATGCACCAAGGCACCGAAACACTATGCACTTTGACCTCATGCACTGCTACTCATCATCAACAACATATACTTTAAATTAACACCAACACTGGTCAAATGACCTTTTTTCACTAAAAAAAATTGTCAAAATACACTTCACATTCACAGGTGTTTTGCAAATTAGCTCACATTTAATCAAATTGTTTGAATAATGTATATTTAATTAAATTTCTAGAAATCGGTGTTTCATGGCCTCATTCAGTATAGAAAGTATTTTATGATGTTTATGCATATTAAGAATATATTGAGTTATCATTTTGATTAAAGGTATTCATGTTTCAGTAATTAGACCATTAACATCTTATTATTATTAGTCAAAATGACAGTAAACAAGACAGAATTACCACGCATTCGTTGACCAGCCCAAATAATTCATCTTCAGGTCCCAGTGTCATCAGTGAAAATGTAGAATACATCAATTATCGTTTTCATTCTTCGATTCTCCCTTAGAATAATCTATTCAACCTTAGTATCTGTTCATTTAATCGCTCTTGTTTAGCAAACAGAAAACACCAGAAAATGTTTTATCCAACCATCACTGATAGGAAGTCATCCGTAAACATGCAGAAAATGAAGGATCACGTACTACTTATCCGACAAGATAAATGCATATACTGTCACTACATTTAGAATGTTTGTGGAAAGTTTCAGTAGTTTGAGTTGACATACAAATCAATAAATACTCTCAATTTTTAGCACATAAGCTAACCTTTAAGCGAAGTCCTTACTCATATTTTGAACTTTTTCTTTGTTTGTCGAGTTACTGTTTAGATGTAGTCTGGGGTTATAGGGACTGGGAATGAAGTGATAAAATCTCCAGTAGTAGAATTATCGAGCATCTTCCAGAGTGACTTGGCGAAGGTTTAAATAAACCTATCGATATATCCACCCTAATCTATCTAATCACTGGGGGTAATAAAGTCCGAATTATCTGGTCACTTTCGTTTATTTATCAATTTAAGAGAAATCTGTAAAATGTCAAATGATTAAGAAGACTGAGGGTATGGGTTCATAATAGCCATTTTCAACCTGCTTTATTACACAGACCAACGGTAACATTTACTGCCTCATAGTCGTCTCTATAAAGAAAGTCAATCAATGCGCCCTTCAAGCACATTTCTTCTCCTTCCCCCTAAATTTTTCAAATTTAAAATAATCTGAATTAATTTTTTATTATTTGAATGATTTATGTAGTATCCACCTGTCAGAAGTAAATACTCGTCTACGTTCATCTATTAATCTTCTTAGAGAAGAAAGCCATTTCTCTTAATCAGTGATATGCATCCGTTCTTTAAGACATCTCCAAATGGTCATCCAATGGCCTTTTTGATTGACTCAGTATTTCATAAATTTGGGGCAATTCCATAATAATCACTACAAAATTAAGTCCGCCGTTAGCTAATTAGAAAACAGATTGTGAATTCATAGTTTGTTGTCGAAAAATAGGATTACAAAAGGTACACAGAGTTTACTTAATTCATAAATCTTTCAAGACTTTCACAAGTTTTCTGCCTGTACATTAAGCAAGTTGACTGTAAAAATCTGTCTTTTCAAATTGTTTCAAGGAAGCAAACTGATTTTAGGGATCCCACAGATTGCTACTGGTCAGTGTAAACTTGCACACTGTATGCAATTTAAACTGAGAGAATTATGTATTTAATACATTTAACATCGTGATTTTTTTCAGTACAATAACAAGAAACAACTTTGTTATTATTTTATTTTTAATTATGAACAGTTTATTAATGTGATTTTTGATATTCATTTTACGTCATTATTATTCATGCTCTTTTTTTTTTTAATTCTGTGCTGAAACTTTTAATAGTTTTCTTTATTTGTATTGTTTCATTCCAACAACCATATCATGACCATTTATTGTTTAATTATTAAAAACTAAATTAATATGCATATTTAAAATTTAATAAACGTTTAAAATATCAAAAGAGATGAAAATGGCATATATCGAACAAATTTGTCTTATGTCAAAGTACATTTGAATACTGTACAATCATCCTATTTTTTTAAATTATACGTATTAAAATCAGACCATAAATAAACAATAATAATTGTATCTCTAAATATTCAATAGATCAAATTTTAAGTTAGGCAACTTTGATCTCATTAAAAATCAAACTGCTTAAACTGAAAAAAAAATTTTCGAATTATTTAGTTTTATCATCATTCTATTGAACCTACTGTTTGATGAGAAAAAAAATTTGGGAAATTGAAATTCATACTTTGTCGTATGATAATTTAAACACCCAAATATAAACATTTGTTTAACTACATCTTCATTTAATTATTGAAAACAAATCAAAAAATTATTTATTCAATGCAATATGTTCTAATACTTTTAGATTGTTTACATTTTATAATAATTACCATTTAGTGTAGTAATTTTACAAACAGGAATTTTGTAAGTAGCCTAATTTCGCTATCGCTCACTAAAACATCTACTAAACGTTAGAGCTTTTCTATAATGACCATAGTGCAATATTTAAAAGTCATAGGTTGAATTATTCTGCAGAGGGATACAATATATAAATGCATTGACAATCGTAGATATTCTCAATCTCCTTCAAATCTATTTCCGGTCATTTCCTATTACTCAATCTTTAGCTTATATGAAGGTGGTTGTATATACACATATTATATATTACGTCTGAAAAGTTTTCTATTTAAGAATTAGATTCTTAAGTACTTCAAAAGTAGCTTTTATTAAAACTTCATAGCAGCATAATTAGCATTCATCATCAAGAAAAGTTTGATACAATCTATCTTCTTCTCCCATCATCACTAGACTGAATTATGAAAATGTAATCGAAAACTCGAAATATTCATGATCTTATGTAATATATTAATGAAGTACATTTACTGATGTAATTCAGTAAACTGATGCGACAATCAAGAACACAAATCAACAAAAGTATTATCTATCTATTTTCTGTACAATATACTTCACCAAACTGAAAAAAATATTGTCAGTCAACTTCTGGTCTATGACTTGAAATACAATTTTCATAGCCAACACGCAACATTTTACTGACATTTTTAATTAATTTTAAATCATGACAAAAAGAGTGTTAGATGATGCACATTGATTGGTCCAATAACTGTATAAACTATTCAAAAGGATTATCTAGACCACACGGTAAGAAAAAAAATCTAAATTCAAGTTAGAAAAACACTAACCTCACGTTTAATCATTTCAATTATTAAGTCATTTAAACCAATGTGACCACAATAACAAACTTGGTTGCTAAAATTTGATCAGCATTACGGGATTGTGAAAATTGTTAAGTTTTTTTTTTGAAACCATGAATCGATCAATGTTTCAAAAAAAGCGTAACAATCTTCACAACCCCGTAATGCAAACTACCTGAGCTCACTAGTGAGTAGCTTCGTGAGGAATCTTCTCCGAGTTCTAGTGAGAAGACGTGACGTGAAGTTCAACCTGTTCAGGTGTAGGCAGTAACTACCGAAGACTGTGTATGAGGTTGCGCAACTCCGTAAAATCGATCAAGTTAGACATTAACACCATCAGATACCGGCTCATTGGTCCGATGGTTAGGCGTTCGCACACAATATCGAAGGTCCTAGGTTCGAATCCTGCGGGGTGCAGAAGTCGTGGATTCGCACTGCTGAGGGGTCCCATACGAGGACGAAACGGCCGTCCAGTGCTTCCAGGTTTCTAATGGTGGTCTAACATTGATTGATTTATGGTTTCAAAAAATTAATTTGATCATATAAAAAAAATGATCTTCGTTGTTAGTAAATGACCGGCTAATACTTCTCACAACATTTGTTTCATTCACCTAGATAGTAGAAAAAGAAAATAAAAGATTCTTAGGAAATTTTATCGTCATAACAATATAAAAACTTAAAGTTTACGATAAGCAGACAGTGCAACAACGATTTCTGACTAAACAAACAATCCAGTTAATCATGATTACTTGCTTATCTTTACATTATCTTTACATCACAACAGTAAAAAACTATTCAAAAATTTGTATTTTATTTGATTATATTACTTAATCAAATAATTATTTATGGAAATGTTGACTTTTCTAATTCTTTGCCTTTTTTCATTGTATTTATTGTTTTGTTATTTTCATTTAAATTTGTTTAACCTTTTCAATCCAGACAGTAATTTTCTTTTCATGATTCATAATTGTGCTACATTTTAGATTGACTAATTCAAATCATTCGAAATTAATTATACTTACTCAATAAACCTGATCAGTAATAATATGAGCTTTAAGATAGATAACGAGATATTCGGATAGACTGCGCTTTATTATGAATTACTCCGATAGATAAAAAGCATGAACCAAGCAGTTGATACTAATTAATCTGGCTGTTGTAAACTGCTAGCCAAGAAACTTAAAAGTTTAATCTACTTACTAGGAAAACGTTGGAGTTGTTTACTTCTGTACAAATTTATACTAAAGAAGAACAAACATTTTTAAAAAAATGTATTTTCACATATAATAATTTAATTGTGTATGACTAAGACTAGAACACTGTATCAGTGTTTCAGCCTATTTAGGAATCGCGTTATCTGAATATAACTAAATTCCATAACAAATGAACTTTGCCTACAAATATGATTGATTCTCTTTGAATCCTTCAAGTTCTTTATATTATCTATAAATTAACACTTTAACGTCAGTAAATGAAAATACTTGGTATGTTGTTTCATGTAATGTAAAAAAAAAAACAGTGTTGTTATTACCATGAATTAATAATAATCAATCTCAAAGTATCCATTTTTCAATTTTTATAAATAATATTCATTGTTACAACATGAACTTAATCAATTTTTTTTTTTAAGAATGAATTAATTTTGAAATATGCATTAAACAACAAACAACTAGTTGTATTCATGATTTTTTTTTTTAAAAAAAAAACTGTTATCAGTGTTTATGATAAGAATTAAATAAGTGTAAAAAAAAACTATTTGGTATCATTTAATAATTTGTATTGATAAATAAAAATTGTAAAATGTTCATTTTCGTTTATTACTACTACTACTACTACACTGACTAATGAAATCAATCAATTTGAATGAACCACATGAATGAATGAATGAACCATGTTACATAGTTTTTTTTGTTGTGTGTGCATTGTTTATACAACATAATTCCATGAATAAAATAAAATATTTCACTATAATATTATCCGTTTTTTTTTTTTGAAAAAAATTTAATCTAGATGAAACCACAATCGAAATCACCATCAGGCAGTGGTGGTATTCAATCTGCTGTCAAATCATTTGATGAATTTCTATGTAATTTCTTTCAACAAACTTATGGTGGTATTGAACAAATACGCATTGAATGGGCATATGGATTTTATGAAATATTAATTAAAGAAAAAAATAATTATAAATTGACAGAATTAAAAATGATCATTGAAAATAAAGTAAGATCAATGTGGTAGATGAATTTCAGATTTATTTTCATTTCATTTGATTTTTCACTTTAACCAATAGTAGCAAACTGTTTTTTCTTCTCGTTATTATTTTTTAGAATTTTTTTTCACTGAAACTGTTACAACTAACAGGTGATTGATGATTTGCAGGGTGAATATATTCGCTGACAAAAATCTTATTATATTTATATTCTTCGCATATACTATTTCATTGATACTTTCGTGTCTTAATCGTTGACTAATGATACATTTCGATTGATAGGATTAATTTTGAGTTGAAGTTGAGGTTAATCACAGGCATTTGTCTTTTTTTTCCACTAGTTTTGATTTTCGAATAGGAGACTAAAACACAGACTTCTATTATTATACATCAAGCAACTAATATTTTTATTTTGAACACTGATCAGTTTATGTATACGAATTTGCATACCTCAACACACCCCAAACCCCTACATACAATCAAACGGAGAACGGAATAATAGCAATGAATAATAAAGTCATAAAAGTCACGATTTCTACAGTACTCGTCCTGTTATACATTTATCGCCTTTTGTGAAATATCATGGGTGTTAGTGTGCCGATTTCGAGGTGTTCTTAAGTTTCGTAATTAACTCGTCCAGACAATCGTCACCAAATAGCGCCTGACGGTTTATACGTCAGAAGATGAATTCGAAGTATTGGATACGTTTATTGTGGCACACCACAAAAAAGGATAGCAAACCACAAGTAGACCGGGCAGACACACTAGCGAGCGAATATGCGAATGGGCGAATGTGCGAGCGTACTAATACGATTAAAATGTTCGTATATATACAAAGGAAAATGTCTGAGTCATCGCGATATTTAAGAGATCAATATTAAAGCGAATAGGATGCATATGCCCGTTGGCGTTAAGCAATGCTCAGTCATACCAGCTCATACAAACCACACAATAATAAAAGCCAATGGTACATGTAAGTTATTGTTATACAAATGGCTTGGTTAAATAAATTAATTGAAAGGCATGACCAAATTAAATGAAAGCGGATGCAAATAAATGTGGAGGCACTACAGGGGAAAGGCTGTTCACCTAATAAATGTCATCATAGAAACATTAATTTATCTGGTTCATATTTTAAACATGCAAATATTATTGCACAGTTTTATCACAATAAAATACTTCATTAATTTCACCAATCAGATTTGACAATTACTGGTTATATTTTCTTTAAGGTTCTTTAAATTTATTAAAGGTTAAATGAATCTGCTATAGATTGATAATTTTAAATTCTTTTAGACCATACACTTGAGAGAAATATTTCACTAAGCCTGTTTATCAGAGTACTAATACTGCATAATTAACTAACTGTTAGAAAACTTTTAATCACTATCTGGAATTAAGCATCACTAGTATAATTTAGAAAATCTAAATTATTATTTCATGGTTTACGTAGGTTTTAACGTCATAAACTTTTTTGTCAGTATGAGTAAGACAAAATCATTCAATAATCTATTTTCATTGAGGCATAAATTTCAAGGAAGATTGGTTTAGGGAAGGATTCCCTTGAATCTCCTTATCGTATTGCCCAGTCGTTGTTGATATTCATTATTCTTTATCTATTCAAGTTTTTAAATAACTACATTTCCAATTTCTTAATAAAAATGATACTCTTGTGTTTTTGTTTATTTAACCGCGTTTTTTCATGTCCACTGATTTACCATTTTGCTATTGCTAACAAACATATAATTTTATAAAATCTTTCGTCTAGCTTTAGTAAAATAGTTTCATAATAGTCAGGTACCCGAGTTCATGAAGGATGCCTAAATTGTAATGATTGAAATCCATCATCTTCTCTGCTCCCTGATGCGCAGACTGTTAGAGAGATAATTAATCTGTCAATAAAGCACAAAAAACCCTAAGGATGAAGTAATATATCCTCCTTTGTTTTGTACGACTTAGGAAACATACAATTGCATTAGAAATTACAACCTTTCTTCACTGCACTTGTAAAAGTTCAGAAATACTTGTGAGTATCCTTTACAAGCTCTGCCATATCGACAGGCGATGATTGGACCAATATACAATAACTTTCGTTAAATGACCTTTTAAAGTATGAATAGCGTGATGAAAGTCTGAATGTGGTATGCTTTTAGCAAGAACTCGGATTTGGAGTGCGCAGTTTGAATTTTGTATTTTATCATTATATCAAATTCAAATACAATAAAATATTTAATTATAATACAATAAATGTATTTATTATTCACCACGATCACCTAATTCTTCCAAATAAAAAAAATATTATATGATCTTTAGAATTTCGATAAAAAAAAACGCCTAGAATTCTATGAATTGCTAAAAACCTTTCAGTTCTATTCCATAAAATTTTCGGATTATTAGTTTCAGTGACTATTTAATACATTTATTATTAATTTAATCCAAATCGATCTAAAAATGTAAGTTTTTTATTTTTCCTATTTTTCTTTTTCTCTTGAGATGGATGAAGAATGTCATTGGCATTTGGAATCATGGATACAATGGATTAAAGAGCAAATACTAATATTTATTGATAATAATTCAGGTTAGTGATGAGTGAACAATCATCATAAGTAAAGAAAACGAAAATACATGATCTATCCAAATAAATAAATAAACCGAACTACTTGATTTTTTTTTGCAAAATAAACGAAAAACTGAATGAATTCACGGAATCTTATAAAGTACACCAAAAAAATTGGTCTTTTCATTATAAGCTCTTCGTTGAAATCGATGGAGACTTAAAAAGTTCAGAAAGGCTAATCACTTCCTGTATTGCTGAAAACAACTAATGACTCCTGAATCCACTGTTTGTGTAATGGCTGATCGATTCAATCTTAGGAAATCATCCATCCATGAAATTTATAAAAAAAAAAACATGAAACAACGTAGCATTTGAACAGCCTGAATTTTTAAAAAAGAGACGGGTAGTGGCTAGCAGTGGGATGTATGACAAGAGTTTCGTCCTATTTTGGACTTGTCGTCAGTTGGAGTTGATGTTCACTCCATGACTTTTTTACATCTCATGGAGGTGATTAATTTTAAGGAGTCTTAAATTTTTTTTAAAATAAATCCTCTGAAACTTCAAATCATGAGTTTGTTGGATTGTATGAGTGCAATCACTTTAGTTCGTTGATTTATTTTTTGTTATTATCACTAATAGTTACAATGCCGACCAGTGAAAGTAAACAAACGATAATTTTAAAACAAACTTTACATGAAGCACTGTTGAATATATTTAGTCAGCAGAATTTGAGTAATTTAAATACTATAATTCAGTCAGCTGAAGAATACGCAAGTTTACTATTAAAAGATTCATCATTACCAAGCATGGATGAAGGCGAAACCAAGGAAGATGATGGTATACAAACTAACGTACAAGATATGCTTGATTTCAATAAATTATTCAATAATGTAAGTCATTTTGTTTAGAATAACACTGATATTTTTACTGAATAATGATGGATTAGTGGTTACAAACAAAAGTTTCATTTCAATCGATATTTAACTAAGTAGTTACATGAAACTCTGTAGACTTAACGATGTAGTCTAATGATATATATTGATACGTAAATAAAAAGATTCCTTTCGACCATAATGAAGTGCCTACTGTTGAATGAAATTTACCAGACTCTCAAAGTATTAAAGGCTATTTCTACGCTGTATAAAATGAAATAATAAACTTCATTTTATGCTTTATAATTCTGCAGATACAAGTCAGTTTTTATGTGCTTCATGCTTCATGTTGATAAGTTTATCGGTATCGATCAACTGTCACGTGAATTTTTCGATTTGTATGTGAGATTGTCAGTGTAATTAATACACAGTTATTTGTTCGTGTTTTGACTGGAACCAATCACTGGTCTGGTCACCTGTTATGAATGCGGGAAACTGCTACTAGTTACTTGTTACAAGTGAACAAGTACTATTATGTAGATTAAAATTTATTAGGCATTGAAAATAAATCAAGAATAGATTGACACGATTGATTGAAAAATGTATCTAAATACGCCTAGTTATGCTTGATTTACTAATCTGATCAATATTCTGATTTGAATACGTTGAAGTGGATCGTATCTGACATAAATTATTCAACAACTTAATGAATCTATTCGATTTACAGTACCAATATGTTAATCTGCTTCGATTGATAAATATAATTAAATCACTAAGTTACATATTGGCTTATATTGTTATAAATAGTTTTTTGAGCATCTACCACGTATGGTGGAATCGCCGACTGAATATTCACTATTAACTAGAGAAACATCTGTAAAAATCATTTGTATTTTCTTTCTTCACTCATTGAAAAATACAAATTAGATATTGGACAACTGCAAAGCTAAACAATCAGTTATTAAGTTTGTGAACGTTTATTGACTAAGATTGTTGAAAAGTGTTACTTTAGTTCACTTACCTTCAACTCCGATGTACTATACTGGCTGGTGAATCAGTAAATTTAAAAGCATCTAGATACGATTAAGACAATTAATCCATAAAACTAATAATATTCCGCGTGAACCATTTTGTTTAATCCAACCACCTTAACAAGTGTAAACAATATAATCGTAATTTATGACATAAAGCAACCTGGCTAGAAAACACCTTTAAATCCTCAGGTTAGCATTATTTATTGTCGTCTATTTTTTGAACTCACTGTTCCTTCCCGAAGTACATTTTATAGTCCTAATATTCCATCTCATAATGATATAACTGTTGCCCTGTTCATCACTTTTCAAAGTGTAAAGCATGAAAACTTTGTCTACTGCATACTTCTACCATATTATATGGTTTGTATGATAAAGTATTAGATTTCAGTCAAAAAGAATACTATTCTCCAGGCTAACGATGTAATGATTAGACAAGATGGAATCAAAGTTTATGTGAAACCTTTCCAATGTTATTTATTTATTTATTCAAATGTACAACCTTTTCTAAAGTATCAATAATTTTTAGTTTATTTTTCCATGATATAATCCAACTGTTACAACTATTTCAGTTAATTTACATTAATTGTTTCTAACCTAACTTCATTGTTTCTTACAATGGATAGTTACTTTTCTGATCTTGTAATTTGTATAATATTCTCCGTAGCGTATCATATTAGAATCACTGATGTACATTTCAAGTTGTTTGACAATCTCGTGAAATTTTACTCGAATTTCGTTTCGATTCAAATCATAAACAATGATGTTGTCATAATGAATGGTTTGATTTTATGATCAATTTCTTCAAAGTACAATATTGAGAGAATTCTTTCAGCTTTTTTATTGCGAAATGATGTAGAGAATTTGTGACCTAAGTGAATGCTAAGATAAACTTGTATCTTATCACTTAGAGTAACCATTCATAGTGTTGTGCAATACAACAACTAATGATTCCATAGTTCAGTCAACTAGCTCAAAGAATCTGATACCATTTTAGTGGTGAGAAATACCAGATTGTCTATGATCACCACTAAATGTTCCATATTATCCCGTCATATATATCAAAATAAATCCATGGTTTAATATTTTATTGAAGGAGAGAGTAGGCATTACTTGGGGAGCAGCGCATTTAGAAGAACTGCAGCAACGCGAAAAGAACGTTGCGCGCAAGAAGTGTTTTTGGTACAGTTAAACAAAACGAGTAGAATAATGTTTATTTTTCATAAATTGTATTTTCTTCGTAGAAGCGTTCCACTACACCATTAAAAGTATTTACTTGTCTAATCAAAACTTGTTTTCTATAACTTTTTCTCTTATAAATTAATGTATGTATTAGGCAACAAGAACGTGCAATAATATAATGGTGAGCAATATTATCAAACCTAATGTGAATATCCTGCTTGATAACAACTTAATTCAACTTAGTCATGTTCTTGAAGATAATACATTTTCAGTTGTTGTTGTCTTTCGGCTATACTGTCTGAATATATATATATCACTATGTGATTCAAAAATCCGTTTCAAATAAAAATGAGAATAATTTTAATAAAAAATATCAGCCATCATTGCATTAAAGAAATTAATTGACAACTGTGAATAATAAGTTCATCTGGTCAAGTTACAAGACTGTAATCACTATGAATCCGACACAAGATCATATGACTTGCTACATGATTACACTTAACATTTCATACTGTTGGATTTCATTCAGTACAAACACAATATGGTACATGGTATAATCTACTGTACCCAGTTTCAAAAACTTTAAGAGTAGTATCCAATCATTAATTTTTCTTTAATCAAATTGTATAACATACATCAAGCAGTATCTTCAAATAAAGTTAATTTAATAGAAAACAGGTTTTTTTTTATTGTAAAATTATCAAGTTAAATAAACTTTCTTAAATTTTCATTTAACATTGAAAGTTGTTTCAATAATTTCTGAAAACTTGTCTATTTTATTACGTTTATCTTTCGAATAGGCATATGATGAAGATTTTAATCCATTCTTAAAAGAATTAATTTCAATCTATGCACAGTTGAAAACAACATTTATTAATGGAATCATCATTGAGCTTCAAAAGTTAGCATAAGAAATTATATTATTTTTACTAGTTTGATAATTAATTATCGTAACTATAGTTGTTTTTTTTTTTCATTCTCTTATCTGACCAAGTAATGTTTGAATGGATGGTTTTTTTATTGACCCAATTTTTATTATTCTGAAAACAAGTGCAGTATGGCTGTAAGATCAATATCCACTTAAAATTATTATTATTATTATTATCTTAGTAGGGATCTTAGTTTTCATCATAAACTTACATCAACTGAAGAGCTTATCCAAAATGAGATGAAACAACGAATCGAGCGATTCTATCGAGTGTAAGATTATGTAGGGTAACATGAATCCACACAAGAAAATGGGAATTTCCAGTTTACAAATGATATATAACATACTACTGAGAGCACTACCACCAAACATCCAACCAGAAATAGTACCCCTTTATATTATGAAATATCATTTGGAATAGATAGTGTTCTCCTTTAATGCTAAAGACTGAACAATATAAACTGATGTGGTTCTATAATATTTGTCTATAACTAACTGATGTTCTGAATATTCTGCTATTAGGTATGATAAAATTAAAGTGTGAATATTTGTTTTAAATACCATAGAAGAATAACTAGGCTTATAACTACTAAACAACAGTAAATTTACATGAGACTCGAAAGGAAGAGTTAACAAACATGAATACAGATAACCAGCGTGCCCTGATTTTTAGACCGACAAATTTGCTATTAATCTATATACTGATAAGTCTTTCAAATTTCAATGTCGTCCTGGATTCAGACTATACAGCTGCGACTTCGTTGTTTTAAATACCTTGTCTTTCTGTCTAGTATCAGTTTGGAGCATAAAATACATTTGAAAATTACCCAGACTTTCGAAATTATATTCGCAATTCATTTTGAAATGGTTTGGATTATCCCATGGTTGATAGTTTGAAAGAAATCTGGTCAGTCTTCATTGGCATATGGGCATCTTATGAGGATTGACTGAATATGGCCATTAGGACACAATCTATGATAAGAAGTATTATGAATTTCATATACAATGAGATTTGTCTACTTTCAAATTTTTATTATAAATGATTCATTATTAATCAATGTTTTTTCATCCAACGAAAAAAAAATAATCAAACAGATCAGATGGAGTACAAACCAGTAATGTAACATCAGTTCAAGTAAGGCGTGCAGTCGAATCCATAGCTCCATCCACTGCAGTCACTTTGAATGTCAAACCGAAAAATGAGAAAACTGTGGCAGCACAACAACAGCCTACACTATCGATCGATATTGAATCAAGTTTAGAATGGTTGTTTAGAATTAATCCAAATGATTCACCGTTACAATCTGTTGCATTGAATCGATTAATACCACGTCTTGAAGGATGCAATCTTTTTCGTATTAACTAGTACGCGAATTTAGAATTTCATGTTTTCCTCATTTCTCTTATAATAAACTACATTCTAAAAGAAAAAAAAAATCATTCCAATAATTCTTAATGTATAGATGTTGGGGCAAAGTTTAACTGTTTTCATTTGAACGCTACTAACCGTAAAATGTTGGCTCAAGTAGGTTTTACTTTTGAGAATATTTCTGTATAAAGGGTTACTTGAAGGAAGGCTATTTGTAAACACTACAATCATCATGGTCGATAGGCCCATAATGTAACCAAATAGGTTTAATGACAAGAGCGATTTTGAGTGAAAAAAGTTTGTCTTTGTCATTGGAAACTATAGTCCTCTATAAATCTTTACAAAAATATCAATATTAAGATATACTACTGTTAACTGTATTAGGAAATTACTAATAAATTATTTTCATGTCTAAACTACCAAGAATCAATACGAGATCGGTATCATGAAACGTTCATAAGTATGTCTGTTTATTGTCAGTTATGAGCATGTTTAGCAGTTTAAAAATCCAAACTATGTTCGTGTCACTTCTAATCTACTAGATCATATAAACCTTATTTTTTTTCGAACTTTATCAACTGATGATACAATGTACTTATACTCATCTTAACTTTATAAGTAACGAATCTTATTCTTCATATATGTCAAGACTTTCTTTCAATGACGAATCGAAATCTAAAACCTAATTATTTTATTCATCATAACCAGCGGCTACAAAGGTGGACGAGGTCCTAGTTTCAAATACAATGTACAGTATCATATGTTAATGTATATATATATCATCTTTCAGTTATATTTTTAAAAATGCAGTTAGGTATTTTCACTGACTGCTAATCTAGATATGTTTTTGCCCAATACATTGATAAATTGTATATGTGAAATTACATGTTACATTTCTCGTCTCAAAAATATACCATGAATTAGTGAATATACATTCTTTATCGACTGCATAATATTGTTAAATATTACTACACCTATCAAAATTAGGTTGAAGAAGGAATAAGCAAGCTAAGACGAAGGAAAGCAGCAGGCCCTGACAGGCTTACCAATAAGATTTTTAAGGATGGTCGTCCAGTTTTAGCGGTAAGATTGACTGAGATCTTAAGTAGAGATTTGGAACTAGACGTAATCCCACCTGATTGGTCTGTCCCAGTCTATAAGAACTGACAACAGTCCTCTCGTGAAATTCACTGAGGAATCAGTTCGACTAAGATATTAGCTTCAATAATACTTTGGCGCCTAACAAGGGCACGTGAAGAGCAGCCTCGATCATACTTAGACGTCTAACTAGAGCTCGTGAAGAACAGACTAGAGAAAACCAGGCTGGTTTTCGACCTGGACGTGGCTGCATAGACAACATTTTCACACTACGGCAGGTCCTGGAACACAGGCACACATTTAGGCGTCCTACAATAGTTGTTTTCCTGGACCTTAAGGCGGCATTCGACTCACTGGATCGTGAAGTTCTGTGGCAGTGTCTGTCATTGAAAGGTGTACCAAAGAAGTACATTAACCTCATACAAGCTCTCTACTCGAACACCACTGGTCGAGTGAGAGCTTATGGCGAACTGTCATCGGAATTCTCTACATCAAGTGGTGTCCGTCAGGGATGTCCACTCTCTCCATTCTTGTTTAATTTTATCATAGATATGCTCCTAGAAATAACATTATCCTCGTCTGAATTTTCAGGAGTAGACCTTTTACCGGGAGGCTCGCTTATCGACTTAGAATATGCCGATGACATAGTCCTACTTGGTGAAGACGCTGACAAAATGCAGTCTTCTGACCACCTCAAGCAACAATGCAAGCATGTTCGGGATGCGGTTTTCCCCCTCGAAATGCAAAATGTTGCTTCAAGACTGGGTTGCATCGGCACCTGAACTAGTGATAGGGAGTGAAGTAGTCGAACGTGTAGACCACTTCACTTATCTGGGGAGTTTCATCAGTGCTGATGGCCTGGTGACTGATAAAATCTTAGCACGAATACAGAAGGCTCGAATGGCTTTTGCCAACCTGCGTCACTTATGGCGTAGGCGAGATATCCGTTTGCTGACTAAACGACGAGTGTACTGCGCAGTAGTTCGCTCCGTCCTACTATATAGCTGTGAAACATGGCCAGTGAGAGTAGAAAATATTCGTCGGTTGTTGGTTTTCGATCATAGGTGTCTTCGAAGCATTGCTCGTATATCGTGGGACAGCCGAGTGAGCAACGCTGTTATTAGGAATCGGGTGGTAGGTAAGAATGGCACATCAATAGATGAAGTAGTGAAACTTCATCAGTTGAGGTGGTTGGGACATGTGTTGCGTATGCCTAACCACCGACTGCCTCGACGAACTTTGTTTTGTAGTGTAGGAATAGGTTGGAAGAAAGTTAGGGGCGGCCAGACCAAAACATGGCAGAAATCCATGAAGTGATTGACGAGTGGACTTAGCCATGTCGCTAGTTGTCGGCTACCTGGTTGGGGTCTGCGAGATGATAATAATCGATGGTTAGAGACCTTGAATGACATGGCTCAAAACCGTTTGCAATGGCGCCGGTGCATTTATTCTTTGTGTTCTCTCAAATCCTAGTCTTCTGGATTCTTCAACCCCTCTAGTTTTGACCTTCTAAACTTTTCTCACTGAATCATATTTCTTGAATATCTTCTCATCCTAACCTCTCCGATTACTTCTAATACCTTTACTACCTCTTCCACTATTGGATCTGAATTGACAATTATATCTCTGTGCTGATGTGGTATGGCAACATGAACTGATGTAAGTACCTACGAAGTTCTACGTTGCATCTGACTGACTGAAGAGTAGACTAGAGGAAGCCAGACTGCTTTCAGACCTGAACGTAGAGGTATAGACCAAATACCCAGATATCGTCAGCGTATTCTGACCAATTCAAACAACAGTGTATGTTCAGGATGCTATTCTTCCCAATATTGCTTCAAGATCGGCTTGCGTCGGCACCTGAACTGTTGATAGGAAGTGTAGTTGAGCGCGTTGACCGAGTTGACAGTCCGTCAGCAACAACGTAGAACTTGGTACATACGTACATCAGTCCAAGCTGCCATACCATATTAACCCAGGGATGCAATTGTCGATTTAAATTCAAAAGTGGAAGAGGTAGTAGAAGTATGAGCAGTGCCATGAATAATGCAAGCTGACAAAAGCTAATCGATCCTTCGGTATCCGTGCTGAGGTTTTGTCCGTCACCAGGCGATCGGCACTGATGGGACTCCCCATATAAGTGAAGCGGTCTACACGCTCAATTACTTCACTCCCTATCACTAGTTCAGGTGCAAACGCAAGCCAATCTTCGAGCAACATTCTGTGTTTCGAAGAGGGAGAGTCACATCACCAACATGTTTGCATTGTTACTCAAGGTGGTCAGAATACTCTCCATTTTGTCAGCATCTTCACCGAATAGAACTATATCATCAGCATACTCTGATTCAGCAAGTGCGTCTCCTGGGAGGTTCAATCCTGAAAATTCAGACGAAGTTAATGTCAACTCTAAAAGCATGTATACGACGACAAGGTTAGACAGGAATGGAGAGAGTAAACATCTCTGACGAACACCACTTGAAGTAACTTATTCCGATGACAGTTCGCCATAAGCTTACACTCGACTAGCAGAGAGCCTATACAAGGTTAATGCACTTCTTTGGTACACCTTTTAGTGACAGACACTACCATGGAACCTCACGATCGACAGTCAATAGCCGCCTTAAGGCCGAGGAATGCAACTATTGTAGGACGCCGAAATGTGTATCTGCGTTCTAAGAACTGATGTGTGGATATCTGGTCTATATATATACGTCCATTGCTGAAACCAGTCCGGATTCCTTGAGTCTGCTCTTCACGAGCTCTAGTTAGACGTTAGAGTATTATCGAGGATAACATTTTAGAATCTATATTACTTAGACTGATTGGCCTGTGATTGTCACAAGAGGACTTTTGCCCTTTATTATAAACTGGAACAATCAGTGATTGAGACCAATCAGATGGGATTACATCCAGTTCCCAAATTCTACCTAGGATCTCAGTCAATCCTTATGCTAAAACTGGGCCACCATCCTTAAAAATCTTATTGGTAAGCCTGTCAGGGTCTGCTGCTTTCCTTAGCTTGCCTACAGCCTTTTCAACCTCACAAAGAGCTGGAGGATTTACTTCAGCATGCCATTCAGGCCAACTCGAGATCGTCGGTAACCAATGTGAGGCTGACGCCCAGTTCAATTGATCCCTGGTGTTCTGTTCATCAGCCCATTCCGCTGGATTGAGAATGAATAATAGTCCCATCCTTTCTTGAGACAGTGGGATTCTTAATGGCAGTTTCCTAAGGAAACGTACTAGATAAGGATGGTAGATCAATAGATGAAGTAGTGAACGTTCATCAGTTGAGGTAGTTAGGATGTGTTACGCATGCTTAAACACCAACAGCCTCGATCAGCGATGTTGTATGATGTAGGGGTAGGCTGGAAGAAAGCTAGAGGCGGCCAATCCAATATATTGCTCCAGTCCGTGAAACTGATATTCGCACTGAGCCATGCATGCGTGTAAACTACCTGCTTTGAGTCCTCGAGACAATTGTAACCGGTGTCTAAAAACTACTGAATGACATGGCTCAAAGTCGTTCGCAATGGTGCAGGTACTCCCATTATTCGTCTTCCCCCAAATCCTCATAATTTTTCTCAGATTTTATTTTACTGATTTATATTTTTTGAGTCATATCTCCGAAGACTCCACAGACACAGTTACTGCCTCTACTACGTTGGGATTTGGTCTGACGATATTATTACTTTGAGCTAACGGGTTATAACAGCTTGAACTGATGTATGTACGAACCAAGTTATACGTTGCAGCGGATTGAGACTGCATGATTATGGGGGACATCCGCAATACATTGTGATTTAAAATTAAAAGGAATAAAGAAAATCAGAAAAATAAAATAATTCGAAACTTACAAACCAATAATAAGGAGCGACAACCGATAAAAAATATCTAAGGTAGGATGACCCAGTAGTTAACTCTCCGTACAACATACTGAGGAAAAACTAGTAAGACCATTTTTGGCTGACAAATATCATTCATGTTAAATAAACAAATGCTTTTTCGCCTATTATATGAAACCTGTTCTCCTGTTGTAATTCAAGTGGATGAGTGAAATAAGGACAATCAGAAAGAACGACTATTATTTCTGCGTGGATGCACACTACTTGAAATTAGACTTCATTCATTACGAAAATTGTTTTACATTATAACCTAAATTACACAAACCCATAATAATCTTGACTATCAAGTATTAGCATGTAGAACTTTGAGCAAAGATGAATTTTAACCGCCAGAAGCCACAATGTATATTAGTAGCCGATAAAAGTCACTAGACTTTCACGATCGTGTAACTTGACTTTGAAGCGTTGAAGAACAGACCTCTAGAATACTGCATTCGACAATAGTGTTTTAGAGCGAAATTGAAATTCGCCTTAACTGATAAGCCATACATATCGAAATCGTTGATATAAGCAGTCGGGAAACTGTGATTATTTTCCTAATCTTCCCAAACCTAACGTAACAATCTAAACCTGTACCAGTCATAGGACTTCATTTGTTATCTCTTATCCGAAATGATGTTTTAACTCAGGATAAATTAGTTGCTACTCTACGTCAAAAGTATTTGGAAACGATACACTCTGTCGTCGTCGGTCAGTCAGATCCAATGTCAACAGAACGAGTTGTTAATTATATGTGCAGAGATTCAAATAGCTCACTTCTATCTGAAGTCTGCGCTGATAATGTGATCTGAAAAGATTATGAAGTCTCGATGGTCGGACCTTAGCATTAAATAACCAAACAAGAATAATTCGGATCAATATCCAAGTACTGGTTCATACAAAACTTTTGCACAGAGGTTAACGACACCACATAATGCTCATCTGAAGGTCTGGAACTAGGTTTCAGTTGAACGTACAAATCTCGCTTCAAACGCATTACGTACAAGTTACTTGGAGCTCTATTCTAAGCCATCTTACAATTTGACTGAAGTTAGGATATGAAATTAAGTTAAGAAGCTACACAAACTTATTATTTTAAGCTCAACGAAGTGCAAATGACCAAGTAATTGTGTTTTTGAGACTGAACATCAATAAATTTGAACAAGACGTATTACAAAATATAGTGGGATTAATAAAAATGTGTAAAAGACGATGATTGATGAAATCAGTAAAACCGAATCATAAGATAAAGTTACATATTAGACAAAAATTGTTCTCAAACGTCATCAATGATGAATAAATAATACTCTTTTTAATATGCGAAAGATATATGCGTCAACGTCAGAAGGCGGAACGAGGTTATTAGATGTTAATCAAACCTCATCTGAAAGAAGTTTGGAAAAGGCGAACACGCCAGATGGGATTTTTGAAGCAGAATCCGAGACTGACTGAGCAGGGAATAATCGCATCATAGGGATAGTTGTTTTTGTACGATGAACAGAATCTGGATGAACAGCTTTTGCAAAACCGACACGATTTTTGCCCATATCGAATATTGTATAAAATTTACCAATAAATACATCGCCTAATATCCATAATTTTCTCTTCGGCAAATCTAATCCAACGAAACCAGTTAAACAAATCTCAGTACCCATTTTAGATACCTGTTTTGAAATCAAAATTATGCAAATAAGTAGGCAAAGATTTTTTATTGGGGAAATAAATACGCAGGTTGACCTAGTAACACAGTAAACGATAACTACTATATAACGAGTAGTATTTAATAAAGACAGAAGAGAACCATGAATCAAACCACTAATTAATAAGCTCAGCGTTTTATTGGACAAGTTACGAGATTCAACTGCTTAGCACACTTTATTTTTTGATTAACTACAAAGCAATATCTTAAATGACAGTATTTTCTTATCCAATTATCTCAACTAGCCAATCATATACAACGTAGAACCCGATACATACGTGTATCGGTTCAAGCTGCTTCATCACATTACCACAGCGAGATAAACTATCACGACTAATTCCACAGGAGTAAAAATAGTACGAGTATCAATCGTGGTGGAAAAGATCAGATATTAGCATAAAAACCACGTATGAGATTTCGCGACTCAGGATCAGGAGACCGGAAACAAATGCATCTGGGCCATGTTACATAAAGTTCCCGAATACTGGTTACAATTATCGCTTGGACCCCAACCACGTAATCCGCACCTACTTACATGACTCAGTCCAACTACCAATGACTGCTGACCGATGCTACGTCTTGGTTCGGCCCTACAATTTTTTTCCATTCTACTCCTACACCAGATATGTCACCCATCGAGGTAGGTGGCGGCTGGGTATGAGTAATACATGTCCCAATTACCTAATTGATAAAGACTCATTGAGTCATCAACTGACTTATCCTATTTACCTAGCATATCCTTTTTAAATGGCCATATTTCACGTTCATAAAGTAGAAAAAAGAGAGGCGCTCTGCAATAAACTCGACTTTTATATGGCAGTTAGATATCTCGCCTACTCCACAGGTGACGCACGTTGGCAAAAGCCAACCGAGCTCTCTGAATATATAATGTTAGCGTCTGATAATTAAAAAAATATACATAAATATGAAAACAAATTCATGATGGTCTTCTGGTACTTTCATCCGATTTCGCTCAATTTTAGATGCATCAAAAACACTGAACAGTTATGTAGGTAAGATGGAAGTATTTAGGAGCTTTTTCATTCGCACGAAAATTTTCCTGATTTTTGGCTGGCATATAAACTTCCATCCTAATCTGATATCGTTGTTGGAAATTAGCCTGAGGTACACAGTTGCCACAATAGACAAGGAAATCCAAAATGTGGAAACAAATATACATTATCATTGACTGATTTCAACTCATATTAATCTTCATTACTACTACTTGAAAAACCCTGATTTAAAACCAATGGTTTAGATAGGCTCCAGGATCCTGATGGAACTAATGGCGTACGAACGTATTGCTGGTCACCGGTTAACATTGGATTGCATCTGCTTACGTTGCTCCATTATCTTGTGGACCAGATTTTCAGATCAAAGGGTCGAAGTGTGGCCCCCTAAGGAAACCATCTGCTTCGGTTCGGGCATCCAGGAAGTATCCCAGTCCGTTCACTATCTCAATGACTTTTGTGGCACATAAATATTAAGATTATCTTTTGAACAAATGTATGCGTTTAAATAAGATTTTCAAAAATATTTTTACCATTATTTGATTAGCATACTTCATCACGCACTCATTCAAAATTTGTTAATATATATGATTTTAAACCACTTGTTAGATGCTCTGAAACTTTCTTCCCCAGGCTTTATACATTCGTACCATATGTTCGTGAGTTAATTAACTTTACTGACATCATGATACACATAATCATCTCTAAACACCTTTGCATTTATAAGGATATCAATTTCTACGATAGTTTAGATTTTGAAATATCACAGTTTGTAAGTAGCTGATGAGAACTTGGAGAAATAAGGTGAATTCATATCATTCTACATTAATCTTTCTTTTACTCTCTGAAAATAGTGTGGCTAAAATCACCAGATAAACTTCATAATGAAAAACAGAAAGAAAATTACCTTCATTATATAATCTGTAGGTTCCAATGTCATACGTTTGCCGTTAATGAAAAAATCAATGCTTGGGAGATTGCTTATATCACGACAAGATACACTATAAATACCACCAGGTAGATGAGTGGCTCCAAGCATTTTATTGATTTGTTGTATCTCATCAGTTGGACCGGCGATCATCGAAGTACCAGTGTCAGCAATAGCCAGACATCCATCTGGACAGACCGTCATGCTTGCGATAGTTAGCCTGCGTGAATGAGGTTTACCATATATATAAATGAAACTTAAAAAATACAAGCTTACCAATTGAAACTAAATAATATACATCAGAAACAAAGCCTTTAACAGCAGAAGACATACTAACACTGTGGATTATCGAGAACAGATATCCTCAGAGCATTTTCTAGTATTCTGAAACCACCACGTGAGAACTACTCAGTTTAAACTTAGTGTACTAAGTAAATAGAATAAGTCAGTCAGTTACAACGTAGAACTTCGTAAATGAGTATATAAGTTCGTGTTGCCACACCTCTTCAGCATAACACAGAACTTCGTACGTTCTTACATCAGTTCAGGTTGCCATACCACGATAGCACAGAGACGCAACTGTCAATTCAAATCACATAATGGTAGCGATAGTAAAAGTATTATCAGTAATGGAGAAGATTAGGGTTCGAAGATATGATTCGAGAAGTATAATTCAGTGAGATAAATTTAGAAACAGAAAGATAGAGATAATGAGGAATTCTGAAGATTCGAATTTGACAGAACACAATGAGTAGATGCACTTGCGCCATTGCAAACGATTTTGAACCATGTCGTTCAACGTCTCTAACCATCGGTTACTATCGTCTCGCGGACCCCGATTAGGTAGCCTACATCTACCAACATGACTCAGTCCACTAGCCAATAATTTCATGGATTTCTGCCATATTTTGGTCTGGCCACCCCTAACTTTCTTCCAACCAACTCCTACACCACAAACATAGCTTGTCGAGGCAGTCGGTGGTCGGGCATTCGTAACACGTGTCCCAACCATCTCAACTGATGAAGTTTCAATACTTCATCTATTGGCCTGCCATCCTTACCTAGTACTCGCTTCCTAATGGCAGCGTCGCTTACTCGGGTGTCCCACGATGCGTGAGCAATGCTTCGGAGACATCTACGATCGAATGCTAATAACCTACGAATGTCTTCTACTCTTACTGGCCATGTTTCGGATCCATATACGAGAACGGAGCAAACTGCTGTACAGTACCCTCGTCCTTTAGTCTGCAAACGGATATCTCGCCTACGCCATAAATGACGTAAATTGGTACAAATCAATCGAGCCTTCTGTAGCCATGCTCAGCAAGCGCGTCTCCTGGTAGAAGGTCTACTCTTAAAAAGATAGACGGTGATGTTATATCTAGAAGCATGTCTATGACAAAATTAAACAAGAACGGAGAAAGTGGACATCCCTGACGGGCACCACTTAAAGTAACCAATTCCGATGACAGTTTGCCATAAGTTCTAACTCGACCCGTAGTTTTTGAGCGGAGAGCTTGTATAAGGTTTATGTACTTCTTTGGTACACACTGCCATAGAACCTCACGATCGACAGAGTCAAATTCCGCTTTAAGGTCGAGAAATGCAACCATTGTGGGACGTTTGAACGTGTCTTTGTTCTAGAACTTGACGTTGTATGAATATCTGGTTTGGTAACCGAAAACATTAGGAATAGGAAATATAGTTCGATATGTATAAACCGGTGGAATGAATTCGAAGGATTAATAAATGTGACGAGGAATTTAAAATTTGGAGGAAGACAAAAATTGGAAGCACCTGTACCATTGCAAATGATGTTGAGCCATGTTTCTAACCAACGGTTACGATTGTCTCAAGGACTCTAACCAAATAGTCTACACTCACTAACATGGCTCGGTCGAAATATCAATGAATTCATGGATTGATGCAATGTTTGGTTTAACCGCCTCTAGCTCTCCTCCAGCGTACTCCTACACCAGATAGCATCGCTCATAGAGGTAGGCGAAGGTTGGGCATATATAGCACATGTCTCAATCACCATAGCTTAGGAATGTTCACTACCTCAACAATCGAGTTACCGTTCTACCTAGTACACTTTTCTAATCCAGGCCCGGCTTGCTCAGAGGAACAATAAATTTACTGAGACTTACAAAATGTTCTATGGCAAAAATTAATTGACAACACTTAGGGATTATAAAGGGGTCTAGTTGATGAGGGATTTGTTAAAGTCGCATAGTAATCGTTGCATTGTAGAAATAGAAAGACTACCTTAGCTAGCATTTTTATCGGTCTTTTCAGTATTTCTGTTGACGTTGCGTTTAACCAGGTGGTGCCAGTTTTGCTGGTCGTAAGTTTGGATAATATAGGTTCAGTGAAAGTATTCAATTCACTCCAAGCAGTCTTTCACCTTCTAGACCAACAGTGACGTTTGCTTATTATGAAATATCTAAGTAGTAAACTAGTTATTTAACGGAAGTCACATATCTAACCAGTAAGGAACCAGTTAACGACTTATAATAATAAAATTTACTGAATTTCCTGTTTTAGCTTACTTGTCCATTTTGAACAACCAATAGGACTGCTCCATTACGTCCACATAGTTGATTTCACCAGTATAGTACTTTTCATCTACACCACCAATCAACAGTTCACCACCCAATGCGGTTGATATATTCCTAAATAATAAAAAGTAAATATCACCCTTTGGTACAATAGTAAACCCTTACAGATAACAATGTCGACTAATTAATTAATTACACGCATAAAACGAATTCCATAAAGAATATATCTGTTTGGAAACAACCAATTTTTTTATTAATTGAATTGACTTAAGATGACTGATACAGATGGACTTTACAATTCTGTACACTCTATCAAATGACTTGAATAGTCAGTTTTTGAAGTGTTGCCTTGAACTGAATGCTCTAAAACTTTTTTATCTACAGTTACTAACAAGCAGGTATATTTGATAAAAATAAGAAAATATAAACCGATGGTAGTTGATCTTGCCTGTGCTACTTTGATGATTCCCAGTAGCGATGCAAACTGTCCAAACTTGGACTAACAAACGTGAGAAACCCTATTGTTTACAACTGCCTTCCATGACATTATTACGAACATCAAATACAAGTAAATGTGGTATACAAACCAGTCCTAGCGTAATTCCAAGGCACATAAGCATACAACGTTTAGCATGATAGTTACTGTTGGAGTATTCAGAAAGCTTTCATGTCTAGACTACAAAGGGAATTTGATAATAGTGTGCATAATAAAATTGGTCAACATGCAAACTACTGGCTAGAAAGTTTCTGGGTAACACTGATACTATACAAAAAGAACAACCTCAACAATTAAAACTGGTGCCTGAATTCATAGAACTGGAAGGTTAGTCAGTGTGAATATACACACCTATTTAGTTTGGAATACTAATCAAAAGTGCGTACTTAATTTAGTAAGCGAGTTCTCCCCAAAAACAGGTAAAACCAGTCACAACAGGATCAACTACCTCAGCAAACAACACCGGACGAAAAAACAGTAGTTGCACGACTCACTAAGAATCACAAACTGTGAATACTATGAAGAGCCGGAAGTACTGAATTTTTCCATGTGCTATAAGGGTGTCATATCAATTCTTGGAGTTTACAGTCAGTCAGTTGTAGCGTAAAACTTGATACGTACGTACATCACTTACCAAACCACATTAGCACAGACAAAAGAAATCATCCGCTCAAATCACATAGTAACAGGGGTTCTATTAGTATAAGTGGTAATTGGAAAGATTAGAGACCGAAGATACGATTCCAGAAGTATGATCCGACGACAGAGCTTACAGGATTGACATTGTCCGAATACATATGTTTACAACATTTACACTAAGAAATCTGAACTGCCGTTGGTGTGATCTCGATTCACAGATTTGAACCTGATTGATAAGAAAGCTAATAACTCATCTCAGACAATACTTCTCATGGATATCAAATTAATCTCGTTTGTTTAAGATATTTAAAATAATTACATCGAACCTATCAGTCACATGTTGATTTATATTTTAACTTATGGAGCGTAAACTTACCTGCTGAGATAGAAGGAAAATACTGGGGATTCAACTAAACGTTGCTTAATCATGTTTACGAATACAGGAGTAACGCCATCTACAGAAATTGAGGGGTAAGCCATACCAAGGATCCCGTCGAACTTCGCCATGACAAAGACCAGTCCTGGTTGTCGCGTCGCTTCTCCAAACGTTTGTCCTTTTACACTCAGTGAGCCCAACTGTTCAAAATAATATACTGAGTGAAAATTTCACTGACCAACCTGAAGGGAATCCGTACTTAGGAACCCAGTGAGACTACCTGTACCGTAGCGAATACTGAATTCAGTACCGTTTGGAACATAAGTGGAAGATCTTGAGCTATCATATTTTCTGTGTAGTAAGCAGGCAATATCTAAGTAGCTACAGTGTTTTGATGGTACCCAAAGATTAGCTGAGCCAGTATCAAAAACAACGCTGAATGTTTGAGGTGGTGTTCCAATAGTTATATCGCCGTAGTATTGGGCCTAAAGAAATAAAAGTCGCATCAATAATTTCATACATCTAGATAGTTTTTAAGGTATTCTGGCTGAGGACCAACTCCAGATAATCTGGATAACCAAAGCTTCTTTACATTTCCTAATGAATTTTCAAACTCAATGACAGTGCGTTGAGCAGATTTGAACGGATGGAGAGGTACCCTATGTCTCAATAACTGAAATGAACTGTAAATTACCTGACCACTTCAGATGCAACAATATGCAGGAAGAGAGCTAAAACCAGCATATTGGACTTCAGTAGCAATTCGCGCATTCAGATTTATAGTATTGGTTGATATCCAATATCCAATATTTTTTTCGAGAGCTAGTATAAACAAATTGATTTCTTTGCGCTCGATTTTTGTTCTTTCTGTACGGTTCCAGGTGTTTGTTAGTTTCCAATGAATAGGATTGTAGCCACTCGACTAATTCCAATCAGTTGGCCGTTGTTTGCGAGTTTGTATGTCCCGTGATTTCAATGAATAGTTTTGTTTCAGGGCAGTAAGGTTTCTGGATACCAACATTGGTTATTAAACTGAAATCCCACCCTGAAGAGACATTAGGGAGCGGACTTCTATTGAGGGTGTGAATCTTTTGCGTCCTGTGGGGCAGAATGTACATGACGTGACATTTCAGGTGGTCTAGTTTTAAACGTTTTTTACTGCCCATTCCTCAATCGATGTAAGGTCTTTTTAGAGCTCAATCTAATCCTCTTCACTTCTGACGGACCTCCAGATCTTCGCATCGTTTTCGTAGATCATTCTCGGAGAGATAATTGTGTCTAACAGGTCCTTAATGAATATCAGGAAGATAAGTGGACCTAAGATGATCTCCCGTTGTTGAGACTCGCCAACTCCCGTGCACTCTGTTAACCTTGGTACGAAACTTTCCATTCTCAAAGTGGTTTCTGAGCCGAGATAGGAGTGGGTCCGTGAAGCCCATTTCTGCTAACTTCACGATTAGGCTTGCGTTGAGTACTGTATCAAAGACTTCTGCGAAGTCAGGAAATATTACGTGTACCGGTAGTTTTCAGTCCCAGCAGGATGTCCAGCTGCTCCGTACCATGAGATTGGATGCAGATAACCTGCCTTTCCGAAACCTTTGTTGAGATTCATGGATTATTTTATTCTTATCCATGTACTCCCTGATCTGTTCGTTCACCAGTCCTTCCATTACCTTTGATAGTATCGATAGTAACGCGACTGGTCTCTAACAGATTGGATCCTTCCTATCTCCTCCTTTAAAGACTGGAGGGGGAGTAGCTTTTTTCCATTCCACTGGGAGTTGTTGTGACTCCAGTGAATGCTTGAATAGGTCACATATTGGTGAACAAAGGGCTTCTGCACATTGTTTTGAGACTATGGGACGAATATTATCACAACCTAGTGACTTTCCTGAGAGTGATGTTGACAGACTAATTCATTTTTGGGAAGTCTTCTACTTCCTTTCCTGATCGTCGATCAATCTTCTCCTTGATCTCACTAAATTTGCAGGCAATGTGCGCAGTGTGGCAGTCAAGAACTGGAGCGTAGCCATTTTTGATCACCCCTGGGTGTTTCATAACAATGACTTGGGCAGTAAAGGTTGTGGCTTCCTTCGGGGGATCGTTCTTGGAATCGTCAGCAACATTACCACGATGGATATCTTTGACGGAAACATTCTTCACATTAAAACCAACATTGTCAACGGGCAAGGCCTCTGAAAGGGCTTTTTGATGCATTTCGACGGACTTGACTTCTGTTGTTAATCCTTGCGGAGCAAAAGTCACGACCATACCAGCCTTGATGATACCAGTCTCGACGCGACCAACAGGAACAGTACCAATATCACCAATCTTGTAGACATCTTGCAACGGAATTCGGAGATGTGTGTTTGTTGGTCTAAATGGAGGTTCCATTTTATCTATTGCATCTATAAGTGTGTGACCCAAGTCATTTATGCTCTTCCCCTCCTTCACTTTTGTAATTTCCCAACCTTTAAACCATGGCATATTGGGACTCTTTTCTATCATATTATCACCTTTCCACCCAGAGATAGGTACAAACGGGACTCTAGCAGGATTATACCAGACTTTCTTGATGTAGCCAGATACTTCTTTGATAATTTCCTTGTATCGATTCTCAGAGAAGGGAGGTTCAGTGGAGTCCATCTTATTGATCGCGACAATTTACTGTTTGACACCCAGCATATATGCAAACAGAGCATGTTCTCTAGTTTGGCCATTCTGGGAAATACCGACCTCAAACTCACCAACACCAGCAGCAACAATCAGTATAGCAAACTCAGCTTGACTTGTTCCTGTGAGCATATTCTTGATGAAATCCCGATGACCAGGTGCATCAATGACTGTGACGTTGTACATTTCGGTTTCAAACATCCACAAGGTAATATCGATAGTGATACCACACTCACGTTCAGCTTTCAGTTTATCCAACACCCAAGCATACTTAAAAGAACCCTTTCCCATCTCAGCAGCCTCTTTCTCGAATTTATCAATAGTACGTTTGTCAATGCCACCGCATTTGTAAATTAGATGTCCAGTGGTAGTGGATTTTCTACTATCGACATGTCCAATAACAACAGCGTTAATATGTTCTTTCTCTGAAGGCATGATCACAAGAACGAAATTAGGTACACGCCCCGGGGCGCGCTATCAACTAATAGTTTCCTTGGTACTAAGTCAGGAGTAATACAGATATTTCCTAAGCCATCAACTGTCACTGGGTTTGCGTAGTACTCTGAATATGTGGATGCGTGGTTAAACTAATCGGTGAAGTTTCCATCTAGCTACTCGACTGCCTCGTTCTAGTCAGTTGGCCGTTAGTTATTTGTTTGAATGTCTTGTGATTTGAATGAGTACGTTTACTTCAGGGCAGTAGGGTTTCTAAATACCAGCAACCACCACATTACTAGGCCGAAGCAGGAAAGGCAAGTGTGCTAAATCGATTGATGAAGCATGACTAAGTATTTATAGTCGGTAAAGAAGGTTAGACATTCGGCAACGGAAGTAAACAGTGCACACAAGCACTCAAGTAAAAACAACCAATATATCAAGCAATAACTGACTAGCTCAAAAGACGCGCAAATAGTGACACAAATAATTCCAAAAATTTTAAATCTGCTTTCTTTCTCCTGGTGATAGAATGGATTATGAAGACATCACCATCTGGAGGGAAGCATGGCCAGAACCCATCAGCAAAAACCTAATGTGGTTGAGAACACATCAAATTCCAGCGAAGGAGGAAACCAGAAAGAGGCAGTGGAAGTGGATAAGACACACACTACAGAAAGCACCTAACTGCGACACAAGACAAGACCTCACTTGCAACCCTCAAGGTTAAAGGATAAATAGAGATGTCAAGGAACACGTTGCACCGAGAAATAGAGAAAGAGATGATATGAATGAACGAAAATCGGACAGAATTGGAAAATGAAGCCCAGGACAGAGTATGTTGGAGAACACTGGTCGGCGGTCTATGCTTCATTTGGGGTGGTAAAGTTATGTGAGTAATTGAAGATCTTGCGAGACGACCAGAGCGTAAGCGAGGGAAGGAAACAGTGTTGATAAGTTAGAGAGAATAAGTTACCGATCTAGGGAGATACCTGTACTAACAATCAGCAGGTCTCACGACATGCACTCGGAACAACTGGTCCACTAAGGTATAGTATATTAGTACGTTTTTATCAAGTCTATTTTAAAGCTAACTCCGCCAGTAGAACCTTCGGGACTACTGCCGGTCCCAAGCCCAGATAAAGCAGGAGGGTTGGATATGGGGTTGGCGACCCCATTCTGTCGAAATCTAACTTGCCAAAAAAACGCTAACCAGAAAAAATAATTCAAACCATTTTAACTCTGCCCTGGGAGATTGAAGAAGAATTATGACGTCGCGTGATGAAAGCCGAGTTCCCTCGGAAGTCACGGGACCGATCCCTCTTCTGACAACCAGAGCAACCATATTTTAGGTACATGGAACGTTCGTACATTGTGGGGGACTGGAAGACTATTTCAAGTTGCGGCACAAATGAAAAGATACAACCTCGAGGTGCTCGGCATCAGTGAAACGCATTGGACACAGGTAGGACAACTGAGACTTGCTTCAGGGGAACTGTTGTTATACTCTGGTCATGAAGAGGAAAATGCTTTACATACACAAGGAGTTGCACTGATGCTGTCCAAACATGCACAAAAGGCACTGATAGGATGGGAATCTCATGGGCCGAGGATCATTAAAGCATCCTTCAAAACAAAGAAAGAGGACATTACAATGAACGTCATCCAATGTTAAGCACCTACCAATGACTACAATCACGACGTTAAAGATCAATTCTACGAAAGGCTGCAGTCAATCGTCGACAGATGCTCACCAAAGGATTTGACGATTCTTTTGGGAGACCTGAATTCCAAGGTTGGAATGGACAACACTGGATATGAAGACATCATGGGACGAGATGGACTGGGAGAAAGAAACGAAAACGGTGAGAGATTTGCAAACCTATGTGCCTTCAACAAACTGGTCATCGGTGGCACAATATTCCCGCACAAACGCATTCACAAAGCCACATGGATTTCACCGGACCACACTACTCAAAACCAAATTGACCATATCTGTATCAACAGAAAGTTCAGAAGGACCATGGAGGATGTGAGAACCAAGAAAAGAGCTGATATAGCTTCAGATCACCATTTGCTGGTCGCCAAAATGAAACTTAAACTAAAGAAGCACTGGACAACGGGACAGACAACATCATAGAAGTTTAATACAGCCTTTCTTCGGGATACCGTAAAACTCAACGAATTCAAGATAGCCCTCACCAACAGGTTCCAGGCCTTTCAGGATCTACTCAATGGAGAGAACGCAACATTGGAGAACAATTGGAAAGGGATTAGGGAGGCGATCACTTCAACATGTCACGAAGTTCTGGGTCACAAGAAGTACCATCACAAGGATTGGATGTCTGTTGTTACTCTTGCAAAAATTGAAGAAAGGAGGAACAAGAAGGCAGCAATCCATGTCACCCAAGGCACAAACTGAATACACAGAAGCCGGAAACCATTGTAAACCAGAACGACCAGTGAAAAGCAAGGCAAAGTAATCAGCAACACTGAGGAATAACGAAATAGGTGGATAGAGCACTTTAAGGAACTCCTGAATCGACCAGCTCCACTGGACACACCCAACATCGAAGCAGCATCCACGGACCTCCCAATTAATATTGGCGCACCTACGATTGAGGAGATCAGTATGGCCATCAGACAAATCAAGAACGGCAAAGCAGCAGGACCAGACAACATTCCAGCAGAGGCAATGAAAGCAGATGTAGAAGCAACTGCGAAAATATTTCACATTCTCTTCAAGAAGATTTGGGATGAGGAACAAGTACCATCAGATTGGAAAGAAGGATACCTCATCAAAATACCAAAGAAAGGCGATCTCAGCAAGTGTGAAAACTACAGAGGCATCACTCTTCTTTCAATA